TGTCACAGCAGCCCTAGGAAACTAAGACAAAAATCTTTCAAGTAAAGCTTCTACAAAGATCCACAAGTAAGACTTCAATAAGATACAAACCCTAATTGAAAGAAGAGTCCTCACAGCAGAAGCGAACACAACGTTGTAAAGCAGTTATCCTTCAACTAAAAATTTTAAAAAAGAAGGTAGGGTCTTGAGAGTGCTTTGAAAGGAGTAAAGTGTCACATAAACAAGAGACTCACTAAACAAATATAAATATTACAGCACTGAAAATTTCCATCTATAAGTTTTAGTGCATGGCCATTTTAGGGCTTACTGTCAAGCCTCAAATAATGGTCAATTTTTCTTTTTTCAAAAGTAAATGCCAGCATACACTTGACTTCTATTTGACTCCTTTTAACTAAAATATTAAAATAAAAGATAATTAAACTGTACCATTTCAATCATAGTTTGTGATTCGTGGGACCTTTGTCACTTTTTGGAAATACAACCTGAATTGTTTAGGAGTAAAGTACCATACGGGATTCCCTGGTGGCTCAGACGGTAAAGTCTGCCTGTAATGCAGGAGATCCGGGTTTGATTCCTGAGTCAGGAAGATCCCCTGGAGAAGGAAATGGCAACCCAGTCCAGTATTCTTGCCTGGAAAAGCTCATGGATGGAAGAGTCTGGCCAACTACAGTCCATGGGTCACAAAGTGTCGGACACGACTGACTGACTTCGCTTTCAAAGTACCATGCTGTGTACAACTCACTTTCAAATGATTCAGGGGAAAAAGCATATATATTTATATAGAGAGCTAAAATGATGAGTTCAGTTGATGAGTCCAGCTGCAGGACATTGTAATATTCTTTAAACTTTCCTATAGAATTGAAATTTTTCAAAATAAACTGAGGGAAATATTTCATCATTAATACAACGGTCGCTGCCCATACCACTAATCATCACTGTGTAGTTACATACATAATTGTGTATCATAATTGTGCTTTTGTTTACTTTATCATGTCCCAATGCAAAGATTCCTACACTAAGGATGATGAAGTTACAAGTCAAACTATGAATACTATATGCATTTTTCTGGGAACATGTTTTGTGGCTTTCATCAGACTCTCAAAGAAGTTGTGACTCAAATTTAAGAACCACTGACCTAAAGGGCAAGGAATCACAACCCCCTTAGGTCATAGGTTAAGATTAAAAGAGCACAAATAGACATGGTTGTCGAATCTGCTGGTCATAGCAATCAGAACAGCAACAGCATAGATACATTAAAAACAAGAGACAAGTTTCCCTTGGTAAGGGTGACACTGCACTTGAAAATATGTGGGTTATTTTCAAATATCTTTTGATATTGATTTCTAACATAATTCCACAGTGATAAGAGAACAGACTCTATGATTTCAAAACCTTCAGGCCATAAAATATTTGCACCTTGTTTTATGTCCCTGAATATGATCCAGGGTCTCCTAATTTAGTCTATGGGAACTTGAATAGAATTTTTATCCTACTGTTGTGTGAAAATTGTATAAATCTTAAATATGTTGAATCAGTTTATGGTTCTTTTCAGGTCTACTATATCCTTCTACTTTTCTGTATATTCATTCCACTAATTTTTGAGCATTTGATATTGAAGCTCCAAGTAAAACTCTTAATTTATCTACTTAAAAAATAACTGTAATAAATAATGGAACTATATGCAACTCTTTTCTGTATTTTCCAAGTCTCCTGTAAGTGTGTTATCATACTTTTTTTTTTGTTTGTTTGTTTTTTTCTATTGGTCTTGTTTGATCTCACAAGACCTCCAAAAATTGGCTGGTGAGGTAAAACTTCTTTCTTGGTTCTACTTCACTTAGTCTACACGGCAGCACCGGAGACTAAGCGCAAGCAGAAGCAAGAAAGAGCATGCTGCCATTGTTATCATACTTTAATAATTAAAAAAATAAAAAAGAAAGAGGGAAAAAAAAGAATTAAAAAAAAAAGTAGGGCTGATGGGTGAAGTAGGTAACCTCATCTAAGAGTGTTGAGTACTCACTGATTGATTCTAGCATCAAATATGATTCCTCTCAAACAACTTTACAGCAGTATCATCTCCAACACAACATTTTCACAGTGCCATGCACTATAAGATATTTTACGTATTAAGTCTCTAAATTCTCACAACCATCCTGGAAGTTAAATATTATCCTCATTCTTTGATATGAGGAAAAACTGAATCTCAGAGAAGTTAAGCAAATGACCGAAGGCCACAACACTTGTGCCTGTCAGAAACCTGAAATCCAGTTCTATCACCTGTAGTCCAGTGTTTTTCAAATATATCACAATGCTGTCATCATTTTTCCACCAAATTGCTGATTCATAATATTTCCAACTCGGTTTTACTTGTGGAGAATTTTAACGTATGTACACCTTAGTAACTAGTGCCTTCAAACTTTTATACCAGCTCTTCTATTTTTAAAACACCAAACCATACTCTTCACTCTTTAAACTTTAACATCACCTCTTCCAGAAAGACTCCCCTGATAAAACCCTTAAGGGCACATCACTCGTGTCCCTCCCATGTGTGATACAGCACCATTTTAAGCCAGAGAATTTTTTGTTTAAATCCTAGATTTGCCATGTAACCTTCAGTAAGTCACAAAACTTCCCAAATGCATGCATCACTAAAATGGGAGACTTAAAACTTAAAGGCTGGAAATTGCCTATCTGCTACCAAATATAACCTTTAGAAAAGTATTTGGTGAGCAGCATTTTTAAATCCAGTTCAGTGTCTTTACAGGAGGAGATGCATTCAACTGACTGCCACAAGCCCTACCACTCTCTCTTTTTACAACTACCACATCTCTATAGTTCATTTCTATTATCTGTCTGGCATTTGGTATGCAATGAGGTTTCCAACCACTGGATTATTATCAGTTATACCTTTTCTATTTAGTTTTCATGTGGCCATTTCCCCACTATAAAGTCCAAAATGGGGATTCATCAATTATGTAACTTCAAAGCTAGAAAGAGATTACCTAGCAAAATCCTACCTTCCTGTGTTACAAAGATTAAAAGACTGAAGCCAAAGTGCTTTAGTTACTTGCTCAGAGGCTCCCAATACAAGTCAGTGTGGGACAATTTAAACCAACCAGAATAAACAAAATATTCACTTTGTGCAAGACCCTACCCTGGAGCTACAAAATGAAACAAGAATTGTCCCTAACTGTCCAGGATATACTAGGTAGGAAAGGACAAAGATATATATATATATATACATATATGTATATATATATATATATGAAGCCATTATTTAAGAAACATATGCTAAGAGAAAGAAGAAACTGACTTCATTTTTTTTTTAATATTTATTTTTTATTTATTTGGCTGCACCAAGTCTTAGTTGCAGCATGTGGGATATTCATTGCAGTGTGCAAGATCTTTTAGTTTTGGCATGTGGGACTTAGTTCCCTGACCAGGAATTGAACCTGGGTCCCCTGCAATGGGAGCGTGGAGTCTCAACTGCTAGGCCACCAAGGAAGTCCCCATTTCTTTCATTTTTAGTGAGATCATGAAACAGAAACATTTAAACAGGGATTTGAATAATGAGAACTGCTGGACTGTTTTGTTTACGATTTCCCCATTGCCTTTACTCACAGAAAAATGTATCTTCAAATTTGTTCTCAATCTGACCAACTGGAGCAGCACCCTTTCTCCCAGAGAAGTGCATCATCGGAAGAAATGGAGAAGGGCTTTGAGGGCTGCTGATACTCACAGAGAGGGAGGGCACAGCATGAAAAAGCCAAGAAATATGTAAAGGCACAGCATAAACAGAAAAAGGAAACCAGCATGGCTGAGGGTAGAGTGATAAAAAATAATCTACAAAAGCAAAGTGAAGGCAAATCCTAAGTACCAGTACTTATTTTCTTCTTCAGCCACCTCTTCATCCCTTAAGCCAAGAACCTAGAACAAAGCTAGATATGATACGAACTAAATAATAGCTTATAATGATAAAAACATTAATGGCAGCTAAGATTTAGGGTGGAATTATTATATGCCATGCACTGCATAAAACACTTTATAAACATTATTTCATTTAATCCTAATTTAAAAATCTATTAAGTAGGCACTAATAATCCTCTCATATCACAGAACTGAAGCTTAGGAAAAATAACTTTTCCAAAATCAAACTGCTAAAACGTGGATTCACAACTTATCAGATGTCTCCAAAACCTATGAACTAAACCAAAATTAATGTTAACAAATACATCAATCAGAAAATTTACAATCAGATTATCAACCTCCACATAGCAATAGCTGTACTACATTAGAAGGACAGTGAGAAGCTAAAATTCATTCCCTAACCTTAAGGAACACTTTATCCTGAGGTCAAAGAATGCTCTAAAAAATACAGTATAAAGCTTCGAAATTCTGTAACTGTGGGACCTTGAGCACAGGTCCCTATTTTACATTGGGGGGCTTCAATTTTCTTGTCTAAAAAAATGGGTATAGCAGTACCTACACTATGTACGATGTGGTAAGAATGAGATAAAGCGCCTAGAGATTTTAACACAATGTCAGACACGATGTAAATTGCAGCTATCTACAATACAATTACTGCCCATATAGGCAGATAATTAGATAACTAGAAAAATATGCTCCCAACTTGGTGGGAGAATCTAGGACGTATCCAGAAAAGGCATTTATCTGTCATTGATAATCCTGGGCCCCGCAAGGCTATGCAATACGGGGGTAAAAAAAAAAAACGGGGTGGCAAAGCTGAGATTCTAGTGTACCGTTCGCGAGCCCCAGGGCCTAAAGCAGAGCCTGGCACTTAAGCTCTCAAGAGGATGAGACGTCTGGATGGCATCACCGACTCAATGGAGATGAGTCTGAGTAAACTCCGGGAGTTTAGTGATGGACAGGGCAGCCTGGCCTGCTGCAGTCCACGGGGTCGCAGAGAGTCGGACACGACTGAGCGACTGAACTGAACTGGATTGAGGCGGGACCCTTCCGCAACTCCGAGGCGACAGACTTACCCCAAGGCCAGCTTCCCCCTGAGATTCTGCACCCATAACGCACCTGCAATATCAACACAAGTCGTTAATTCAGATTCCCACCTCACTCCCTTCTTCCACCACTTAATCATCAAGAAATCTTACCCAAACTTTCCAGTATAACCGCCGCCATTTTTCCTCCCTCCGTCTACGGAAGCCTTTGAGTTCAGAACGCCTTGTGCGCAAAACGCATGCGCAATTCTCCGGATTTTGGGTTTTGTTGGGTTTTTGGTTTTTTCCCCTTCTTATCGCGATACCGAGCCGCACCTTCATTCGCGGTGTTCTCTTGGAAACCGTCTACAAGAGACGGGTGCTTAAGGTGGGGTCCCGTCAGCCTTGCTTCTAGCGAGCTTCCGAAAATTCGTCGGGATCCAGAAAAACTGCGAAGCCTCACAAATGGTCTGAAAGTATTAGGAAAATAGACCGTGAACCAAGCCAACTAACCTGGGAGGACTTCAGTTTTCTCAAAACAAAAATAAGTATCGCTAGGGCACAGGCTTGTAAAGAACACTAGAGATTGTATGAAAGTCCTTCTTAAGAACTCAAAGTATCAAAGTTCTAGTCAGTCAGTAGTATCGGACTCTTTGCAACCCCATGGACTGTAGCCTGCCAGGCTCCTCTGTCCATGGAATTTTCCAGGCAAAAATACTGGAGTGGGTTGCCATTCCCTTCTCCACGGGGATCTTCTCAACCCAGGGATCGAACCCAGGTCTCCTGCATTGCAGGCAGATTCTTTACTGTCTGAGCCACCAGGGAAGCCCACTATGTATAAAATAAGCCACAAGGATATATTGTACAGCACAGGAAATACGGCCAATATCTTATAATAACTTTCAGTTGAGTTCAGTTGTTCAGTCGCGTCCAACCCTTTGCGACCCCATTGACTGCAGCAAGGCCAGGCCTCCCTGTTCATCATCAACTTCTGGAGTTTGCTCAAACTCATGTCCACTGAGTCAGTGATGCCATCCAACCATCTCATCCTCTGTCGTCCCCTTCTCCTCCTGCCTTCAGTCCTTCCTAGCATCGGGGTCTTTTCCAAGGAGTCAGCTCTTCGCATCCGGTGGCCAAAGTACTGGAGTTTCAGCTTCAGCATCAGTCCTTCCAATGAATATTTAGGACTGATTTCCTTTAGGATGGACTGGTTGGATCTCCTTGCAGTCCAAGGGACTCTCAAGAGTCTTCTCCAACACCACAGTTCAAAAGCACCAATTTTTCAGCACTCAGCTTTCTTTATAGTCCAACTCTCACATTCATACAAGACTACTGGAAAAACCATAGCCTTGACTAGACGGACATTTGTTGGCAAAGTAATGTCTCTGCTTTTTAGTATGTTGTCTAGGTTGGTCATAAACTTCCTTCCAAGGAGTAAGCATCTTTGAATTTTGTGGCTGCAGTCACCATCTGCAGTGATTTTGGAGCCCAAAAAAATAAAGTCTGCCACTGTTTCCACTGTTTCTCCATCTATTTGCCATGAAGTGATGGGACTGGATGCCATGATCTTAGTTTTCTGGATGTTGAGCTTTAAGCCAGTTTTTTCATTCTCTTCTTTCACTTTCATCAAGAGGCTCTATTGTTCTTCACTTTCTGCCACAAGAGTGGTGTCATTTGCATATCTGAGGTTATTGATATTTCTCCCAGCAATCTTGATTCCAGTTTGTGCTTCATATAGCCCAGTGTTTCTTATGAGGTACTCTGCATATAAGTTACATAAGCAGTGTGACAATATACAGCCTTGACATACTCCTTTACCTATTTGGAACCAGTCTGTTGTTCCATGTCCAGTTCTAACTGTTGCTTCCTGACCTGCATACAGGTTTCTCAAGAGGCAGGTCAGGTGGTCTGGTATTCCCATCTCTTCCAAAATTTTCCACAGTTTATTGTGATCCACACAGTCAAAGGTTTTGGCATAGTCAATAAAGCAGAAATGGATGTTTTTCTGGAACTCTCTTGCTTTTTTGATGATCCAGCAGATGTTGGCAATTTGATCTCTGTTCCCCTGCCTTTTCTAAAACCAGCTTGAACATATGGAAGGTCACGGTTCACATACTGTTGAAGCCTGGCTTAGAGATTTTTTTTTTCATTTATTTTTATTAGTTACCATCTAGGCTAATTACTTTACAATATTGTAGTGGTTTTTGCCATACATTGACATGAATCAGCCATGGGTGTACATGTGTTCCCCATCCTGAACCCCCCTCCCACCTCCTTCCTCATCCCATCCCTCTGGGTCATCCCAGTGGACCAGCCCCAAGCACTTGTCTCATGCATCCAACCTGGACTGGTGATCTGTTTCACAGTTGATAATATACATGTTTTTATGCTGTTCTCTCAGATCATCCCACCCTCGCCTTCTCCCATAGAGTCCAAACATCTGTTCTATAATCTGTGTCTCTTTTTCTGTCTTGCATATAGCGTTATCATTACCATCTTTCTAAATTCCATATATATGCATTAGTATGTATTGGTGTTTATCTTTCTGGCTTACTTCACTCCGTGTAATGGGCTCCAGTTTTATCCACCTCATTAGAACTGATTCAAATGTATTCTTTTTAATGGCTGAGTAATATTTCATTGTGTATATGTACCATAGCTTTCTTATCCATTCGTCTGCTGATGGGCATCTAGGTTGCTTCCATGTCCTGGCTAAAAAACATGAAACACTTCATGAATTTGCGTGTTATCCTTGCGCAGGGGCCATGCTAATCTTCTCTGTATCGTTCCAATTTTAGTATATGTGCTGCCGAAGCGAGCACGGCTTAGAGAATTTTGAACATTACTAGCATGTGAGATGAGTGTAATTGTGCGGTAGTTTGAGTATTCTATGACATTGCCTTTCTTTGGGATTGGAATGGAAACTGACCTTTTCCAGTCCTGTGGCCACTGCTGGCATATTTGCTAGTATATTGAGTGCAGCACTCTCACAGAATCATCTTTTGGGATTTGAAATAGCTCAACTGGAATTCCATCAACTCCACTAGCTTTGTTCGTAGTGATGCTTCCTAAGGCCCACTTGACTTCACATTCCAGGATGTCTGGCTCTAGGTGAGTGATCACACCATCATGATTATTTGGGTCGTGAAGATAGTGGAGTTAATCTTCAAAAATTGTGAATCACTGTTATATACTTGAAATTAATACTGTAAATCAATGACACTTCAATAAATAAATAAAAATAAGGAAAAAATGGTTCAAATACTAAGTATGATGCTAATCTTCAGGTTTACCTCCAAGAGTTAAGAGTTAATATTCAGCATGCACTAGCTACCATATATATCCAGCAGACATTTCACTAAATCTCATGTAATCCTCACAGCTAGATCCAACCCAACTAGATCTGGATCGCGATCTTACTTCTTCAGCTGAGAAAAAAGATTTATGACAGGTTAAAGTCCCTGAGATAATAACTGGTAAAAACAGTGGTAAACCTAGGGAAAAATATTTATAATAGGTTAAAGTCTCTCATATAATAACTGGCACAAACACTGGCCAATTGAGGGGAAAAAGATTTATAATAGGCCAAAATCTCTCAGATAATAACTGGTAAAAACAACAGTGGCTAAAAACCATCTAGGCTTCGGTGCCACCAAAGTTTAGTGTTCCTACCCACATCCAAATAAGTAAGTTTTATATATATATAATATATGTATATATAAAACTTCTCTTCAATAGCATAGATAGTTCAAGTTTCCTTTGCTACATATTCAAGAGTTCGAGATACCCAATGCAAACAAGCAATACGAAGAAGAGTAAGTGCATATACAGAGCATTTTAGGCCGTTTGAGGTGAAAGGAAACTGGTTCTTTTTCCTCCACAGCACTTAACACATACAGTCCCTTCATAGATTCGGTACTTAATCACATCAAAAGAGAGTTACTCTATTCTGCTTCTCCTTGAGTATCAAAACCCAGAGCTAGAATTTCCACCCAGTTAGAAAAACCCTTGTTTTTGATTTCTGAGTAGAATTTTTACCTTTTTGCTAGTTGGCTTCTTGTAGATACTATAAAAGCATCTTCAGAGCTAGCATGGCAGAGAATAAACCAGCAGGGCGGGGAGGTGACTCCATCAGTCTAACCTCTTAATTAACTTTCTTTGCTGTCGTTAATGAAAATACCTAACCTCTGGACTGGGCTTCCTAGGTGGCTCAGACCGTAAAGAATCCGCCTGCAATGCGGAAAACCTAGGTTGGATTCCTGAGTTGGGAAGATCCCCTGGAGGGGGGCTTGACAACCCACTCCAGTATCCTTGTCTGGAGAATTCCATGGACAGAGGAGCCTGGCGGACTGCACAATACATGGGGTCGCAGAGTCGGACACGACTGAGCGACTAAGCACACAGCACAACCTCTGGCTAGCTAGGCTCCAGCGGTACCAAGCCAACTTCACCCCGGGGCCCCGCCTGTCCCAGGCTCGAGGCGTCAGGAGTCGAGCGCGCCGTGAGGTTTGGACCTTCGCGCGCGCCGTAGCGGCGGGCCGAGAAGGCGGGGCTCCGAGTCAACCCCGCCCCCTTCCCGGCTCCAGCGTGGGGCTACGAACGGTCTGCTCCAGTGGTTGTTTCCCTCATCCCTGGTTGCTCGTGATTATGGGACAGGAACCGCGCACGTTGCCGCCCTCCCCTAACTGGTACTGCTCCCGATGCAGCGATGCCGTGCCCGGAGGCCTCTTCGGCTTCGCGGCGCGGACTTCGGTCTTCCTTGTCCGCGTGGGCCCTGGCGCGGACGCGATCCCAGGGACGCCCCCATTTCGAGGTAAGTCGCCACTTCTTGACCCCAACCTATCTGCACTAACTGCGTTCCCCAGGGGCGCCGAGAGGGCGTGGCTAGCCACCTCACCCCGCCATAGATGGGGAAACTGAGGCTCGGGCAGAGAGAAGGGGCTATTCACAGTCGTGTCCGGGTCACCAAGGCTGAGCTCTACACCACGCTGTGGCTGAGCGGTCCCGCCTCCTGGCTCTCTCAGCGTGCATCCGCTGGCTTACTAAAAAGTTATCCATGTGTCTTTCCAGGTATTTATAACACCTAGGCCTCGCTTTCTACAGCTCCAGGTCGTAAGCGAGATCCTGCAAATGTATGATACTCACTTCTGTAAGATAAACGACTTGAGCCGAATGCTTCCAGGCTCCAGTAGGTTTTGGTTATGCCTTGGGATACGGCATGCCAGATAACTTTCACTCTTCTAAAAGACTTCTAGCCAGATCTAAATACAAATCCCTTTTACATTCTTCATTGGAGCTGCCCCTCAGCCTAAGAACTAGGCACATCAAGCGATATGAACGTATTTTACAGTTAAAAAGACTGAGTCCCAAGGAGATAAAACGACTTGTCTGAAGTCAGATGGCACAGCCAATATCTGCACTTGAGGTTTCTAATTGTGGGTTTCTGGATATTTTTGTTATTCCATGAAATCAGAGAGGCCGCAATCACCAACAACAGTTAAGATTCTGGCAGAAAAAAAAAAAAAAGATTGTCAGGTGACTTTGGGGAGTATTATAAAATTAATTCTTGCCTGAGTTTTTCCCAAGAAATAAACTATGGCCCCAAATTTGAAAAAAAAAAAGATTCTGGCAGGAATCTTAGATAGCTCTTTAACTTGCAGCCTGGTTTTGCTTGAAGTCATAGGCGAGTTGGTGGGACACACGGAAAAGGTGTCTGGTTTCACGTTTTGTCATCACCCGGGTCAATACAATCTCTGCGCCACCAGCTCTGATGATGGGACTGTGAAAATCTGGGATGTAGAGACAAAAGCAGTTGTGACGGAACATGCACTCCATCAGGTACCATAGCTTACTTGTTTCTCAGACTATTCATATATATCTGTGTCAGAGTTCTCCTGCTTCAAGTATAGTTTTGCTAGCTCCTCTGTGCTAGGTTAACTTTTATATATATACATTTAAAATTAAATATAATTTAAAATGTATATATTATATATTATAAATATATAAATAAAATTTATATAATATATATAAGGTAAACTTTTATAATTGTGTTTGTTCATTAGATCAGAAGGTGTATATTGTAAAGGTACCTCAAAAATTTTTTGGAAGGAGATACGTATAAATCAGAGGTCAACAAACTGCACTGCTGCCTGCTTTTGCAGCCTGTTTCACTGGAATACAATCCCAGCTGTTCATCTTAGTATTGCCTACAATTTTAACTATTGCTGCTTGCAGGCTACAATGGCAGAATTGAGAGTTAAAACAGAAATAATATGGCCCACACAATCTAAAATACTTACTCTCTGCCTCTTTACACGAAAAAGATTCCTGAGATAAACTGTGAGTGAAACTTATTTCGAAACTAGATGGTTAATTGATATACCTGCCTAGAAAATGTAGAAAAGAACTCAGTTAATCTTAGGAAGAATTTTGCATTAATCTACAAAGGAAGAAAAAATTTAATCATTCTTAGCCTGAATTCTCCTATCATTTGATTATAATATAATCTTGCTATATGGGTGGTCCTAACAGTATTTATTAAGTACCTATAATATACCTAGCATTATACAGATTAAAAACTAAGTAAAAATTAAGCAATAACAAATGAGAAGCAAATACATCTTTCCGTTGTTTTAAAGCACACCATATCAGCATTGCATTGGTCTCCTCGAGTAAAGGATCTGGTAGTATCTGGAGATGAAAAAGGAGTAGTTTTCTGTTACTGGCTTAACAGAAATGACAGCCAGCACCTGTTTATAGAACCCAGGACAATTTTCTGTCTTACTTGCTCGCCTCATCATGAAGATTTAGTAGCCATTGGGTAAGTACTGTGCCATCTGCACTAATAGTTTATTTTTGTTGATGGTGCTTTTTTGTATTTCTTTACCTTTTCCTATCCTTTTATTCCTCAAGGGAAGCCATTTACAGGTATTAACCACTCTCCCTGCACCCCTAGTATCATTATTCCTGTGACCTCCAGGTCCTCACTGTATTTTTGTTGCCTTGGTTTCTGTGATACTGTACTTTCCTCATTCTTCATACCTGATTTCTTCAGTGAATCTCCAAATGTCAGAAATGCCCTCTTTTACTCCTCTGTACATAACCCTTGGTTATATTAATAACATTTATTCCCATAGTGTCAAATGACTCAGCTCTGCTCTGATTCTCAGCTCTTCCACTCAATTGGGAAAGCAGTGTGGCATTGGGATCCGTCTCCCCTGTGATCATCAAGGTGTCTTCACATGAGCTGCCTCAGTAGGCGGTCCCCTCTCCCTTACTGCTCCATTTACTTCTCTCTCAAAGATGTCCATTCTGTCTAGTTTAGAGATGAGACATAGGCACAAGAATCTAAGAGGAGAAAGTCCAACAGGAGAGAATTCAAGAGACTTGGAGGTGGGGTAGATACACATGGAGACTTTTCCACAAAGTCTGTTGCAACAGTGTACATGTAGACATGAAGCCAGAGGAGGTATATGGGGGTCAAGGGAGCATTAAATGGAAGGTAACAAAGGCGTGTTTCTATGCTGATGTAAATGAGGCAGAAGAAGGGGAGTCTATTGCAGGGGTGAACAGTGATGAATACAGGAGTGATAATAAGTCAGGAGGGAATTAGCTCCAGATCACAAGTAAAAGGAACAGCTGAGAATGTGAAAATAAGTGTTAAGTAGCTTCACAGATCTGCTTGGAAGAGAAGGGTGTTTCATTCTGATGACTTCTGATTTTTTGTGAGGCACAAGTCAAGTTCAGAGTGGGGCAGGAGCTGGATGCAGGAAGAAGGTATGAACAGAGTCATCTCAGAGAACAGGAAAATGAACTTTCTGAGGGAAACTGCAGGTCCCCTGTTCCTGGTTGAGTGCCAAGCCGAGGATCATAATCGTGAATTTTAAGCAAACTACTCAAATTGATTGAGTCTCAGCCAGGTTTGGGGTTTTGTAGAGTAAATACCCTGAGAAAAGGGGGAACAAAGGAGATGAGGATTTTATTTAAGGACTGATTATAATGAATGCATCATTCGGGCATGAACAGGAAGACAGGTGTGGGTGAGTAACACTGAAAATGGAAGGGGTCTGTGATCAGAGGTCTCCATGAAATGGGAGCATTGTGGTAAGGGTACAAGAGACAGAGCAGAAAGGGTGGTAGGCAGGGGTCAGAGAATGGTAAATCAAACTGACCTTGACAGATGAGCAGAAATTCACAGGAAGAGGTGAGTCTTTCAAACAGTCAAACAGGATTGGATCAGAATGATTTGTTTTTAAGTGTTCTTCAAAACAGTGATTAGTCCCTGAAGTCTTATTGAAATTGCAAAACAGCTTGATCACATGTCTGTTAGGTTATATAACTTGATGGTTTTCAAAGTCTGTATCTTCAAAGATTTGATATATTCTATGATTTTTTTGTAATAATAATAAAGTAATAATAAAGTTGTAATTGGGAAAAAAATTTTTTAATAAAAAGAGAAAGCTATAGGATTATCTAATGTATAGGAAATGTAAACAGGTATGCCCACTTTGGAGAGCAATTTTGCACTTTCTAGTAAAGCAAAAATGTGACTAACATTCTGGCAGTTCTGTTACTAGGCATCAAACCTGAAACTGTCTTAAGTGTGTGATAAGATTATTAATTAAGTTTACTATATATGTATAATCTTATAATAATAAGATTATTAATAGCATTTTATGTTTATAATAGTAAAAAAAAAAGTGAGAGCCTTTCAAAAGGAAAATGAGTAACTAAACTTGAAGTATATTCATACAGTGGAGTACTATATAATAGTATAAATGACTGATCAGGGACTATAGTTACATGTGTCAACATGGATGACTCACAAAAAGAATGAGTGGAAAAAACAAGCTACAGAAAAATAGACATGTTACCATTTATAGGAAGCTTTTAAATGTACAAAGTAATTTTGTATCTCATTTAGGAATATATACAAAGAAAGTCTAGAACTGATACAACACAAGATTCAGGAATAGCAGTTTACCTCTGTGGAAGAGAGGGGGAGAAATTTGATTGGGATGAGATATACAGAGGATTTCAACTGTACTGCAAAGTTTTTTTTTCTTCCCTTAAGCTAGAGAGTAGATATTTCTTTATTGGATCTGAAATACTTCATCATTTAAAGAAAAAAAAAATTAGAATTTCTCAATTTCTTCTAAATTAAAAAAAATGACAGTCTTGAAATACTCAGATTTACAGGTTAGAATTCTGCAGAATTCTAACAGTAATTCTGTTAGAATTACTTTTGTTAGAAAAGTAAGATTACTTGTAAAAGTAAAAAGATATTTTTAGTGTATTAGGACAAATTCATTTCCAATTAGGGGGATTGCTGGCCCCTTTCAGGACTATTTTTCTTTAACGTTTCCCTTGAGCACAAGCATGCTGTGCTGTCAGCCTTCATGCTGGGCAACATGTATAGTATACCATAGTACCAGGAATTTGATCATTTGATCATTTAATCAAAATATGAAATAAATATACTTTGGAAAAAGGACAGAACAAAATTATTCCTTGCTCTCTTTCCTCCTCCGATCCCCACCCCCGGCCCATGCACTTAACTTTTAGAAATAAACAATAACTCCTAAGCCAAAATGTTTCCTAGAAAGACTGTCTGTATTTTTCAGCAGTATTTCTGACCTTGTTTTTTAGCTACAAGAATGGCGTAGTGGTTATAATTGACATCAGCAAGAAAGGAGAAGTTATGCACAGGCTTCGAGGACATGATGATGAGATCCATTCCATAGCCTGGTGTCCCCTGTCGGGTGAAGACTGTTTATCCATAAATCAAGAGGAAAATTCAGGTAGAGATGATTTAAGAGGGTTCAGTACTCTTTAGACCCAGAGAACCAAGTGGGTAGAATAGTGTCATTTGAACTACATTTAAAACTAGATTTTACAGATCAAATCTATGAAAATGATAGTTACAGGAACCTTGCAGACTCGTTTTTTATTTAATGAGTGCATTTTTAATGCAAATTAAAAACAAAATTACCATCTCTATCATAGAAGAACCTGAAATTCCCAATGGGAAAGTTATAGCACAAACTGCAGTAACAAAAGGCTGCTACTTAGCCACTGGGAGCAAAGACCAGACCATTCGGATCTGGAGCTGCTCTAGAGGCCGAGGTAAGACTAATTCGACATTTTCTTTGTGATATAACCTCTGTCAATCTAGTAAAAGCTTTTTTACTGTCTTGTTATCCTGAGTGTGTGTCTTGACTGTCCATGGAACTTCTTTTAATCTGCAGGGGTGATGACTTTGAAACTGCCCTTTCTTAAAAGAAGAGGAGGGGGTGTAGACCCAACTGTTAAAGAGCGCCTTTGGTTGACACTCCATTGGCCCAAGGATCAGCCAACTCAGCTGGTATCCAGCTGTTTTGGGTAAGTTTTTTTTTTTGGCGGGGGGGTGGGGGGGTGTCATGCTCTCTGACACATTTTGTTTTCCTCTCTAGTCTCAGGAATTCCTAGGCTTCTCTTTCTAGACACAGAAGATGGAGACAGCAGTGGCTAAGGTTTATGTTATGATGGGCCATTTGTAATGGAAAAGTCATGGAATTAATACCAGTGCTGTCTAATAAGAGTTATGAAAAGATCAAATAAGTACAGCCTGCTTGTTAAGCATGGACTCTGAAGTCAAGCAGATTTCAGAATCAGTCCGTTACTTATCAGCTGATCATAAGCAAGATCCTTCACCTTTCTGAGCTTCAGTGACTTCACATGAATAAAGGGGCAGTTATAGTGTTTCCTTTCTCTTAGGATGATTACGACCATTCGTTAAGCAAAATTTATTGAGCACCTATTTCTAGTTGCTTGAGATGACAAGTGAATTTAACAATGTCCCTGCTTTTAAATGAGGTAATACAGGTAAAGCATATAGGAACCTCCCAAAGTGTTAGTCATAATGCTACTCCCCTCACTGCTCCAGAGCAGACATATGTCTTAAATTAAAGCCTTTGTGGTTATACAAATTATGGTGGCATTTTATAATTAAAGCTGTTAGGAAAATCTGTTCAGAAGGTAGTCTGGTACATTTGCATGGTTCAAAAACGATGAAAGGATATAATAAAGCTCCATTTAAAAAATTTTAGCCACACCACGTAGCTTGCCTGACCAAATCAGGCAACTGCAGTGAAAGCACCGTGTCCTAACTACTGGACCACCAACCAACTCCAGAGCTCCCTTTCCACCTCTGCCTTCTCTGCTTGGTTCTCCTCGCCATAGGCAATAGTTTCTTTTGTTTTTGCATCTGTCTTAGAATATGTAATTTGTCTCTCCTTAAAAGAACAATGAACAGAAAGTATTTTGCAGCTGAGGGCCCACACTCTGGCCCAAAACCACTTGTTTTCAGATTGCTCATGAAAGAGAACTGCTACTTGTTTTTTCTTTACAGAGGTGAACTGCTACTGTGGGATCTCACTCAGTCTTGGAGACGGAAATATACCCTCCTTAGTGGTTCATCAGAAGGGCAAAATCATTCAAGGATTGTGTTTAATTTATGTCCTCTGGAAACTGAAGATGACAAACAGCTGCTGCTTTCCATATCAATGGACAGAGATGTAAGAACAGCTTATTTTGCATTCAACACTGTATAGTGGTGATTTATGACTTGGATAGGATTAGAGGACTTCTTTAAGCTATCATCAGTTCTCACACCTCACCTCACCCCCAGGTTCCAATTTCAAAGTTACTGTTTCTATTTGGCATTAAATACATTAGCAGTAGAGAAGTAAGGAGAAGGGGAGGAACAACCAAGATGTCTTTTTGTTAAAGCAGATACAATAAGGAAGAGATGTGTGCATGGAAGGATGTGAGAGGTCATCATGGTTTAGCTTTAAAATATCTTTATCTATAGTTTAGGTAGCAGAATCATCTGCTCTTGTCAGTCTCTGTAAGACAGAATTGGCTTTATCTAAGTAACCTTAGTGTTTTGCAATAAGCAAAGCTTGTTTGATAGAGTTTGTTTTCTCCCAAGTCACTGTGAAGTCAAGTGAAGATTAAAAACTTAGCACTCCTCTTCCAGTGGCTATGGTAATATATTTTGCTTTTTGAGATAAACTGATTCTTCCACTGTCCTGGGACAATCGTCATCTTTTTTCTTTCTTTATTTTATTTTTTATTTTTTTAGTTTACCAAATGAGATTATCAATGCTGTAATATTGTGGAAAGGCCACTGGACTTGGAAATAGGAAGCCTGAGTTCTAGTGTACTGTGTGCCTTCAATTCACTTGGCATCTTAGGGAATAAATGTATTCCAAGATCCCTTTGAGCCCTGTAATTTACTGCTTTTTTTTTTCTAATTCCTACTGGAATAGTTAAGTTACATTCTCCTGCGGCACTCCTTGAGCCCATTCTGTCTGAAATGTTGATTGTTTGTCCTGTTTCTCTGGTCTTCATAAATACCCTGACCCTTGACCTTTTCAGGTAAAATGCTGGGACATGGCCACTCTGGAGTGCTGCTGGACCCTGCCTTCCCTCGGTGGGTTCGCCTACAGTCTGGCCTTCTCTCCTGTGGACACAGGCTGCTTGGCGATAGGCGTCGGGGACGGCATGATCCGCGTGTGGAATACACTCTCCATAAAGAACAACTATGACATGAAAATTTTTTGGCAAGGTGTCAAGTCCAAGGTTACAGCGGTAAGGATGCTTCCTCTAAGCTTGCCACGCACTGTTTGCAAATAACTAACTCTCTCTTAGAGAATACCTGTCCACACAAGTGAACTCTACTGGGAATTCACACTTCTTCAAGAGTATTTTTGATGCAGTTTGAAACAGGGAAAGCACAGGGATCCTCCCTAACCAAACACATTACCTTCTAATTCAGAAATTTGGCTTTGTTTGTAAAATTACATTTTTATTTAAGTCACCCTGTTTTCTAATAGTAAGAAATTTAAAATAACCTGGATGTGCATGTGTTCATAGGAGGTACATTAAATTATAACCACATGGGGAATAATAATGTTTGTGATTTTAAAAAACCCACAGTACAGAAGTGTAGAAAGCAAAATGTTTTCTTTTCCACCTTTGACTCCATTCTCCCGCTTCCATAATCCAAAGCACTGTTGATGTATCTTTCCAAGCTTTGTTAATTAATAATAGAATCATATTTTCTAAATTGTTCTGGAATCTTTTACTCCCTACCCAACAGTGTGTCACGCACATCATTTAAACATTTGATCCTATTTTTGCTTTTCAACTATATATAAAGTTTACTCACAAAAAATTTCTAGAAAGATACAGAACTGGCAGTGGGGTGTTTTGGATGGTAAAATTATAGGTGACTTTATTTTTAATACTATTTCTCTTTTAAATAATGAGAATTTGTTACTTTTAAAATTAGAAGACACCAAGAGCAAGAAATTTTTCCAGTTGAACACTGAAGTATAACCTAATGAGTCCCTTAACAGTGCCCCTCTCTTGATATTTCCTTGTAGCTGTGCTGGCACCTGACCAAGGAAGGCTGCTTAGCTTTTGGAACTGACGATGGAAAAGTGGGATTGTATGACACCTACTCCAACAAGTAAGAAATAGATGATCCTTATTTAGCCCATTGACCAAAATGTTAGTGAGTTCACTTTGAGTTCATAGACCCAGATGTTTATTTATCATACTAAGACTGGGAAGCATCTTTTAAGATTCTGACTCTGCGACTGGGGCTTAGAACTCAGAATTTTATTTTTAAAACATTTTTTCAGGTGATAGTGATGGTTTAGCCCATCTGACCTGTGAACACCACTGAAGTTTGTTTTTTTTTTTTCCAGGAAAACATTTGCTTTTGTTTTCCCTGAACAATTTTTTTTACTAAAGTTTTCAGGCATCCAAGAATGTTAAATTATACATAGGGGCTTCCTTGGTGGCTCAGATGGTAAAGAATCTGCTTACAATGCAGGAGACCCAGGTTTGATCCCTGAATTGGGAAGATCCCCTGGAGAACAGAATGGCTACCCACTATAGTATTCTTTCCTGGAGAATTCCGTGGACAGAGAAGCATGGTGGGCTAGTCTAAAGGGTCGCAAAGGGTCAGACACAACTGAGCGACTGACATTTATATGGACTTCCCTGGTGGCACAGACCATAAAGAATCTGCCTGCAATGTGGGAGACCCGGGTTTGATCCCTGGTTGGGAAGATCCCCTGGAGAAGGACATGGCTACCACTCCAGTATTGTTGAGTGTAGAATTCCATGGACAGAGGAGCCTGGCGGGCTGCAGTCCATGGGGTCACAAAGAGTCAGACACAACTGAGCAACTAACACTTTCACTTTCAAGAATGTTAAAAGCTTAGAATAAAGAACATCTCTGTATGTTCCATCTTGAATTACCATTTGTTAACATTTTGCCATACTTTTGGTACACTTAACAAAAATTAGCAGTAATCTATAATATGATGTAATATCCTGTGTGCATACAAATTTCCTTAGTTGAGCCAAAAATGTTTTTCTAGCAATTTTTTTTCAAACCTTTTTTCAATCAGGGGTCACATATTGTATTTTTTTATGTCTCTTTAGTCTCTTATTATAGAATAGTCCCCCACTTCTTTCCATAACATTGCCTTTTCAATTTGAAGATTCCAGATAAGTTGTTTTCCAGCATATTCTACATTTTGGACTTGTCTAGTTAATTCTTTGTGGTGACTTGTAACTCATTTCACTCTTTCCTGTATTTCCTATATTGTCTTCCTTGTATTGCCTGTAAACTTTCTAGAACAGCACTATATCTTTAGTCACAGGTGGCTCCTGAAGTGTGCTGAGTGTAGAACACACCTGAGAGTTCAAAAAAGAAAAGAATGTAAGATGCCTCAATAATTATTTATTTTAATTATATTTTAAAAGGTAATACTTTTTATATACTGAGCTCATTCCTAAAATTGAATTTCACTTGTTTCTGATACTTCTGTTAACATGGCTACTAGAAAGCTTTAAGTTGCAGACGGGGCTTGTATTTATGGCTCACAGTATAAATCTGTTGGACACAGCTATTCTGAGTTCTTAATTAGATTCCAGATCTGCACTGTTCAGTTTGGTAGCCACTGGCCACGTGTGGCTACTTATGCTTAAAGTAATTAAAATTAAATAAAATTAAGTTCCTAGTCACATGCGCCACATTGCCAGTGCTCAAGGGCCATATCTGGCTAAGGGCTACTTTATTGGACAGCACTGTTCTAGGCCAGGGATTAGAGTACTGTGGCCCATGAGCTAGGAAAGTGCTTAGTCGCTCAGTCGTGTCCAACTCTTTGCGATCCCATGAACTGTAGCCTGCCAGGCTCCTCTGACCATGGGATTTCCCAGGCAAGAATACTTTAGTGGGTTGCCATTTCCTCCTCCAAGGGATCTTCCCAACCTAGGGATCAAACCCAGGTCTCCTGCATTGCAGGCGGATTCTTTTATCGTCTGAGCCACCAGAGAAGCCCATGAGTTAAGAATAGTTATATCTTTTAAAAATCAATGAAAAAGAATCAAGACTATTTCACAAAGTGTGAAAAGTAAGTAAAATTCAAGTTTCTCTGTCCATAAGTAGAGTTTTATTAGAGCCCTGCCACACTCGTTTCATTACATCTTATCTGAGGCTGCTTGCGGGCTACACAGCAAAGTGGATGGATTGTGACAAAAAAACTGCTTGACTCACAAAGTTTGAAGCACTGACTACTTGGCCCTTTACAGAAAAAGTTTGCCTACTCCTGTTCTAGGTCATTTGCACCTAAGTGAGAATCATTCATTATACTGTAGAACTGACCTTTTCATGTGCCAGTTCTTTAGGTACTTGTGTATAACTTGTTGTTTATTGTTTAATCACTAAGTCACATCTGACTTTTTGCAACCCTATGGACTGTAGCCCACCAGGCTCCTCTTGGGATTTCCCAAGCAAGAATACTGAGTGGGTGGCCATTCCCTTCTCCAGGGGATCTTCCCAAGCCAGGGATCAAACCTACACCTCCTGCATTGGCAGGCAGATTCTTTACCACTGAACCACCAGGGAAGACGCTATGTGTAACTTACACAGTTAACTGTTTTTCTCCATTTTTAATCTTTTTTTTTAAAGGCTACACTATTTCAAAGAAGTACTTAATAAAATAAAATTATATATCAATTTAAATAGCTTTGTGTCAGTACAAAATTACTTATTCTAGTAAATTACTATCTTTTGGTTATTATAAGCTGAATATTCAAACTGATAGCAGCAAAGGTATATAGTAGGAGGAAGGACGTTACTGTAGATATATTGTTAGGTATCTAACCAGAAATGTTTATTCTATTTCCTTTACCCAATGAAAATTTGGTTTATTGTCTAGACTGATCATGATAAATGTGTCAGATACATGGAAATAAAGAAGTCAACAGTTCATTCAGTCACAGATACTGGAATTCTAAAATCACACAAAGAGTATAGTATATGTTAAAGGTAATAACTGCACTACCCTGTCTGGACACATCACATATCATTAATCAACCACAACCTTCAAAAATATCCTGAAAAGCAGGGTTTCTTTTTTTAAAAAAAAATAAAAACCAAAAGCTCAAAAAGAACTACCACATGACCCAGCAATTTCACTCCTCGAGATATATCCAAAAAAACCAAAAACACTAATTCTAAAAGATACACGCACCCCAATCTTCAAAGCAGCATCATTTACCATTGCCAAGATATGGGAGTAACCTAAATGTCCATCCACAGATGAAAGGATAAAAAAGATGTGTGTGTGTATGTGTGTATATATGTATATACTGTATACATATAGTATATATGTATATGCTACTCAGCCATAAAAAACAATGAAATGTCACCATTTGCAACAACATGGATGGATGTAAAGGACATTATGCTAAGTGAAATAAGTCAGACAGAAAAAGACAAATACTATAAATATCACTTATATATGGAATCTAAAAAATACAAGCAACTACTGAATGTAACAAAGAAGAAGCAGACTCACAGATACATAGAACAAACTAGTGGTTACCAGTGGGGGAGGGGTGGATTATAGAGCTAGAGGAGGGAAAGGTATAAACTATTGGGTGTAAGGCTCAAGGGTGTATTGTATAACATGGGGAGTATATCCAGCATTTTGTAATAACTAAATGGAAAATAATCTTTAAAAATTGTAAAACATTTTTAAAATTTTTAAAATAAAAACCATTATTACGTAGAAAGGAGGCTAATTACTTTACAATATTGTAGTGTAGAAAGGATGGAAGAAATGAGTGTTTGTGAAGAATAAAAATACTAATCCAGAGGAAAAAAACTTAAAAACCGATCTACTCTGAAATCTTGGGAAGTCCTTGGCTGTCCAGTGGTTAGGACTGCCCACTGCTACTGCAGGAGGCACAGGTTCAATCCTTGGTCCAGGATCCTGCAAGTGGCTTAGAACAGCCAAAAATAAATAAATTAAGCCTTAGTTTGAGAATGTGATGTTAATGACAGGGTAGGCCAAAAATGATTCTAGACTTTTACTTGAATATAAGGTGGATATATTTGCATGATGATAATATATGCTTAGTAATAACCTTATTTCTGGGCTGAACAGTTTGCATTTTCTGTCTTGTCCTGTTTTTCTCAAGTTGTGATAGCCTTTACTTTTGTATATAACTACAGTAATATTAGAATATTTGACGTTTAAGTGAAGTGAGAAACTCGGGGATGGGGAAAATGACCCCAAACTGGCCAGTTAAGGGATGTTAATAACTATTTTCCAGGTAAAGTGTGTTTGGGACTTATTTTTTAGTTGCTATTATTACATGGTATATTAATTAAATGATTGCTTCTTTATAATCAGCTATTTGGAGAAGGGTACTGTTATTTTTCTTTAATATCAGCAACTAAGTTTGTAATACGTGAACCATGAACTTACAGATGTTCAAGCTGGTTTTAGAAAAGGCAGAGGAACCAGAGATCAAATTGCCAACATCTGCTGGATCATCAAAAAAGCAAGAGAGTTCCAGGAAAACATCTATTTCTGCTTTATTGATTATGCCAAAGCCTTTGAATGAGTGGATCACAATAAACTGTGGAAAATTCTGAATGAGATGGGAATACCAGACCACCTGACCTGCCTCTTGAGAAACCTATGGGCAGGTCAGGAAGCAACAGTTAGAACTAGACTTGGAACAACAGACTGGTTCCAAATAGGAAAAGGAGTATGTCAAGGCTGTATATTGTCACCCTGCTTATTTAACTTATATGCAGAGACATCATGATAAACGCTGGTCTGGAAGAAGCACAAACTGGAATCAAGATTGCCAGGAGAAATATCAATAACCTCAGATATACAGATGATACCACCCTTATGGCAGAAACTGAAGAGGAACTAAAACACCTCTTGATGAAAGTGAAAGAGGAGAGTGAAAAAGCTGGTTTAAAGCAAAGCATTCAGAAAACTAAGATCATGGCATCTGGTCCCATCACTTCATGGGAAATAGATGGGGAGACAGTGGAAACAGTGTCAGACTTTATTTTGGGGGGCTCCAAAATCACTGCAGATGGTGACTGCAGCCATGAAATTAAAAGACGCTTACTCCTTGGAAGGAAAGTTATGACCAACCTAGACAGCATATTAAAAAGCAGAGACATTACTTTGCCAACAAAGGTCCGTCTAGTCAAGGTTATGGTTTTTCCAGTGGTCATGTATGGATGTAAGAGTTGGACTGTGAAGAAAGCTGAGTGCTGAAGAATTGATGCTTTTGAACTGTGGTGTTGGAGAAGACTCTTGAGAGCCCCTTCGACTACAAGGAGATCCAACCAATCCATCCTAAAGGAGATCAGTCCTGGGTGTTCATTGGAAGGACTGATGCTGAAGCTGAAACTCCAATACTTTGGCCACCTCATGCAAAGAGCTGACTCATTGGAAAAGACCCTGATGCTGGGAGGGATCGGGGGCAGGAGAAGGGGATGACAGAGGATGAGATGGCTGGATGGCATCACTGACTTGATGGACATGAGTTTGAGTAAACTCTGGGAGTTGGTGATGGACAGGGAGGCCTGGCGTGCTGCGATTCATGGGGTCGCAAAGAGTTGGACACAACTGAGCGACTGAACTGAAGTTTGCAACAGGCAACTTTTTAAAAAAAGATGGTCTGTTTTCCACTGTACCTTTTTAAATCTTTCTGTTTATAATTTCCCTTTCCCCCAGACCTCCACAGATTTCCAGCACGTATCACAAGAAGACTGTGTACTCGTTAGCCTGGGGACCACCAGTACCCGCCGTGGCACTCGGTAAGTATCTGAATCATTCTCTAACAAACAGAAGAGTATTCTCTTTCAACTTAACCCTAGGATATTCAACCTGGAAAAAGTCATAAACATTCTTGCAGTAACTCCTTATGCAGGCTGCTGTGTCCCTGGGGTCCGTGAGGGCAGTTGTAACTGGTGATCAGTTAGAAACCATTCACCTAGAATAAGCCTCTCCAAATTAAAGTATTTGGTCTCTCTGAGCCGAATTTTTTTATTGTGAATATAGTTATCTCATGCTAGGTCCTGATACCTAATCTAATATTTTCTCTAAAATTTGCTATCGCCTTTTAATTTTATCAAAATTATAATGTTGGGAATTCCTTGGCAGTCCAGTGGTGCAGATGCCATGCTCTCACTGCCAAGTGCCCAGGTTCAGTCCCTGGCGGGGCAACTAAGATCCCACAAGCCACTCAGTGTGGCCAAAAAACTAAACAATTTATTTTTTAAAAATTTTTAAAGAATTATAATGTTAATGATCATCTGTTTCAACCTACAGTTAAAGCAGAGTTAGAATTTCTCAAATGATCTCTTGTTGCCTGTGAATACATTCTGACCCTTTTCTAGCCCCTCAGGCTTGCCTTTCTTATTCCTACAGGTAGGTCTTGCTGAATTAAATTGAATGTGTTCAGCAAAATCTTTAGTAGTCTTTTCTTCAGCACCTACAGTGGAAAATCTGTATATCTGCATAACTGCAGTGAAAGTCATCAAAACTCAAGCAGCACTGTAGTTGTAGTTCATTCATGCATTTAGCAAATGCTGATCCTTGATTTGTGCCAAACAGTTCTACAGTAGTGAAAATAAAACTTGTCCTTACAAAAACCCATCAGAACTACTGTTTACTTCCTAAAATAAACAGGACAGTTACTATAACACCAAAGAAATCATTGCATTGAGAATAGCTTCTTACATTAGTCATAGGAAGTCCTGGTGCTGCTGCTGCTGCTAAGTTGATTCAGTCGTGCCCGACTCTGTGCGACCCCATAGACGGCAGCCCACCAGGCTCCCCTGTCCCTGGGATTCTCCAGGCAAGAACACTGGAGTGGGTTGCCATTTCCTTCTCCAGTTCATGAAAGTGAAAAGTGAAAGTGAAGTTGCTCAGTTGTGTCCGACTCTTAGCGACCCCATGACTGCAGCCTACCAGGCTCCTCCGTCCATGGGATTTTCCAGGCAAGAGTACTGGAGTGGGGTGCCATTGCCTTCTCCAGGAAGTCCTGCAGCTTCATATGTTCAAATGCCAGACAGTACTTATTTCTGTAAGAGAAGATAAATTCCCCAAAACTTTGAGAACATGTCTTCTTATTCCAGCTTTGGCATCCCTACTATTTTGAGTGACAGAAGAATGTTTAAAGCAAACTATGTTGTATTATAGGAATTAATAAAACTTTTTTACTTCTTTTTTACTTCTCCTCACTGTGTTCAGATGCATACCCTGACTTTATTCCAGGCTATTAATGTAATTCTTTTAAAACATCTCATAGTATAATATGGTCATATTACAGCAACAAACAGTTAAGCTGGTGAAGTACAAAACTGATAAGCTTTCTTTTCTTATTCCACGTAGGAGAAGGAGACAGACCTTCCCTCACTTTATACAGTTGTGGAGGAGAAGGGATTGTCTTACAGCACAACCCTTGGAAGCTTAGTGGAGAGGCCTTTGACATCAACAAACTCATCAGGGACACCAATTCAATCAAAGTAAGTTCTTGTGATTTGAAGTCTTCTCATGATCTCTCTGTTTTATCTTCTGATCTTGCATGATAAATGCCATTATGTGAGGTATCCATTATGCTGTCATTTTTCAGGCTTCTCTCAGTTGCAATGGCTATTTATTATAAACTTTCAGATCTTGAATATAAAGCATCCTTTTCATACCTGCCACTTTCTCCAGAGGGAGGTGTTTGTAAAAATTACTTTATAATATGGTATCCAAGTACAACTATGAGGTATTTTGCTCAAAACAGAATTATCATTTTGGTTTTTTAGTGAAATAATTACAGATTTATACAAAAGCTGCAAAAATAATACAAACAATTTCCTTATATCCTTCACCCAGATTTTCATGTTTAGTAATTTTCTTTACCATTACATCAATATATCTGTATGCCAGAACTGTCTTTTTAAGTGAAACCATAAATGTTGAGTTTTCCTTACTATTTCAAATGAGCATTTTTTACTATTGTTCATTATTTTTGTATGGCTATTTTTGTTATAAAAATAATATGTAATCATAAATTGAATTATTTTTATTGGCTATATTCCTTCATGTTTTAAATGATATCTGAATATTCAACAATGAATAAAAGAGGCAAAATTCCTGTTCCTAACAAGCTTTTAGTTTTGTAAGACTTAAATAATATAGATCAGAAATTCATATAAGGAATTTGGGCTGGAAATGGAAATTTAGAGTCCCTTTACATGAGTGGTAGCTAAAGAAGCTGTGGGCATGTATGAGGTGGTCTGTGGAGAGACAAGTAAGAAAAGAAGAGGGCCCAGGCAGCCTTGGGGAACAAAGGAACTGTTCTCTAATAAAAACAGAAGAAGAGAAAAAAACAACTCTGGAAAAGAAACAGAAGAGAGGGGAAGAGAAGAAGGGTGGAGTATATGACTTCTGTTAAGGAGATGACAGCCCCCATGTTATCAAAGCCAGTGGACATGTTTCATGTCTTACTGTGGAATAAAAATCATTTTAATTAAGTTCATTTCACAAGGTTAGACACTGCAAACATTTAGTATTCACTGGCCTGTCTTTTGTCCCAGTTAGGAAATCATATTTAGAATACTAGCTCTTAGTAACTCTTTGGCAAATTATGTAGATTATTTATAAGAATGGCTGTTGTAATTAGAATATTTTTAAACAAGGGTTTGTTGTTGTTGTTTTTTCTCTCACACTGTCATCATTGATTTGTAAGCTGTGTGGCAAGAACAGTGTTTTTAGTCGAGATTGGTTTGTTTTGCTTTTCTAGTACAAATTGCCTGTACACACAGAGATCAGCTGGAAAGCAGATGGCAAAATCATGGCTCTTGGCAATGAAGATGGGTATGTGTTTGTTTCTGTAAAAAAAAAAACTTTGTAATTGCACATATATTTGATCACAAGCTAGTGCCATCTGTAATGTTAGTTGGGAAAGCCTAGCTGTATTTGATATTCTGACTTATCCCTGATATCCTTAAATAACTAAGGTGCTCTCTGCATTATTGAGAACTGCAAAATAAGTTAAATATTTATAGCTCAAAGAGAATGTTTGCCTACTCTGTTTTGGCTGTAGTATGCTTCAAAGAATGCTCATCTCCAGAATTATGTTCCCTAAATCTCTGTTCATTCTTTAAAGGAAAAAAAAAACAACACAGAAATGCTTTTTAGGTCTTACTATATCCTTTCCAATGTTTTGTTTTGTTTTGATTTTTTAGGGTGTTTTGTTTTGTTTTGCCCTTTCCAATGCTGATCATAGTAATATGGTTACTATTTCAGCCATTGGTTTAATTCTTTTAGTTTTTCCCTGGTACCATTTATTATTTTTAGAGCATGATAAATACAACTTTCCAGAGGTTGTTGAGATTTATTAAAGCTGTTGAAAGAACTGCCTTTTGTACCTGATTTTTTGTAAGAGAGTAACCTCTGCAGTTTAGATAGGGTTATCCTATTCCATTTTACCTTTCTTTGACTGATGGAGTGAGGGCGATATCTGCTTGCACTGAACTGTAATTTGAGCATCCTTTCTTATCTTGATGTGTTTCTTATTCCAGATCAATAGAAATATTCAAGGTTCCTAACTTGAAACTGATCTGCACCATCCAGCAGCATCATAAGCTTGTGAATACCATTAGCTGGCATCATGAGCATGGCAGCCAGCCAGAGCTGAGCTATCTGATGGCCTCTGGGTCCAACAATGCAGTCATTTATGTGCACAACCTGCAGGCTGTCATAGGTAACTTTGGTTTCTTTCCACACTGGGGGGTAGTATATGTGTTCATCTACTTTTTGTTCCAATTTTTGTACCATTTTTGTTTCTTTTTGGTATTAAACACCACTCTTAATATGTTTCTACTTTCAAAAGTAATGTATTCACCTTATTTAAAACACAACAAAGATTTCAAACATGACAATACATATTAACTTACAAAGTGAAGTACCTCCCCTATTCCCATCCCTCATTAATAGACGTTGCTGTTTTCTGCAAATTTTCTAAAGTATAGTTATTGCCAAGTCACTCTCCAAAACATGGTGCCAATTTATATCCCCTTCCTTCAGTGTTTGAGTATTTGACAAGTACAACACACATCCCATCCCCATGCATGACTGCGTCTAATTGTTACAGTCCTGGGAGGTAGGTTTTGTTATCTTTGTTTTCCTAATTGAGGCTCAGAGGGGTTAGCTCACTTCCATGCATCCCACAGTTCATATCTGATAGAGCCCAGATTCAGTCCCACACTGTCTAACTGCAGCATCTGCACGTGTTCTGGTAATACTAGTCCCTATGTAGCAGGTTGATCTTTTTCATATTTTCATACAACTTATTCCTTAACAAATCTTAAACTTCTCTGAACTTCCTCAGCACCTAGAAGAAACAGTAAGTGGTCAGAAGAGCCTTTTTTTAATGTGAAAGAAGTATAATTACTTTCTTTTCTTAATATGAAGAAAAAACAAACACATAACCCATCTTCGTTGCCAAGAGCTATAATTTTTGTTTTTTAATATGCTTTTGTTTCTTTTGCCTGAAGAGACAAATCCAAAAAAATACTGCTATCATTTATGTCAAAAGAGTTCCTTTCTAAGAGTTCTAAGGTTTCCAGTTTTACATTTAGGTCTTTAATCCATCATGAGTTTATTCTTTTATATGGTGTGAGAAAATGTTTTAATCTCATTCTTTCACAGGTAGCTGTCCAGTTTTTCCAGCATCACTTACTGAAGCACATTAACTTAATTCTTAAAAGCAGTGCAGATCTTAGTCTACGGAAATACTATCATCCTGGTTTGTTTTTTATTTATCTACTGAATAACAGAAAAAGGGAAAAATGACCAGGAAAACCTTCATTTTATTTTTATCTTCTTAAATTTAAATAATTCACACTTACAGGAAAGTTGCAAAAATAGTATGAAGGATGACCATATACCTTTTCACAGATTCAACAACTTATAACCTTTTGTCATATTTGCTTTGTGCTGTGGTGTATGTATTTTCCAAAATGTTTGTGTTGCACATGTCATGCCACCATATTCCTTAATATTTGTGTATTTTGTAAGAATAATGATATTCCCTTATATAACCACAATTCCATTATTCAGTTAATTTAATATAATAGTTTGATCTACCATGCTTATTCTAGTGTTGTCAGTTGATCCAATATTGTCCTTTATGTCTCAGCCTTTTTTGTTTTTTCATCTTGATTTTTTTTTTTTTTTAATACAAGCTGGTTATTTTGTTAGATGTGTCCTCAGTTTGGTCTCATATATTCTCATGACTAGATTCAGTTCACACATTTTTAACTATACATAATAATACATCCATCTTGGTATTACATCCTAAAGGCATTGTTTTCATTTTGAAGGCTTTTAGAAAGAAAGAATGATAGCTAACACTTGTTACAGTAAGCCCATGTGCCAGGCACTGTGGATGTACCTACACTCTTAACCACTAAACAGTGTTGCCCAATGAAAATCATGTAGAAAGCATGTGGTAAAATCTTGACTCTTGCCATGTTAATTAAAACCCTCCTTTATGTCTTTCTGTTGTTGTTATTGGTATCAGTGACATCATCCCCTGTCTTTTAGAGAGCAATCCTGAATCTCCAGTGACTATTACAGAGCCCTACCGGACCCTGTCAGGGCACACAGCCAAGATCACCAGTCTGGCATGGAGCCCACATCATGATGGAAGGCTGGTATCCGCTTCCTATGACGGTACAGCTCAGGTACTATTGCATCCTTGATTCTGTGGGTTCTTCACTACGTACTCTAAATGAAACTCTTTCTTCTTCTCACCTGCGATTTTTCTGAGCTCTAGAGGGCATTTTATTAAACATATCTGGGCCCTTCGCAGGGTAAGTTTGGGTTTTTTGTAACTTAAGTGAAAGAGAATATTGATAGGAACTAGCTAAACTCTGATGTTTTTAAAGATTTCCCTTTGACCTACTGTCAGTATGACAGACTAAAGTTGATGTGAAAAGTACTCCTCCATTCTGTTCTATCACAGAATGATGACTATAAATCATGAAAAAAATACTAATAATAACTCGGTAGCTCACATCTTCAAGTTCTCAAAAATAAAGATGAGATGCCAAGCCAGAGCTGTGAAGTGAGTTTCGGGTATCAGAACCAGAACAGACCTTAGGAACTGGGGATCCACCATCAGTGATGGATGTCTGTCTCAGTACTGAGTGGTAAATGAGCTGTCTGCACAGAGCTGAGAACCATGACTGGCTGCCCTTTGAAATGGAGGCTGGAGTCATTCAGGAAAGAGCAAGGAAACTGATCATTTGCCCTGAGACAGAAGATCACCTGTGAGAAATTCGAAGCCTTGCATCACACATGTAGATGGGGACTCCGAATTAGAATTCTCTTCAAGGTATCAGAATCCCCAGCCCAAAACTAACATGCACTACTGGTTCAGGACAGTGAAATCCATAGGGCACTATTAAAAGCTTACTGAAAATCATCCCTGTGGGAATGCCTCTATATCCCAGAACACAGAAACCTCCTTTAGGAAACAGCACTTTCTGAAACTGCAAGTACAAACTACAAGAGGAAATAAGAGAACACAGATTTTTTTTTTAATTCTTGTCAAAAATGTATACCAACCCCCTCCTCAAACAATAAATTATCTATTCTCTTGTGTGACTTTTGGTTTTAGGTGTGGGATACTCTCCAGGAAGAGCCTCTATGCAACTTCCGAGGACATCGAGGCCGACTGCTTTGCGTTGCATGGTCCCCGTTGGATCCAGATGGCATCTACTCAGGGGCAGATGATTTCTGTGTGTACAGATGGCTCACTTCCATGCAGGAACACTCCCGACCTCCTCAAGGTCAGTCAGAACCTGGAGCCCAGAAGGGCTTGGCTCATTCCCTTTCTCCTTTCCTCAGTAAGTTGAGTTGGTCAGTCATGCGAGGAGGACATTCATGCAGGGCAATGAGCAGTATGGTGGGATTGGAAGCCTGAGCAAGGATAGTAGCCCCAAGGGGATCTGCAGACAACACCTGAATAGTAACAAATATACCTAGCACCCAGATCTTGTTGTCTAAATATCATTCTCTTAAAAGGAACCTATCAGGGCTTCTTGGAAAAATGGCTAGTTCCAGGTTAGAACAGAAAAAATATAAGTCTGCAGCATCATTTGCCACAAAGTTATAACTGAGGTCAACCAAAAGGACAGAGAAACCAGCTTGAAGGGGCTGGCTACCCAAATGTGGGACAATGTGAACTTGAAAATAATTAACAGGCGAATTTCACTTCTGACTATAAGAGACTAACTGAAACCAGATTTTCCCACCCACCAGAAATAGCTAGAAAACTGGACAGGGTATATAAACAACTAGAAATATACTCAAGAAAGGAAATGATACAGCCACATAAAGACTTATAAAAGAATCCTTATAGCTTAAGCTGTAATTGCCACAAACCAGAAACAACACAAATATCAGCTGGTAAATAAACAGTGGTATATATCCTATAGTGGAACTATTCAGCAGTAAAAAGCAAGTAACTACTTATAAATACAACAAAATGGGTGAATCTCAAAGATTATGCCTAGCAAAGTAAGCCCGGCACAAAAGACTTAACACTGTACAGTACTAATATAGAGTATGCAATGTAGTTGTAAATCATATGAATTTCTAAAACAGACAAAACTACAGTGATAGCAAATCAGTGACTGCCTGGGGCTCAGGGAGGAGGGGAATCTACCACAAAGAGGCATGAGGGGACATTTTGAAATGATGGCAACAGTTTATTCGTGGTGGTGGGTTACCTGACTATACATCTGTCTAAACTCATAAAAACGTTAAAAAATCTAGTATATAAAAAAAAAACTGGTATATTTTCTTGTGTTAAATTATATCTCAGTAAGATGACTTGAAATCAAAAGATAAAAGTTTTCAAACTAAAAAAATAAATAAGTTAATAGTAAAGGATTAAAACATTAAATAGGAATTCTTAAGTCCATACTGACAAACATAAATGAACAGTCTAAAAAAATAGAGATAAGCAAAAGTTCTTTTCAGCAGAAGGCCACCTAGTAAGTGTAGACTAAATGATGGAACTGAACATTGCCATTTGGCCGTTATCACAGTAACAGTTTTTAGTAAAACTGGTGAGGACAAACCTGCAAGGTACCACCCTCCTTATTCAAGTAAGTAAGTATTAGTCGCTCAGTCATGCCCAACTCTTTGCGACCCCGTGGACTGCAGCCCACCAGGCTCCTGTGTCCATGAGGTTTTCCAGACAAGGATACTGGAGTGGATTGCCATTTCCTTCTCCAGGGGATCTTCCCGACCCAGGGGTCAAACCTGGGTCTCCTGCACTGCAGGCAGATTCTTTACCAGCTAAGCCACAAGGGAAGCACACCAAGTAATCAAAGTGAACCACAAACAATGAGACAAACAGAAATTATGTGCTACCTCACAGGCTGCACCAGGATAAACACAGCCTCACTGCTTTGTATGGCAGCTGAAAGTGCATGGCCTAAACTAATCATGCAAAACATAAGGCAGACCCAATTTGAGGGAAATCAGACAAAATAAAATATCCTGTGATCTTCATGAGTTTCTAGTCATGAAAGTCAAAATAAAATCTGAGCCTCTTCTAGGCTGAAGGAAACTAGAGATGTAACAAGCTAGTGCAACATGTAATCCTGGAGTGATTTCCTTCCGCTATAAAGGACACTTCTGGTGTAACTGGTAGAACTTGAATGAAGTGGGAGTAGATATGAATCATCTATCAGTGTTCATTTCCTGATATTAATGGTTGTGCTGTGATGACATAGGAGAATATCCTTGTTTGTAGGATATACACTAAAGTTTTCAGGGGTAAATGGGCATCGTCTTTATGATTTAATGAAATCTGAAAAGGGTTTGGTTTGGTTAACACTTTGATAATATAACTAAGACTTCATTGGGAACGGGGAGAAAAGGTAAGAATGTTGTCAAAAAGAAGAGCAATAAGGTTTTGGAGTTTATCTCCTAGAGTGCTTTTAACCCAAATATATACTTTAATCTGTCCTTTTCTGAACTGTGATTTCTATAGGCAAGAAAAGTATTGAATTAGAGAAAAAGCGGCTCTCTCAACCAAAGCCAAAGCCCAAAAAGAAGAAAAAGCCCACCTTGAGAGTGCCTGTAAGGCAAGAATTATGTGATGGGAATGAAGAAGAGAGTGTAAAGGAGAGCCTGGGCCCCATTGAGAACGGCGTGTCAGACCAGGAGACTGAGGAGGAAGTCCGTGAGCCAGAGCCACCCTGTGGAGTCACCTTGGCGGGTATGTAGCCCAATCTCATGTTTCACTGTCTAGCACTGAATAGTCCTGACCAGGAAACTAAGTCAGGTCTACCTTTGAAGTGTCAGGGAATGTAATGGATGATTGGGACGGAAATAGTAAAGTTCTCTAGAGAAAACTTATCAACCTGGGCAGGGTAAGACTGTGGGACGAAGTGAAGCTGGGGCAGAATATACATAGAACCTTACACATAAGGGTAAGTTTTTACAGTTGTGGTGGCTAGAATCTTTATAATTTTCCTTAGATCAATGAGTCAGAGTTCTAGGTGATAAATCTACAGATTCCCGGAAGGCAGTTTGAGAGGTGGGGAAAGGGAGACTGACTACCCATGCTTCCTGTCTGAAATATTTCATCTTATATTTGGGGTAATAGATAAAATCACACTGTAAAGACTGAGATAGCTCTTAATTTTTAAAAAGAACTAGATTCTACATTGTTCTCATCCAAACTTTTTTCTTTTTCCCCATGATGTAGTTTCTAAAGAACCAATTATTTGCACTCCAGCAGCCTTAGGTTTTGAAAAGTCAAAAAGCACCATTAATAACAAAGTCACTTTACTGAAAAAGGAGGTACCTAAAGAGAAGCCAGGTTGGTATCTAATAATTAAAATAATTTGTTAAAGCATCCTCAGATATTACATGCAAATGAAAACTCAACAGAGTATGGTTTTTGGTTTTGTTTTAGGTTTTAAATATTTGTGTTTTGATTTGGGGTCATTTTTTTAGTACTTGGAAAAACTGTCATTTTGCAGTTGTTGATGTTGGTTCAGAGCTTTCACAGGGACACTGTGTGTGTTGTAAAGACTACCCCCAGCTACTAATAATTTAATTTGAAAGCTTCCTTCTCAGAGTGGGAACGTTCTCTGCTCAGCAGTATTCCTCCAGTAGGTTGCATACACAGTGGACATGCATTCAGTTTGGGGTTTGTAATCAGTTCTTCTTCAGACGGTCTGTACTTGTATTACATTTCAGAAGCCTTAATCAAGAAGCGAAAAGCTCGTTCCATGCTTCCACTGAGTACAAGTCTGGACCACAGATCCAAAGAGGAGCTTCATCAGGACTGTTTGGTATTAGCCACCGCCAAACACTCCAAAGGTATAGAAATACACTTCCCTAGCCCATCCGTAGTCTTCCGGGAACTGGCACATAAGTGCTTTTTTGGAGGTTGAACGGATGAGTCAGCAGATGTCCAAACCTGTGTTTCTGCATCACGCCTGCTGCGGCCCTGCACCCTGAGCACAGCCAGCACTCCGCGTGCCTTGGGGACGCAACGCTCTGCCTTTCTGCTGTCAGGGTGCTGCCCGCCATCCGTGTGCTGGAACTGGCGTGACGGCGTAAATACCAGTGGCAGTCAGTTCCAGCGACTGTTTTTCCCCAGTATGCAGCATGTACACATAGGAAAAAACATCATTTATTGGAAATATACCCTTAATATGGCAGTTCCTTTAAAAATTTCTGATGGAAGTTTTTGTTTATAGGTTTTTTGGTTTTAACTTTTCAAAGCGCTCACTAATGTGTGTTATTCTGACATTTCAGCAACTTTTTTTCTTTTTAATTTTGAATTTTATGTGTTGAAAAGGGATGCACATGATAAAATGAAATTCAAACAGTATAAAGAGAAAATAAATCTCCCTTCCATCCCTCACCCCACTCTTCCATTTCTCCCCTGAGGCCACTCTATTATCATTGAGTTGCCTTTTTCAAAAACAATCTATATTGAATCCCTCTGTGGAAGATCCTAGTTTACATTACAGACTTTGCTTTTTAGTTTTTTTGTCTTTTTTCTTTTACTGTATTTAAATACACTGAATTTGGGGTTGGCTTTTTAAGATTCCTTCTTCCTCCCCACCCCCAAATCTTTCTTTGAGCAAACTTCAAACTAAAGTCTCCTACTGGATTTTGCTAAGACTGAGGCTAAACAGCCTGTAGTATTTTCATATTTTGCTGTCAGCAGGGGTCTCTGTTAGGGTACAGAAGAGCCCAGGACTCTTTGTCTCAGAACCTGAAATGGGCATTACAGACACACAGTCAGAATTAACTGAACAGAAAACAGTAATGCACTGAATCACTTTCATCTGCACTTTTGTCTTTTTGAATCAGCAGAGCCAAATGAGGATGTGTCTGCTGATCTTGAGGAAAGATTTCACCTGGGGCTCTTCACAGACAGGGCGACCCTGTACAGAATGGTTGAGGTTGAAGGTGAGGCAAGCCCAGCCAGCGCCATCCTGTCCGTCTTTATGCTTCCTGACCCTCTGTATGTACTGCTTTTATGGCTGTCATCTTGCGGCATGGTAATAACTAGTTTTACATGTCAGCTAGCCAGGCTTTGAATTCTGTTTGCAAGTTCAGACACCCCTTGCTCACATCTGTCATAGGACCCTAAACTTCAGTGTTCATTCTGAGTGAATGAGTGCAAGTCAAAGTGGGCGGGTGGACAGAAGCCTGAGTGGGCTTCAGGCCCCATTACGAACACTCTGGGAAGTGACTTACCCATCAGCCAGTGACTACATATTCCAGAAATTTATTCCTCTCTTTCATCCTGCCTTTCTTTTTCTAGAAGACAATACAGACAGGTGTTTCTGAAACATCTTCCAAATATTCTTTCTCCTCCAAACAGGAAAAGGTCACTTGGAAAATGGCCACCCTGAGTTATTTCACCAGCTCATGCTTTGGAAAGGAGATCTAAAAGGTGTTCTGCAGACTGCAGCAGAAAGAGGGGAGCTGACAGACAATCTCGTGGCTATGGCACCAGTGGGTATGTTCTTTATCACAAAAGCTCTAGCCTCTCTAGGCTACATCCACTAAAGATAGACATTGTCTTGAAAGACAGTTTGGCCAAGTATAATGATTAAGTTTAAAATCCACATACCCTTTGACTCAGCAGTTTTAACTGTACCTACACATGCAAACTGATAGATAACATGCACCATGACTGCAGCAGTATCTGTAACAGCAGAGATCACAAGAACCTTGATATCTATCAGTGTAAGACTGGTTAAATCTTGTATATCTATACAGTAGAGACTCCTTCAGATAACAAAAAACTGAGTCAGCTCTGTATATTCTGATATAGAATGGAGCTCCAAAGTTTAATAAGTGAGAAGAAACTAGGTATAGATGCACAACATAATATTTAATACTCTGTCATTTATACATGTGTGGTTGTATATTCATAGACTGTTGCCAAAGGTTTCAAAAGAAACCAGTAGTAATGGTTGTCTCTAGGGAAAGGAATTTGGACAAGTTTGGGTAGGATGGCTCCAGGATAACAAGGAAATTTTTTATGCCATGCCGCATTTTTTAGCTTTTTATTCAAGTAGGCCAGGGAGAGGGGGAGAAGTACGCAGGTCATGAGTGTACCTGAATTTCACTAACTGAATACACCCTTGTTAACCAGCACCTGTATCAAGAAATATAACATGATCAGCACCTTAGAAGCTTCTCTCACACTTTTTCACTCAGCCTGCATACACCCAAACAAGGGTAGCACTGTCTGCCTTCCATACTCTTGTACATCTGAATGTTGTACTATTTTTTTATGTATTACATAATCAAAGAAACAGTTTACATTTCAAAGTATAGGGATGGGGAGAGATAGATGAAACAAATGATCATAACAGAAACTTAATTACTATCTAAATCTTCTGCTTAATGCAGTGACTGACAACAAGCATCTTCTTTTTTATTCCTAAAGCCGGTTACCATGTGTGGGTGTGGGCCGTGGAAGCTTTTGCCAAACAGCTATGTTTCCAGGACCAGCATGTCAAGGCTGCCTCTCATCTGCTTTCTATCCACAAAGTGTATGAGGCTGTGGAGCTGCTCAAGTCAAACCATTTCTACAGGTCTGTATGACCCAACAGTTGAACTAACAGTTGGATGTGATATGAAATTAACCTATATAACAATTCTGTTTCCCGACCACCATCATAAAACCTTTACTGTAATTAAACATCTCAAATGTATAAAAATAGTATGTTCACTAGCTTAACAAACATCAACACATCCACCACCTATACTTAACAAATGTTAACTCTCAGCAATATTTGCCACTGATCTTTTTTTAAATTTCTTTATAAAGTATCACAAATAGAGAAAACAGCATGATACAAATGAACAACTTAATGAATTATTAAAAGAGGAAATTTTCTAACCTGGGAAGGAAGAAGTATAATACTGCAGACTTGGCTGAATTGCCTTTCCCCAGTTCTGTCCTCATCCCTTCTCTAGCAGTAACCACTTTGAGACTGATGCTATTCAACTGAATATTCTTTCACTGCAATACAATGTAAGTGCAGAAAACAAAAGCAACAAAGTATGTTTTCTTTGAAACATTTTAGTAGTATTTATTTTTATTTATTTATTTGACTGTGCCGGGTCTTAGTTGCTGCCTGTGGGATCTAGTCCCCTAACCAGGGATCGGACCCCAGCCCCCTACATTGGGAGCTCAGAGTCTAAGCCACTGGACCACCAGGGATGTTCCCAAAATATTTCTTATACACAGCATACAACTGGGTTTTGTTTTTTTATCCAGTCTGATAGTCTCTGCCTTTTAATTGCAGTGTTTTAATGTAAATATTGGTGTGATTGATTTAAATCTACCATCTTGCTATTTTCTTTTCCTCCCTTCTTTCAGACTAACTTTTTTTATCTCCAATACTGGCTTCTCAGCTATAATCCTTTATTTTCTTAATGGTTACTTTAGGATTTATGATGAGCATTTCTAATTTATCAGTTTACCTCCAATAATATTGTACCAGTTCTTGCATGCGTCACACTTCTTTCTTTCTTCCTATCCATTCCACTGTTGCTGTCATATATTTGACATACTGTGTACGTGTTATAACCCCACATTACAATGTTAGAATTTTTGCTTTAAACAATGAGCTATCTTTTTAAGTTTTTAAACATTTTCTTCTTTTTGCCCATATACTTATTCCGAACACTTTCCATCCTCTTATGTAGATCCAGATTTCCAGTTGTTATCAATTCCTTCTTCACCTGAAGAACTCCAGCATTTTTTTTCTAGTGTGATTCCGCTGGTAACACACTCCATCAACTTGTCTGTAAAAGTCTTTAATTTTGCCATTATTTTAAAGAATCTTTCAGTGGATGTAGACTTCTAGGTTTCTAAGGTTTTGTCTTTCTGTGCTTCACAGATACATTCCATTTTTTCTTGGCTTGCATTGTTGACTACTGTATTTATTCTTACCTTTGCTACATAGGATTTTTTTTCCTGTTTGTAGGACTTTATCCACCACTGATTTTTCAGCCATTTCATATGGCTTTGATGAGACTTTCTTTTTGTTTATCCTCTTCTGGTTTGTTGTCTTCCTTTAGAGCATGCTGGACACTTTTGGCAAGCAGTCAAGTTCCCTACAGATCAGCTTGATCTCATGGCTGTTTTTAAGCTTTCTTAGGGCAGGTGCAGAAAAATCCATACACTAGAATTAGTTTGCCCTCCTACCTTCTAGTATCTTTACCGAATGTGTTGTGTAATTCAACAAATCAGAAGTAGATGTCGGGGTGGTCAAAACTGGTATGTCTCCTGCCCTGAATGAGCCCTGGGAATTAGTTAGCTTATGGCTCCCTGATTATTCTTTGTCCAGCCTTAAGGCCTTTCCTCCATGTACTGCTTTGTGTTTAAACCAGAGATTTCCACAGTATCCAAAAGCACCATTGTGGAGCTCTTTCTCTGAACAGCTTCTTCCTTCCTACTATCCTGCCCCACAAATTCCAACTGCTTCGTCTCCATTCAGCCCTAACTGCGGAGGCTCTGCTGGAGTTTCTTCTAGGAAGATGGTTTTAGGCAGAAAGCCAGGGCCAGGGCCAGGATTGAGCTCACAGCATGTTTTCTTTTCTCCAGGATGACAGTCCTGTGCTGCCTCACGTCCAGTGTTTGAAAACACTTGTTTTGTACCTATTTTCTCCAGTGTTTTAATTTTGTGACAGAATATATATGGTCTTAGTTATCACCCCGTCATGGCTGGAAATAGAGGTCTTCTTAATATTGCTCTGTCTAAATCACTTTAGTCTAAAACACTGACTCCACTGACTTTACATTGGCTGCTAACCAGAAGCTGTATGTCATTTGGAAAATAGTAGTTCAGTGAGTTACACAGATCCTCCAAATGTTAACACATTTCATTAAAAATATATATAAATGACATTCCTTACTTCATCAGAAAAGTCTAACTTTGGGGAAGCTGTCAGACTCACCGTGGGAGGGACAAGATTCCTAAAACTCTAATTTTCACTTGAAAGCTCAGATTTTATCACTGGCAACAGTACTGTTTTGGTTGGTTTCCGTGAAATGATAGGCTTACTTTGCTCATTTTTGAGAAAACATCTGCCAGATACTCAACGCTAAGTAACTGTCATTTGTATGTTAGTCATTCTTTCAAGAAGTAATGAGAAGTAATGAGGTTCCATCAATATTAATCTGACATTTAGTGAAATCATTTTTCCTTTTCAAGGAAATTTACCTTTTTAAAAAAAAAAAAAAACTACAAAAGCCACTACCTCCTGGATCCTTGCTCTGGGTGCCAGCAGTGTACCTACCATTGCTTTTGCATTATCAGTACAAATGTCAACACAGTAAGAAAAGGCAAATAATCTCGACATTATTATGAAAATAGTCTTGACCTCATGAACCCCCTGAAAGGGCCTTGGGTACTCCCAGGAATTCACAGACCACACTTTAAGTACTGCTGATCTAGGCGAAGAACAGATGAAAAGCGCAGCTTGCGCTTTCTAACTTGCCCCGAGATGCAGGAATACAGTTGTTTTATGGGAAGTTGGAGTAAGACAGACAACACAGAAGGCTTAGCCTATCCTGCAACCCCCTCCTAGGGCTTTTTTCAGATTGGCTTATTACCTCTTCTTGCCTCTAGGGAAGCTATTGCAATTGCCAAGGCCCGGCTGCGCCCAGAGGACCCAATCATAAAAGACCTGTACCTCAGCTGGGGAGCCGTTCTAGAAAAAGACGGCCACTATGCCTTAGCAGCAAAATGGTAAGTCTGAGTGCACCCAGACAAAGAAGAGCTTCTGCAAAGAGCAAGACAAGAGCAGAAGTAAGTTTAGAGGTGGGGGTGAAGTGACTAGCAAATTAAAAAGCATATGTGTATTAAACCCAGCTTCACTAAGATTCAGCAAGGTCCACCTACTTGATATTTACGTAAGTCACCACAACTGTTCAAGAAACCCTAGCAGCGGGTTCAGAAGTGACTCCTTTCTTCAGGGATGTCTTGCATCATTAAATTTGGAAAAAGGGAGGGAATGACTCTTTTGCTTGGGTTCAGCTCAGCAACTGCTGGGGTTCCTTTATGCCCTTCACCTCCATGATGCCGCCTGTTCTGTGCCGGGCTGGCCTCAGCCTTGACGGGGCCGCTGCAGGCAGGGACAGAGCTGGGACCACAGGAAGCCAGGCAAGTCAGCGTGAACAATAAGAAATGATTCCACCTCTGGGGAGCAGGAGTAGGCAGTCTTTTTATGTTTGATTTTTCTTTTGTATCTTAGCTATTTAGGGGCCACTTCAGCTTATGATGCAGCCAAAGTTTTGGCCAAAAAGGGGGATGCGGCATCACTTAGGACGGCAGCAGAGTTGGCCTCCATCATGGGAGAGAATGAGTTGTCGGCTTCCCTGGCTCTAAGATGTGCCCAAGAACTGCTTCTGGCCCGGAACTGGGTGGGAGCCCAGGAGGCCCTGCAGCTCCACACAAGTCTAAAGGTCAGTCTGCCTCTCCTGCTTTTAGGAGGAAGCCCCAGATCATCTCCAGTCACATTCCAAGTACATTACCTAGTTGCACAAGCTGAACCAATCTGGCAGGTATTCTTAGAAGTGTCCAGCAAGCCCTGGCCATACTACCCCATCTAAGTACCCCAGGGCTTGCAGTTGCCCTATTCAGAGTGAGAGAGAATGTGGTGTCGGCAGTGATTCTCATTGCTTAGCAGTTGAATAGCCTTTAGTCAGCGCAGCCCCAGTGCTGTTCGTGGATGTCATCAGCACAAAAATGACAAGGGAGAGGGTCTGCTTTGAAGAGGGAGATGGATCAGCTTTTAGAGAAATCACCGTGCTCTGCTTATAGGAACCCTCCTCAGCTGCATGCTGTGGTGAATTTCGGTAAAATGAAAACATTTTGTTAGGGACTTCCCTGGTGGTCCAGGGATTAAGAATCCACCTTGCAGTGCAGCATATGCGGGTTCTATGCCTGGTCAGGGAACTAAGACCCCACATGCCACAGAGCAGCTAGGCCTGTGCACCAGAACTATAGACTCCATGTTACTGGTTAAAAATCAATAACTTTTTTAATGTGTCTTTTTCGACACATCAACATTGTCTCTTTCAATATATCAACATTGAGATTATCTTAAAAGCCTTAGCAAAAACTAGTTTTGAAACCATGTAAACATTTGGTTCATTTTAGAGAGTTTTGCTTGTCAGATATTATATGAACTTTTTTAGTTCCTCTGTCCCTTCAGTAGAATAACTGGGCCTAATGACAGTTCCTAGCTGAATGTTCAAAGCCCAAGAAAAATACTACGTGAGGAGGTTGCTTTCTGGGAACTGAAGAATAAAAGTGGAGGCAAAAGTGGAACATCTTCAAAGACAGTATCACGTGGCACATTATTTACAGAGTGAACAGAGGGAGATTAATTTATCCACCACCACAACAAAAAAAATGTTTCCAGAATGGTTATTTAGTACTTTTTTTTTTTTCTTTTAACATCCTTAACGAAACAAAAAGACAAATGTTCTGCTGAGGCCTATGTTGCCTGTGCTTTCCCAAGCTTAGCTGAGAAAATAAAACAAGGATACACATGGAATCTCATGGCAGCTGAAAATTCTGTAAAAAATAAGGATTTTTCTAGGCCTTTTGTCTGTGCTCTGTTCTATTCCAGTTGGTTCCCTCTGTTAAACCTACTTGGATGTAGCCCCTGACCACTGCCCCAGGTCTCAGACACACACAGCTCATCTGCTCCAACACTTCTGTCCATGATGCTTTAACATTTGTATTCCTTCATCTGAAGTCTGGGCAGAGGAAGGAACTAAATGAGTCCAGCCCGTCTTTTCTCACACTGGCCACAAATCTTAAGTGGCTGGCACGTATGCAGCTTAAATATCAGTGAGTAGGGCTATAGTTAGGGTTTCATGTTATAAAATATGGTTGCTTGAGCTCCAAGAACTGTGGGTAAGAATTCCCAAAAAGGCTAGGATCCCAAAGATCCTAGAAAAATCATCTGTTAGATCACTTCTTCCCTCCCCTCCGCCCCCACACACAAGACTCACATTGGGCTGGCAGCTCACTGAGGGGGTATGGTTGCTACAGATACAGAGGGAGAGAATCTGAGAGACTGGGGAAAATCTGAGATAATGGAGCACTTCCCTGTGTAACAGTTCCTTTCCTTTGTTTTTGGGTTCCAGGGTCAGAGATTGGTGTTTTGCCTTCTAGAGCTACTGTCCAAGCACCTGGAGGAAAATCAGCTCTCTGAGGGCAAAAGTTCCTTCTCTTCTTACAACGCGTGGCCCACAGACAGTGAAGGGTCCTTCGTGGAGAGGGTGACTGCAATATGGAAGAGCGCCTTCAGCCTTGACTCCCCAGAGCAGTACCAGGCAGCATTTCAGCAGCTACAAAATATCAAGTACCCATCTGCTACAAATAACACTCCCTCCAAACAGGTACGCCCTCTCCCTGAGCTTCTGATATTCAGGCAGTTCAGTTCAGTCGCTCAGTCGTGTTCAACTCTTTGCGACCCCATGAATCACAGCACGCCAGGCCTCCCTGTTCATCCCCAACTCCCAGAGTTTACTCAAACTCATGCCCATTGAGTCGGTGATGCCGTCCAGCCATCTCATCCTCTGTCGTCCCCTTCTCCTCCTGCCCCCAGTCCCTCCCAGCATCAGGGTCTTTTCCAATGAGTCAGCTCTTTGCATGAGGTGGCCAAAGTATTGGAGTTTTAGCTTCAGCATCAGTCCTTCCAATGAACCACCCAGGACTGATCTCCTTTAGGATGGACTGGTTGGATCTCCTTGCAGTCCAAGGGACTCTCAAGAGTCTTCTCCAACACCACAGCTCAAAAGCATCAATTTTTCGGCACTCAGCTCTCTTCACAGTCCAACTGTCACATCCATACATGACCACTGGAAAAACCATAGCCTTGACCAGATGGACCTTTGTTGGCAAAGTAATGTCTCTGCTTTTTAATATGCTGTCTAAGTTGGTCATAACTTTCCTTCCAAGGAGTAAGCATCTTTTAATTTCATGGCTGCAGTCACCATCCGCAGTGATTTTGGAGCCCAAAAAAATGGAAGTCTGACACTGTTTCCACTGTCTCCCCATCTATTTCCCATGAGGTGATGGGACCAGATGCCATGATCTTAGTTTTCTGAATGTTAAGCTTTAAGCCAACTTTTTCACTCTCCTCTTTTACTTTCATCAAGAGGCTTTTTAGTTCCTCTTCACTCTCTGCCATAAGGGTGGTGTCATCTGCATATCCGAGGTTATTAATATTTCTCCTGGCAATCTTGATTCCAGCTTGTGCTTCTTCCAGCCCAGCGTTTCTCATGATGTACTCTGCATATAAGTTAAATAAGCAGGGTGACAATATACAGCCTTGATGTACTCCTTTTCCTATTTGGAACCAGTCTGTTGTTCCATGTCCAGTTCTAACTGTTGCTTCCTGACCTGCATACAGGTTTCTCAAGAGGCAGGTCAGGTGGTCTGGTATTCCATCTCTTTCAGAATTTTCCACAGTTTATTGTGATCCACACAGTTGAAGGCTTCGGTGTAGTCAATAAAGCAGAAATAGATGTTTTTCTGGAACTCTCTTGCTTTTTCGATGATCCAGCGGATAGTGGCAATTTGATATCTGGTTCCTCGGCCTTTTCTAAAGCCAGCTTGAACATCTGGAAGTTCTTGGTTCACGTATTGCTGAAGCCTGGCTTGGAGAATTTTGAGCATTACTTTACTAGCGTGTGACATGAGTGCAATTGTGCGGTAGTTTGAGCATTCTTTGGCATTGCCTTTCTTTGGGACTGGAATGAAAACTGACCTTTTCCAGTCCTGTGGCCACTGCTGAGTTTTCCAAATTTGCTGGCATATTGAGTGCAGCACTTTCACAGCATCATCTTTCGGGATTTGAAATAGCTCAACTGGAATTCCATCACATCCACTAGCTTTGTTCGTAGTGATGCTTTCTAAGGCCCACTTGACTACACATTCCAGGATGTCTGGCTCTAGGTGAGTGATCACACCATTATGATTATCTGGGTCATGAAGATCTTTTTTGTACAGTTCTTCTGTGTATTCTTTGCCACCTCTTAATATCTTCTGCTTCTGTTAGGTCCATACCATTTTGGTCCTTTATCAAACCCATCTTTGCCTGAAATGTTCCCTTGATATCTCTAATTTTCTTGAAGAGATCTCTAGTCTTTCCCATTCTGTTGTTTTCCTCTATTTCTTTGCATTGATCGCTGAGGAAGGCTTTCTTATCTCTCCTGGCTATTCTTTGGAACTCTGCATTCAAATGGGAATTATCTTTCCTTTTCTCCTTTGCTTTTCTCTTCTCTTCTTTTCACAGCTATTTGTAAGGCCTCCTCAGACAACCATTTTGCCTTTTTGCATTTCTTTCCTTGGGGATGGTCTTGATCCCTGTCTCCTGTACAAATGTCACGAACCTCCGTCCATAGTTCATCAGGCTCTCTATCAGATCTAGTCCCTTAAATCTATTTCTCACTTCCACTGTATAGTCATAAGGCATTTGATTTAGGTCATACCTGAATGGTCTAGTGGTTTTCCCTACTTCCTTCAGTTTAAGTCTAAATTTGGCAATAAAGAGTTCATGATCTGAGCCACAGTCAGCTCTTGGTCTTGTTTTTGCTGACTGTATAGAGCTTCTCCATCTTTAGCTGCACAGAATATAATTAGTCTGATTTCGGTGTTGACCGTCTGGTGATGTCCATGTGTAGTCTTCTGTTGTGTTGTTGGAAGAGGGTGTTTGCTATGACCAGTGCGTTCTCTTGGCAAAACTCTATTAGCCTTTGCCCTGCTTCATTCCGTACTCCAAAGCCAAACTTGCCTGTTACTCCAGGTGTTTCTTGACTTCCTACTTTTGCATTCCAGTCCCCTATAATGAAAAGGACATATTTTTTGGGTGTTAGTTCTAAAAGGTCTTGTAGGTATTAGTCACTCAGTAGTAAAACTTCTCTAACCCCTGTCTAGTATAATAAGGAAAGATGTAGAATGCTAGTTTGCATTTCAGAAAAGACTAAGCCAGGCCCAGGAAACTGGAAAGATCCCTTCAGGGTAATTAGAGCCCTTTATCTCTTAAGTTAGTCTTTGATCAGCATTCCCTTCTAAAGGAGAAAAAAATAAGTCTAAAAACAACAACAAGGAAAAAAAGCACAGATAATAAGTACCCATCAATTGGAATTAACAGATATTCATATTCTGTCATTTTTGCTTCAGAGTCTTTTGGTTTGTTTTGGATATTTTGCTTTTAGTTAAAGAATACAACCAAGTCGAAGTCCCTCAGTGTTCCCTTGCCCAGTCCCATTCCCCTGCCCTAGCTCACCAACATTTTAGCCCTTGCATCAGACGTGTTATTTTGTGGCTTGTTTATGTGACCGTTGTTGGTAAAATCTGTCCATATTGATAGGAAGAGAACAAACTGATTCATTACAGCTGCTCTACTCATCCTATGGAAACATCTGTTTATCCACTTATTTTTTTTTAATGAAAAACATTATTATATTTTTGAGGAATGAGATGTTCTCAGGTAGCATAGCACTTTGGAAAACTGTGTGGCAGTTTCTTATAATTAAACATATATGCACGATGACCAAGCAACCCCACTGCCTAGATATTTCACCAAAAGAAGTGAACTCAGGTGTCTACAGTCTAGTACAGAAACATTTACAGCAGATTGGTTCATATAGCCAAACAGAAACAACCCAAATGTCCATCAGATGGCAAATGGGTATACAAACTACAGTATTACCATACAGTGGAAAGCTATACTATACTACAATAAAAAGGAACAAATTACAAATGGAAAAAGAGTATCAGTGAATCTTGAAAGCATTATGATAAGTCAAAGAATCAAGTCACAAAAGACTACAGACTCTACTGTTCTATTCATATGAATTCTAGAAAAGACAAAATGATACTGGCAAAAACTAGATCAGAGGTTGCCAAGGGATGGGGAGAGGGGAGTTGACTGCAAAGGGGTTTAAAGTGAAAATATCACATCCTATGTCTTGATTTTGGTTGTGGTTGTACTAAATGTATGTATATATACATACATGTTTGTCAGAACTCATCAAATTGCACAGTTAAAATTCAAAATTTTCTTAATTACACTCCAGATTTTCTTTCAATTATAGCTTTTATAGCTTTTATTTCCAAAAAGTCACTTTTTGTTTTCATTAAATGCAAATAATCAAGGCATTTTCTTAGCCTGAACAGACTTTAAAACTAGACTGTGTATACTGCTGGGCAACTAAATATGAATGTTTTCAATGAGGAAGCAAAAATGGGTGGTGGGAAAGGAGGACCTTTCTTAAATGTGAACTGTGTGTACTTCCCAAATACTGTAAATAGGAGCATTTCTGGTGTCATCCCAGTGCTTGCTGTGCAAAGGTGCTTACCTGAGACTCTGGCTCTTCTCTCCAGCTCCTGCTCCACATTTGCCATGACCTGACCTTGGCAACGCTAAGCCAGGAAGCAGGCTCCTGGGACGCAGCTGTGGAAGGACTGCTTCGGGCTGTGATCCGGAGCTACGACTCAGGAAACTTCACCATCATGCAGGAAGTGCACTCAGCCTTTCTTCCGCAGGGTAAAGGACCCCCAGCCCTGCTGGGGCACACCTGCTGAAGGATGATATAACCACTGCCAGTGGTGTGGCAGCAGGAGTACATAGGTTGTTGAAAGACATAGATGAGCCACTGTGTCGTTTAGTAGAAAGTCTGAATTCTTACCCAAACTCCTAAGAGGTAGTTAGCATGACTGAGCTATTTTCCTTTACTGGTCCTACCTATCTTAGTGTTTCCTATATACTTTCCTACACATAGGTAGAGAGAGAAATAGCAGTGTACTCACAAGTTATAAAGAATAGAGAAAACATTCCTTGAGCTACACAATTAGTCACTGACCTATAACATTAGAACACATCAGAACACAGTGGCATCTTAGCCCTAGAGCCTACAATGGGACAGATGAAATACTTCTTTCTGTCATGCTTTACATGGCTTATAGCAATGAGGACACTATCTTAGGCCAGAAGCTCTGGTTGGCTTTTGCTGGAAAGCATGTGGTCCCATGGATCATTGCCATTCTTTTCCTTGGGATCTGATTGGCCTCTTGGATGACAGGAAACATGTGGGCAGGAAGTCAGATTTCTGGCAGACAAAGAAATAAACCACTTTTCTTCTCTTCTAGGCTGTGACCACCTAAGAGACAAACTGGGTGATCATCAGTCCCCCACCACACCAGCTTTCAAAAGTCTGAAGGCCTTTTTTATTTATGGACGTCTGTATGAATTCTGGTGGTCTCTCTCTGGGCCTTGCCCCGAGTCCAGTGTCTGGGTAAGAGCTGCTCACAGAAGTAAAACCTCTGCTGAACAGAGTCAAGAGGTTGACAGTGGCAGCCCTGAAGAAACTGACCCCCAAGCTCCCCAGCCAGAGCCAAGCAGGACTCCAGAACTAGACGTGAGACTTACAGAAGAAGGTGAACAAATGCAGAATGCCTGTAAGGAGCTCTTGTCAGAAAAGCATGCTGGTCTCCAAAATGCACAGAGAACTGTTGCTGAAGTCCAAGAGACCTTGGCAGAAATGATCCGCCAACACCAAAAGAGTCAACTCTGTCAATCCACAGCAAATGGCCCTGGGGAGAATGAACCTGAGCAGGAAGAAGAGCCCCTCTCTGGTCCTCAGAAGCAGTGGTAAGTCCTGACTCGGCGCGGTGCGGGACCACACGGCGCTCGGCGAGGCCGAGGAGGTCACCTGGAGGCCCCACGGGGCGGTCGTTGGGGCTCAGGCGCTGCGGTCAGGTGTGGGGCTCCAGTCCTGGCCCTGCTCAGCGACCTCAGGAGTCGTCATGCCTCTCGAGCTTCAGTTCCCTTATCCATAAATGGAGTACCAACCGATCCTTGCTTGTTTTGACGAACAAAATCACAAATATTGTTAATGCAATAATACAATGAAACCCTTTTGTGCAAGATTCCCAAAAAAATCAGTCATGTAAAACAGGGAGTTGCAGTATTACATCATTAATGAAAACCACTGTTTTTCTTCCTTTGGCCACCCTCCATGGCTTGTGGAATTTTAGTTCCTTGACCAGGGATTCAGTCTGCGCCCTCAGCAGTGAAAACAGAGTCCTAAACACTGGACTGTCAGGGAATTCCCAAAACCATTGTTTTTTAATTTTTCAGTACTATCCCAAAAAACACACATAAAGGGTAGTGTAAAAAATCCCAAATGATCAGATTGCTGCAGCATCCTGATCACCTCTACTGAAAATAAGGACCAGGTAGATGATCACTGATCACTTTAGAGCCCCTCTATATTGTCACAGGGCACTCGGCTGTGCCATCTGCAGTGATTAGCACGTACGGGTTAGTTGTTATGCTAAGTACCTTTTACCTCATGTCCCTGCCAGCACAAGGCCTAAAATATCTTAACTAGTACAGTCAATAAACTTATACCCATTATTAGTAACTTTTAAAAATTAAAATTACATTTGTTGCTTTAAAAATACAATTGAAATCTTGAGTCAAAGTTCTGAGTACTTCTCTAGTGAGCTACACTCTAAGCAGCACTATACGTTTGGTTTTAGTAATAAGAAAAACATTAAACAGTTCTCTAACGAGCAGCTCTCAACCTCTGGATCAGAGGGCCCCTTTAAGAAGTTTAAGACACTTCCCAGAAAAATGTGCATCCATACACCCCAAGGGTAGGGACCCCTGCTCTGTCTGACCCATTACCCAGAGAAATCCAGGCCCTCCGCACTTGCCTGCAGGTTGAACCCCCTGAAGATCCTTAATTCTTCCTGAAGCTGTGTGTCTAAGAAATGGGAATTTGGAAAGTGGTGAGGAACGATACTGCATTTTGAAAACTTTGTATCACATCACATTAAATTCCCTTCTCTTAGCCTTAGTATTTAAAGATGAGAGTTAAAGACCCAGGTGACAAAAGTAATTTACAACATAATGGATTTAAAAGTTATGTGCAGCAAGACATATGACTTGTAACTTTTTTTATTATCACTAGTAAAGAAGAAAAAAATAAACCAGTTTCTTTGCCTGAATTAACCAAAAGACTTACAGAGGCAAATGAGAGAATAGCTGAGTTTCCTGAGAATATTAAGGTAAGATATATTAGCAGTTCGTTTGGTAAAATATTACTTTTTGTATTGTCAGTTGACTACACCAAATTCTTTAATGTCATCTGAATTCTGTACACATTTGTGTATATTTAAAAATTGAGGCTCTAATTGCCTTCGGTGAGCTATAATGTTTTGTGAGAACAGAGTGATTGATACCACAAGCAATTTTATACTTCAGCCTTCAGAGAAATCTATTAGGAGGTAAAGTAAAATTGCACCATGTATTTGATTACAAATGGATAGGTGCATTTGAATGTGGCCCCTAGTAGTAACAGAAGCATCATGGTTTAAATTCATTTGAGTAGGGCTCTTCTTAGAAAAAGATTGTATCGTGTAAGGATATCCCAGTTTTGAGTATCATCTCTCCTTAGAGTAACTGATGAAGAGTCTTAAGAGAGAAATGGCTCAACCATTCCAGATATGTCAGTAGAACAGGCTGAGTCACTAGTGACTTCTGTGGAGGTGTACATAGCTTTTTTTTTTGCAAATGCTTCCTTGTTTATCCCTGTGTCATCTTTCAGACCTGGCCTTTCCCAGACGTACTGGAGTGCTGCCTCATCCTGCTTCACATTGGGTCCCAATGTCCTAGCTTTATGACCCAGGAAATGCAGCAACAGGCTCAAGAGCTCCTTCAGAAGTATGGCAACACAGAAGTTTACAAACATTACCAGACCCTCTACACATGAACTTCCAAGGATCTGTAAGAAAGTACCAAATTTGAAACATCCAACACCTTTCACCTCTGCATTTACACTTCACCAGACATTCACTTTGACCCCTAGATATTTCTGCAGTGATCCAAGTAATATAAATGAGGGTCAAGTGTGAATCAACTCTACATTTGGACCCAGTGAAATCTGACTATGGACTCAGTTGTGGTTTCCCACTGGAGGAAAGATCATGAAAAGCCAGCAGCAGTTAGTTACTCAAGAACTAGCACCTACTAAGTGATTGCCTTATGCAGGTTTCACCCAAAGAGGAGAAACTCTTTCAGTCACCCAAAGTGTTATATTCTTAAACACAAGCTACCTTTATAAATGCTTCGCCTGATCATAAACATGTCATTCTGGTTTAAGACACAGTTGTTGCATATTATGACTTCTGGTATCATTTTTTTTTTTTAACTGTTTTTGTTAATTTGGGTTCACTTCTACTCTTTGAAGGACTGAAGCTTGAATGTGAAAGAGGCCTTACCCATCATGCTGACTCTTTACCCTTTGTCTGAACTTCAGGCCAGAACTTTGGTCTCAGTGTGTAATGGAATTGCTTATTTGAACAAATCACTGACTAACACTTTAGAAGAACAAATAACTAATTCAGATGTGACTTACTCCTTCAGTTTTATAAGAAATGAACGGTGATCAAAATAGCTCAGGATGAAATGACTGTTTCATTGGTTCTTAAACTTATTTTTTTTTTGGATCATAGGGACTTTTTGAGAATAAAAGCCACAGATGATCTTGGAAGAAAAATGCATACTCCTCATTTTGCATATGTAACTTTGGGATTACTGGACTCCAACTTTAGCCTAATAGGACCCTACATACTATTTAATTACAAATCCCTGTGGGGGCTTGTGAGGGGGTTTGTTGTTGTTTGGTTTTAGTTTTCTGTTGTTATTGTTTTCCCCTCGCTAATGAGCATTTTCTTAAGATCTCTTCTTCCCATTGGTTATTTACATAGCTGAAAAATGTCAGGAAGAGATGTTTCTGTAATATCACAGATGCTAGGACATAAAAATCAGGCAGTCTGGGGTGAGTTGAGAGGGAGCACTCTTTCCCAGTACTATTTTCTTTTGGGGATTCATTGTGAAAGCTTTCCTGCTCCAGTGTCCTATTTATGTTTCAATTATTTCCAAGGGTTGGGGCTGTTGTGGGCAAGAATAAAATTGATTACAGAAACTCTCTAGGAAGGAAAAATAAAACTTTTCCTTACAGGCAGTTTTCAAAGATCTGACTTACTGGGGTTTTGTTTTTATTTTTTATTAGACCTAGCTTTAGGATTTTAAAACCCTAAATCCAAAAAACGAAATATTGTAGAACTTAGATCCTCATAGTTCTTTACATAGGTAAGTGAATTTTAGGAAGATGTATGAAGAATCTTTGTGGCAGAGTGGAGAACTAGGTACCAGTTCTACAGTCTTTATTAAGATGAACAAATGCTTCACTTACAGACAGTAAAGAGCAGTATTATTAAACTAGAAATTTCTGAACTCCTTCATGACTTACCAAAACCAATGCTTCTGGGTAGGGGTGTCCTGCATCCTCCTTGATCACCGCTTTGGTAAGAACAAGTATTGCTCTACAACTAAGCAAGGAGACTTCCAAAAGCAAAGACGAAAGAAATGACACAACTCCATTTCCTCTCAAACCCCTTTTTCCAATTTCCAGATAATGTATCAAACTATTCCAGGAGTTGGTGATGGACAGGGAGGCCTGGCATGCTGCAGTCCATGGGGTCGCAAAGAGTCAGGCATGACTGAGCGACGGAACTGAATTCTAATTTGAATACATGGTTTTCATTTCCATCTTTCTAATTATCAGAACCACAGGGAAGTAACTCAAGCTTTCTGAGTGGATAAGATATACCACTAAGCAACTAAAGATTTAGTTTTGGTACTTTTACCCCACCCAAAGTAACTTTTTGTCTAATATAAACCACCATCCTATTACCCAGAAGGCTGCACTCACCTCCCAGTATCTGAACCTGCTTTCTTTTTCTTTTTTGTCGCATGGCTTGTGGAATTTTAGTTCTCCAACCAGGGATCACACCTGGGCCCTCAGCAGTGAGAGAACCATGTCCTAACCACTGGACCTCCAGGGAATTCCCTAAACCTGCTTGCTTTTTACTAATTCACCATTCTTCATATACCAATGACTGGTGTAACTTAAAAATCAAATCTTGTCACCCCTCACTAAAAAACTTTTAAAGTATTTTCCCATTGGTATTGGAAAGTTAATTTTGAATTTGGCTTATAAAGCCCTGCCTAATCCTAGCCCTTACCTGTCAGCTTTGTGCCTAGACATTCTCATCCTTGCTTCAAGACTCTGGTCACACTGGTCTCTGAGCTGCTACCAAGTCCTCTTGTCATCTCAGGGATTTCTGCCTATGTTGTTTCTCTGCCTGGTCCAGTTGTGCTTATCTCTTAGATCTCAGCTTAAAAGTCCTCTCTTGGGGAATTTCCTGGCGGTTCAGTAGTTAAGACTCTGCGCTTCCACTGCAGGGGGCACGGGTTCCGTCCCTGGTCAAGGAACCAAGATCCCACATGCTGCACAGCACAGCTGAAAAAATGTCCCTTCTCAAAGACTGTCCTTCAACTTCAACCTCAGAGACATCAATATCCTGTACTTTACAGTTCACAAATTATATTTTTGTGATTTACTATCTGGCAGCACAGATAGACTGTAAACTCCAATGAGGGTAGAGATTGTTTTCCATTTACTACTTTATCCCTAGTGTGCACTTAGAATGTCTAGTATTTAGTAGGTGCATAATTCAAACTTATCAACTGAATAAGCTGGGAAACTGAAAAAATGCTCATTAATAGCTTGGACTTAAAGGACTCTAAACAGCTCTTTCATACTAGCACTGGCTGACAACTAAGGCTTGTTGAGTGGTAGTCAACCTTACTGCCTTAGCAGACCACAGAAATTCAATAGCTGGGATTACAATAGCCCCTCCACCCCCAGCCACAATTTCACTTTCCACAGTTTTAGTTACCCCCAGTCAACAGAGTCCAAAAATATTAAATGGGAAATTCAAGGAATAAACAATTCATAAGTTAAACTATGGCCATTCTGAGTAGCATGATGAAATCTCACAGCCCTCCCAGTCCATCCCACCAAAACGTGAATCATCCTTTTGTCCAGCATATCCACACTGTATACACTACCTACCCATGAGTATATGAAGATTACAAATCATACATTATAGGGCTCAGTACTATCCATGGTTTCAGGCACCCACTGTGGGTCTTGAAACATTTCCCCCACAGAGAAGGGGGACTGCTGTATGTGGAGGGGTTGATTCACACCCAAGTTAGTATTCTCTTGGTTATTCTGCAGGACCATCCCTTTCTGAGGATAACCACTGACAGCCCTACACACACTCCTATATATGAAGTTCTTTCCAGTTCTACTAGACCTGTGCCCCTTCTTTTGCACTTTAAATAAGTTATCTCTATGCAATGAGTACACCCCCACTCAACACTGAGATCCTCAACCCTTCATCTCAACATTTCTCCTGACATGTCAGTAAGCCTGTTCTTAACTGTGGCAAAGATAAATGCCTGTTTTACGCTTGACCTTAGTCAAAAGACTGAGAAGTGATTAAATACCTATCTTAATCCAAATTTTTTAGGACATCTGTGTAGGGCTCATAGTCACCAGTGTGCCAAAGCACCTTGATTCAGAGCCGCTGACCTAAGCTGCTTTACCACAAATCTTACAATGTATATTGCAGTCAAAATTCTAGCTCTGCTCCTGTACCTGACTTACTGTGTCCAACTGTGTGCAACCCCACGGACTGTAGCCTGCCAGGCTCCTCTGTCCATAGGATTTCCAAAGCAAGAATACTGGAATGGGTTGCCATTTCCTATTCCAGAGGATCATCCCCACCCAGGGATTGAACTAGCGTCTCATGTCTCCCACCTTGGCAGGCAGATTCTTTACCACTAGAGCCAGTTGGGAGACTTATTACAACCCCATATTGTTAGGCTAAGAGAAAGGACTGGAAACAAACTCCTGAACCAAATCTAGAAGTTCAATTTGTCCCAAAGTCCAGTAATTAATAAGCGAATCCACCACATACAATGGAGTAGCACCAGGAAATAGAATTAAAACCGATTTCCAAATAAGGCCCAATAATCAGCAAAGCATATGAAGTAAAGAGACAATTCCATTTACACAGTCACTCATTAAGAGCTTTCTACAGAGTGAGACATTTTGTATGCAAGCCAACTTGTGGAAAACAGGCAAGTTGCATCCATGTCAACAACCATCTTCTAGAGCCAGCAATTCAGAGTTTTGAAAAACCAAACCTTCATGCCAGTGGTTAAAAAGAAATCTTTATTTTACAAAATTAAAAACATAAATAATATTTACAAGCATCTTAAATACCAGCTTATAATACTTGACATTTTTTAATCATTTCAAATTGAGTTTTCCATAAGCTTTTAAAATGCAAGACTATGCATCCACTTCAGTGAGTTACCAGTTTTCATTTCCACTATTCCGAAGGAGTTTTTGGTTTTTGAAATTGTCCCTACTGTAGTCATTCAAAAAAAAAAAAAAATACAGCATACTTTTTAAATGACCAGTTTAAAAAAAAAAAATCACAATCCTGAGCTTCCTTACCCCAGTTGTGCATGGGATATTACTCCAAGAGAACCCCTATAAACCAAATTCCTTACTGCCCTGTTTACATGTAACCACTGTGACTTTTTAAAGACTCACCTTCCTGGTACTCACATTAATCCATGTCCCTAACTTCTCAGTTTGCTGAAAAGGAAAAGCACAGAAAACAGAGAAGAGAGGTGGGAGAACAGAGACAACCATCTGAAATCACATTACTGAAAATATAACAGACTTACGACCCAAAACCTGCTCTCAGTAATTTCCAAGATATTTTATGAAATGAACACTTAAAATGATTTCAAATGATGCATATGTCACAGCAAATCTCAGTGGCACAATGGAACAGATTTGAAGACATTTAAGTGGTTAACTTAATACCCATTCTGGAGTTCCTTGTACATAATGTGTAGACAGATGCAGTAGAAATTTGTTTTTAAGGAACATTTTCATTATCTGGTCTTCATATTTCAGCACTAATTCATTTCCACATAATAATACATAAGACCAACAAAGTGTGAGGAAAGCAAATGTCCTCAAGAAAAGTGAAACAAAAGAAAGGAAAGAAAGGAAAAGGCTCGACATCTATAACCCACTTCACAAGCCCATCACTTGGTTCTACTTTTGCTGGAAGCCCTCAGCTCAGCTGAGGTTCACAGCAAGAAGTCTTCATCCTCAGAGATTAGCAACAAATTTAAAAGAAAAAGAATGACAACAGGCAAGAGTTATATACATTTTACTAGTTTGTTTCCGATTTGTCCTGGGTTTTAAAATGTGTCCAAGGAGCCATGGATGCTGGTGGCAGGAGGTAAGTGGAGAAGAGAGGCTTAGGGATGAGGACTAGGGCAGACGTTACAAATTCAGAGCAAACTTCTTCTGGATCTAAAATAAAGTCATCTTTTGTCTTCAGTAAAACAAAAGTCTGTCAACACAGATGGTAGGTACAGTTTGCTGAAAAAAGGCGTCTTCTCTCGGGGAGGAAGGTAAGTATTCACGGTCAGCACAGGAAGCACCGCTCTGGGACCAGGCCCGCCCTGCAGAGCCTCACCGCCATCACTGCTGCATGTTGTTGATGATCGCCAGGATGCTCATCTTCTCCTGGGCAGAGTCCACATCCTCATTCTGCTTCTGGGCCACTCCCGTGCCTAGGCCATAGAGCCGCCCACAGTACTTGGCATCATCAATACTGTCCTCAAAAAACAACTGCAGAATAGGACAGAGAACCCCTGGTGAGAACCATGCCAAGAGTCATGCCAAGAATCAGGCCAAGCCGCAACACTATCACATCAGCACCTCCCAGCTTTCTTAAGGCCTTGAAAATCTAGCCAACTAGAAGCTAACTTCATAAAGAAAGGCTCCAAACCTCTCCTATGCATAGTCTTTTTATGTCCCTTTCTCTATATATAGGTTCTCCTTTGAAAACAGAATTCTACTGATACTTTCCATGAGTTTTCACTGCCAGGATCCCTCTGCTGCTGCTTTTAGTACAATGGCCTCTATTTCCTCCCTTGTCTTTAACAGGTAACACAATGGTTAAGAGCTTGAGCTCTAGCCTCAGACTGACTCACTGTGTGACAGTCACTTCAGCACTCCTTAAGGCACAGATTCCCATCCATAAAGTGGGTAATACAGTAAGTAACAGGTTGCTAGGAAAACGGACGTGAAGTTCACACAGCAAGGCGTCTCGCCCTTCTGAGCACTAGTGGGCAGAAGGCTCTGCTGGGGGCTGAGGAGGTGCTCCAGTGCAGGGGGGCACCGTGGGGTATCCAGCAGCATAACCCCACTCCCCAGCTTATGACAGCCGAAAAGGTCTGCAGACACCGCCAAGGGTACCCCAGAGGGCAAAACTGGGAGCCTGATGTTGCCAGCTTTGTTCTTCTTTTTCAAGATGGCTTTAGCTATTTGGGGTTTTTCGTGGTTCCATACAAATTTTAGGATTATCTGTGCTATTTCCGTGAAAAAATGCCCCACTGGAATTTTGATCAGGACTACATTCACTCTGTAGACTGCTGAGTAGTATGAATTAACAATATTGACTCTTCCAATCCACGAGCTCAGAACATCTTTCCGTTGACTTACGTCCTCAGTTTCTTTCATCAGTGTCTCACAGTTCTCAGTGTACAGGTCCTTCACCTCCTTGGTAAAATTTATTCCAAGGTCATTTTATTCTTTCTGATGTAAATTAGGCTGTTTTCATAGTTTCTCTTTCTGATAGTTCACTATCAGTGTATAGACACAGAAGATATTTTATATTTTTTTATCCTGCAATTTTACTGGATTCATCTATTAGTCCTAAAAGTTTTTGATAGAGTCTTTGTAGTCTCCTATATATAGTATGTCATCTGCAAATACTGACAGTTTTCCTTTCTGATTGGAATGCCTTCAATTTCTTTTTCTTGCCTAACTGCTCCAGCTAGGACTTCCAAAACCTTGTCGAATAAAAGTGGCGAGAGTGGGTATCCTTGTCTTGTTCCTCATCTTAGAGGAAAAAATTTCAGCTTTTCTCCACTGAGTATGATGTCAGATTGGGACATTTGATAATTAATCGAACTTAGCATAGAATGAGTGGGTGGTTTAACAAATGTGTTCATATTACAGAAATCAGAGGCAAAGCAAGTAACTGCAAGGATGAGGGCTACAAGGGACACCAAGCACACTTCTAGACTTGAGCATGCTGAGTAACCTCCATTTCAGAATGTTTCTTTGCCTCTCAAATCATAGTGTGTCTAACATATGCATAACACACACACACCAAAAAACCCTGCTTTCAAGGTGGCCATCAGATTCTAAGAGAAACTATAAATTTCCAAAAAGCCTTTTGCCTTACCTCTTTCATCCTGAAGAATGCCATTCCCGTCAGCAGTGAGTCTGAGCCTGCCTGGTGCTGCCTTCCAATTCTCTGCAAATCCAACTGATCAGCAACTTCCTGAAGACCTCCCTGGAGATGGAAGGAAAATACATTCAACACTACAGACCGAACTTCTCTACTGGAGTCAACTGTGTCTGTCAACTATGTCTGTCTTCCCTACTGGAGTCAACTATGTCAACTATTTACCTAACAGGCCTCACCCCAGACTACCCGCTTTTTAACCCTCCAAATGATACACTGTCTTATAGTCCACCACTTTTCACTCCTTTCTTTTCTATATTAATCCTGTCAGACCTCTGCCATTCAAAGTCCTCACTGCTGGAAAACAAGGTTGGGGAAACAGTAAATGCCAGTGCAATTCTAGATGGAAGCCTCTAAGATTAGCAACTTTTAGGGGAGAGAGTTCTTAAAATTGTTTAGAGCTAAGAACTTCTCTGAGAGTCTGGTAGACTGCAAACCCCATCCCTAACAAACTGTACACACACCTCATGTCTCCAAATGTTTCACTAGGTTCGTGGGCCCTGAGTGAGGAATGGCTGCCTTAGGCTGAGAGAAGCAGAAGGCTCCATTCATGCCCAGGTCAAAGACAGTTACCACACAAATTCCTGTGCCAATCAACTCTATATACACCCTGTCTAGCACCAGACTGGCACCCAGCAGGATCTCAAGGACACGTGCTCAACAAACTGCAATAAAGCAAAATGACAAGTCTACATTTTTATCTTTTTCTTGTTGTTACTATATATTAAGAAAAATACTGTGTACCTTAAGATTTTTACAACTCTTCATGAGGTATTTCACATCATAAATGGATGGGAAGAAAAGATTCAGAATATGAAAGAATTCATGTTCTTCTTCTGGCAAACGAGAATCTGTAAGCAACTTCACCATGTAGCCGAAATCATAGCCACTATAAGGAGAGAATGAGGCAGTAAGGTAAGAGTTATCAGCAGTTATCAGCCCCCAGCATTCAAATACCTATTTCTCAGAGCTTACGGTGCTACCTCATGTTAGGAACTTCAGTTTTCCAAAGGACTACAGCTGATCCTATACTCTGAACTTTCCATTAAATGACAACCTAACAGATTAATATGGGATGTATGTAAGTGAACCCAAGGGTTTATCAATGTGGGTTTTACACATCAGAAATTTAAAAGCAGTGAAAGGTAGAGAGTTCTTTAGTGGTCTAGTGGTTAGCAGCTTTCACTGTGGACTGGGTTCAATCCTTGGTCGGGGACTCAGATCCTACAAGCAACGCAGCATGGCAAAAAAAAAAAAAAACAACCTCTCAAGGGGAATGTGGTTTTTGAGTACCCAGGAAACTCCAGGCCAGCCATTTAAATGACAAGAAAAGGTGACCAAGTCTTCTCTCCTTTCCACCCTCCATCTTTCCACCTGACATATACCCACTGACAGCCACGGGACACAGCCTAATACTGTGTGAAATAAACCACTATAAGCTCCAAAGTGTTTTTTGAAAAACTGAAATGTGAGCAACAGTTATCATTTCAACTTTGTAACGGCTAGTGAACAAGAGTGCCAAGAGGACTGCAAACGTAATGTAAGAATTCGACTGCCTGCTCCCAAAGCAAAAGAGAAACACTGAGACTGACCTGTGAAATGAAAGCCATTTGACGTTGTCACAGAGAACCACCCCGGATGTCATAAGCAGCTCTGCAAAGTGCAGTGTGTCGATCCCTTCCTCTTCATGCTTCTGAAACTGCAGTCCTGAGTTAGCGAGGAGATCTATGGAATCCTGGGAGTACATGTCCTCTCTAAAAAAGAAGGCATTCATTTCTTAGCTCCTAGTATAGTAAAAGAAGGAGTGGGCAACAATATTACCATCACTTTATAAATCACAGAACAAGTATTCTTGAATTGCTTTCATACTTTACAAATAAATCAATTCATTCCTTCCAGTATTCTAGCAAACAAAGTAATCTTATCTGTAACAAAGAAAAATAGGATTTTTCCCCTGCAAAATAAGTGTATTCATTATGAAAGATCCACATTTTCTCATTTAAAGAAAAGCAGAATCAATCAATACAAAAATTTAAAAATAGCACAAAGTGGAAAAAATAATTTTATTATAACACTACCACATAGAAATAACTTCTCTTTCACCTCAGTTTGGTTGGTCGGTTGCTTTAGTCGCTATGTCGTGTCCAACTCTTGCGACCCTACAGACTATAGCCTGCCAAGCTCCTCTGTCCATAGGATTCTCCAGGCAAGAATAGGGGAGTGGGTTGCCATTTCCTTCTCCAGGGGATCTTCCTGACCCGGGAACCGAACCTGGGTCTCCTGCATCCCAGGCAGATTCTTTACCGACTGAGCTATGAGGGAAGCCCTCGTCTCAGTTTACACACCCTGTTTTCTCTACCCACAGACACACCTCCATCCCTGTATCTACACATCACAGACTGTCTTTCCAGATCAACACTCACAGATGTAACACAGTCTTTGTGTCTCTGAAACAGCATTCCACTGTAAAGATCCATTAATCTAAACACAGGAATATTTATAACACCACAAAACACAAATGTAGGTCTGTGTTTTCCTCCTTTTCCACTAGGTTTCACTGCTTGCCTTTTGTTTTTCATACAAACTTAAATTAGAACAGAACACTAGAAAGCAAAACAACACAATCTCAATTTTTTCCACTAAACTGAAACCAGTGTTGAATCACAATCTTATTCTTACTAAAATAAACACTATTTTAAATACAAACACCAACTGTGCAATAAATATAACCCTTATTTTTCCTGTGTACTAAACTGTCGTCACGGTACAAATAACAAGCTCTGGCTTGGACGCAAAAACTGCAGTTAAAGGAAAGATCCAGATCATCTCCTAAATTTATTCTCTGAACCTCAAAGAAAGCTCCAAAATAAATGAACAATAATCAAAAAATTATTCCTGACCTATCAGATGCTCCTGGTCCCAATTAAACAAAGCAGTTTTCAAGAACTGGGGCCCAACAGGAAATACACTAACACCACCTCATTTAATGAGCAAAACAATGATCTCCCCAAATTTTCCCCTTAAAAATTACATCCTCCTCAAAAACTTCGAAGAACTATGACATGATCCAGCAATGCCACTTCTAGGTATAAACACAAAGGACAGAAAACCAGTATCTTGAGGAGATATCTGCACATCCATGTTCACAGCAGTGCTATTCACAACAGCCGCAAGGTGTAAACAGCAACGTCCATCAGTGGAGGAAGAGATGAACAATATACAGCACATACGTACAGCGGACTACTCCTCAGCTAAGGGAGGCCATTCTGCCACATATGACAACATGGATGGCCCTTAAGGACATGCGTTGCTGCTGTTCAATTGCTAAGTTGTGTCCAACTCTGCGACCACATGGACTGGAGCACACAAGGCTTCCCTGTCCTTCACTATCTCCCGGAGTTTGCTCAGATTCATATCCATTGAGTCAGTGATGCTATCTAACCATCTCATCTTCTGCCGCCCTCTTCTCCTTTTGCCTTCAATCTTTCCCAGCATCAGGGTCTTTTCCAATGAGTCGGCTCTTCACATCAGGTGGCCAAAGTACTGGAGTTTCAGCTTCAGCATCAGTCCTTCCAATGAATATTCAGGGTTGATTTCCTTTAGGATTGACTGGTTTGATCTCCTTGCTGTCCAAGGGACTCTCAAGAGTCTTCTCCAGCACCATTATGCTAAGTAAAATAAGCCAGTCACAAAAAGACAAATACTGTATGATTCCACTTATATGAGATATCTAAAGTAGTCAAATTCATAGAAACAAAGGAGAATGATGGTTATCAAGAGCTGGGGGAAAGGAAAAAGGTGAACTCTTGTTCATTGGGTACAGTTTCAGATTTGTGAGATGAAAAAGTTCTGGAGGTGTGCTTCACCACAACTGTATACTTAAATATGGTTAAGATGGTAAATTTCATGTTGCGTGGTTTTTACCACAGTTTTTTTTTTTAAGTGCATAAAATGTGCATTTGCCCACTATCAGATAGGCTTCAGTTTCAATTACCCTTGATTGGCATATACTCTATACTTCATTTCTATTATGAAAGATAGTAATAATACTATTTACAGATAAGGAAACTGAATTACACAAGGTAAAATAACTGACTGAAATTTACCCAGCTAAGAAATGGCAGAACTGCAATTAGAATCCTGATCTAATTGGGGAACTGATTTCCCTTTTACATTTTAAACAGCCCTACTAAGATATAATTCACATACTAAACAATGCCCTCATGTAAAGTATACAATTCAATAGTATGTTCACAGAGTTGTATGACTACTATCAATCATGTGCCACCTCATCAACTCAAAAAGAAACCCCATACCCATTAAGCACTCACTCCCCATTACCTCCCTGCTGTCCACCCTGGACAATTACTACTCTATTTTCTAGAGGGCCTATTTTGGACATTTCAAATAAACAGAATTATAGGATATGTGATTTTTTGTGTCTGGCTTCTTTCCCTTAGCACGATGTTTTCAGAGCTCAGGCATGTATAGCACATGTCAGTACTTTATCTCTCTGGACAATCCAGTAACATTCCATGGCATGGAGATAGCACATAGAGCCATTCCTCAGATCACAGACACTTGGACTGACTGTTTCTACATTGTGGCCTTCATGAATAATGCTGCTGTGAACACTCACAAGTTTTTACATTGATGTATGATTTCATTTCTTTTAGGTGCAATTGCCGGGTCATAGGGTAACACCATGTTTCACCTTTTGAGAAACTGCCTGTTTTCCAAAGAGGCTGCACCATTTTATGTTTCCAACAGCAATATATGAGAGTTCTAATTTCTCCACACTCTCATCAACATCTGCTATTATGTCTTCTTGATTACAGCTGCCTAGTGGGTACGAAGTAGTTTACTATCTCATGGTTTTGATTTGCATTTCCCTAATGACTAAGGATGGTGGCCATCTTTTCACAAGCTCATTGGCCATCTTTAAATCTTCTTTGGAGAAATATATATTCAAATCTTGTGCCCATTTTTAATTGAGCTGTCTTTTGATTATCAACTTGTTAGAGTTCTTTAAGGGAGGCTTTTCTTTCTAATATTTGTTACTCCATCTTCTGCTTGACTATCCTGTCTACCCCCTACTTGGGTTTGAGGGAAACAAAACTTAAAATTAATAAAATCAGTTAAAGTCACAGTCTGCACAAATGTAGAAAGTCTAAGAATCACACTGAGCAGTGTCTCAGATACTTACGTAAGGTTGAATTTGAAGTTGAACTGCCAGGTGTTGATTCCAGAAGGATATTCTCCCTTCTCATTGGTGAATGTAAGGCCCAGCTGGATAATTTTTAAAAGGTCAACATTGCACCGTAAAAGCTGATACTGGTAATCTATGGAACTACGAAATTCACCAATGGGTCGCACCACAACACCTGGAAATTCTGTGTCCTGGAAAAGGAAAAAGTCTCATCATAAGGTGTCACAAGACACTGGATGCTGACTTGATCATTCATAAAAAAATTTTTATCTCCATTTATAAAAGCTATACAACAAACCCCAAGCTCAGGCATGAAAATTCACCGTAAAATACTGATTCTATTAATCTACAGAAGCACTAGAATCATGAAGCTTTACACAACAACCTGGAGATCTAAGCAGAACGCAATCAGAGGTAGCTGACTAGCTCTGGGTCCATTAAGAACATTCTCAATTTGGTTAGGACTCAGCGCTTTCATTGGTTGGCAAATTAAGATCCTACAAGACATGCAGGGTGACCAAAAAAAAAAACAAAACACCATTCTAGGTTCATACAATTAACTAGGAACAGTCAAGGTTGAGAACAGAACTCTATGAATAAACACAAATACAGGAACATGAGACAGCCATTAAAAAACAATAAGCAAGAGCCACGCTTGGCTTAAAGTAAAAAGCCTGGAACAAGATCAGAGAGAGAGTTCTGAATACCAGCCTGAAGATATAATTCCATACTCTCCACAGCAGGAGTCACAAACTCCAGGCAGTTAAAGTAACAGAGTAAAGCACAAAGAATATGAAAAGGGTTATGAGTAATGCAGACTGGAGCAAAATGAAGAGTATGTGCCTCCCCTCAAAGAGGGCCGTGACTTCACTAGGACGCATGTCTCCCTCCAGCCACTCAACACTGGACAGGAAAGTGGACCCTATGGTGCCCATTTTTTCCAGAGATACCAGAAATCTGGAATTTGAGTAAGATCTTTTGACTTTTTATTTTTTTTTGATCTCTTGACTTTTAAATGCTGCCAGCTACTTTTTAAAAAGTGCTTTAACACTGTCAAAGTCACCATACCTATGGAACATATGTATCCTACGGGCTGAGACAACTTCTATTTAAAGACAGAGTGACATCATCAATAATCTAAGATCCTGGAGGTTACATCCTTCTCAGACACACAGGCTACCCTGATGTTTCATAAAAGCAACATAACCTGCCAGCATGTTTAATTTTCCATGGCTTTAGTGTAATCATTTCTTTCAAAATCTCATATTAAATATTCCCTAAGTCCGTTTCAGAAGGTGAGTCAAAGAGAGCAGAGCTCCTTACCATGGCAATATAACTGTAACTGAGCACAATTTCTCGGATCTTCCTCATCTCTTCTTCCAGATTGCTGGCCCAGACTTCACAGATGACCTGGCTGTTCTCCACAAGTGCCGCAGGCATCCTGAAGAAACTTGAAGGGGCTTTCAGCAGACTACGTCGGAGGGCAAATTAATGGCTGATCTAATCTACATTCAAAAACATATTTTGAAATCACATTAATTTACACACTGGCATTAAGATGTTAACAAAACAAAGACATCAAAACAATACCATCACGTCATCAGCTTAAACTAAAACATTAAGACTATTGTATTTATTCTCCCATTTATATAATGGAGGAACTTGCCTTTGTCAAGAGACAGATACACATACAAACACATACTTTGGCTCCATTCCTCAGTTCTTTAACTTGAAGAAAATAAATAAAATTACTTAAGCATAAAAAAACTCTTGCCTAAACTGCCCTTTAGCAGAGAAATGAAGCTATTACCCTAATCCAGTTTTTGAGCCCTCTCCAGACTAACTGAAGACTAAAATAATCCCCTGTGAGCACAAATATATCCTTACCCAAGACTTTCACATTACTCTGATCACTCTGCACACAAACCAAATCATGGAAACATTTTTTTTTTTTTTCCAAATCATGGAAACATTTCTAAAGGAATCACTTCAGGAAGTTTAAATGTACCAGGATCTCTGAAAGCCTGAAAGAATGTGGACCTGAACTCTTATGCTGAAGTTTTAACACCGTGTGATGAATATGGGCATGGGAATAGCCACTCCAATCCCTAAAAAAGGAAATTCTTTTTCCCCACCAAAAAAAGTCAAATACAACCAGAGGCAAATGGATCAGGAAGTGAGAGACTTAAGTTGTCAAAACCAATCCCAAGGGCTAATTTGAGCAACTATAGTGAAAATTAGAATTTGAATTATTGTCTACTTTTCGCCATATAATAAGAAACTAAGCAGCAATTCAATAATAAAAACAGAGAAGATAGCAGGTATAAATAATTCAACCAGAAGCAACATGATTTACAATGTATATTCTGGTAGGAAACTGGGGAGGCAACAAGATAAACTCAACCTGGTTCAGTTTTAAGAGTAATGCCACTACTATAGCAAGGATGTGCTTGGTTACAAAATGACAAAAAGGAGCTTATTATCATAAGTGTATTTACTTAAAAAAGCAAGCCCACACACAGATCTTCAACACAATATAAGAGTGGGCTCACTGAATATATTTAAGGGAAAATTACTAGAAAGAGTAAAATGAATCTTTGCTTGCAAGATGCTGTTGTTATTCAGTTGCCAAGTCATGCCCAACTCTGTGACCTCATGGACCACCACACACCAGGCTTCCCGGTCCTTCACTATCTTCCAGAGTTTGCTCAGATTCATGACCACTGAGTCAGTGATGTGATCTAACCATCTTATCTTCTGCCACACCCTTCTCCTTTTGCCTTCAATCTTTCCCAGCATCAGAGTCTTTCTTTTCCAATGAATCAGCTCTTTGCATCAGGTAGCCAAAGTATTGGAGCTTCAGCTTCACCATACTGGAGATTCAATTTCACCATCAGTCCTTCCAATGACTATTTAGGGTTGATTTCCTTTAGGACTGACTGGTTTGACCTCCTTGCAGTCCAAGGGACTCTCAAGAGTCTTCTCCAGCACCACAATTCAAAAGCATCAATTCTTCAGTGCTCAGCCTTCGTTATGGTTCAACTTTCACATCCATACACGATTATAGCTAGGCAGATGCGTAGCTACAGTCATATAGCTATGACTATATCAACACCATAGCTAGGCAGATGCAAAATAAGAATCTGGATCAAAACAAAACTGGCATTCCCACGTGCTATCATTTCTCTGAGACACTTCTGAGAAACCAATCTGTTAGTATGTTACCAACCTCTTAAGATTTCACTTATTCGAGTTACTCCGTACTTTGACAGATGTTTCTCTGAAATTATAGCATATTTTCTGTAATCACTCTGAAACTTAAGTAGACTGTGTAGTAGCTTCCTAACAAATATGGGTGAACACTTCTTAAAGGCAGAATTCATATCTTCTCATTTTTGTTCTACACACAATAGGCATAAATTAAAGGCATGCAAATGAACTAATCAAGAACATCGGAAAATGGCAGAAGTTCAGACTAAGTGTGGAGTAAATTCCAATATCTGACCATAATTAAGAAAATGCTGGGGAATTTTCTGGTGGCTAGTGGTTAGGACTCAGCACTCTCAATGCGGGGGGCCCAGATTTGATCCTGGGTCAAGGAACTAAGATCCCACAAGCCATGCAACATGGCCAAAAAAAAGAAATAAAGAAAATGCTGGAATCCAAAACCTTAGATTCTAAACCCCGCTTAAGATGTTCCCCTGCAATAGGGCATAAAACCATTTCTATGCCCATTAATGTTATATTAGTACCCCTTCATGCACTTCCTTTTTGGTGTCACATCAAACACAACCATAAAACTACTTTAGGGGTAGTGGGTATGCCTAGTGAGACATTTACATAAAAACAAAACAACAAAAGCAATTCAAGCAAAAAATGTCTTTGTCCTCCAAGCAGCAAAGATTAGGCTTAAATAATTAAGATTATTTAAACCCTTAGAACAAGGTTCCCGAGCTATGAAGCTCTAATGTCAAAGCGTTAGTTGCTTAGTCTCAATTGTATACAACTCTTTGTGATTTCATGGTCTGTAGGCCACCAGGCTTCTCTTGTCCATGGAAGTCTCCAGGCAAGAACACTGAAGTGGTCAGCCATTCCCTTCTCCAAGGAATCTTCCTAACCCAAGGATCAAACTCACGTCTCCTGCATTGCAGGCCGATTCCTAATGTTTTATTAAAAGAACGCAAGGAACAATCTGAAGAGGTTCCCTCTGGTCAAACAAAATATGATCTGAATATCTTTATGGATAATTACTACGATGTATCATGACTTCTCAGACAGAGATTTAAATCCAAGAGTTCATAATGGGGCTTCCCTGGTGGCTCAGTGGTAAAGAATCCGCCTACCAACATAGGAGACACAGGTTCGATCCCTGGTTGGGGAAAATCCCACATGCCACTAAACCCACGCACAACTATTAAGTCTGTGCCCTAGAGCCCATCTCCGCAACAAAAGAAGGCACCACAATGAGAAACCCTCACACCACAACTAGAGAGTAGCCCTGGCTTGCTGGAACTAGAGAAAAGTCCAAACAATGAAAACTCAGCACAGCCAAGACTAAATGAATAAATAAATACATAAAAATCTTTTAAGAGTTCATAATGAGCTAAGAAAATACATTTAATTGGGCACCATTAGAGAATGAGAGTGAATGGACTTATTTTTTAAAATATGTATCCTGTCTTTCCTATATAAACTATAACCCCAAAAAATCAAACAGTTGAAGGAAAGTTTCTCTTCACAGGTTGTATAGCTAAAAATAAATATGGAGTAATAGACTATCACTGTTTTGTAACTCCTAATGAATTTAAACATCTGGCATTTATATGGACTATCCAGAAAAGGCAAAAAAAAATCTATCAAGACAGAAAAGATTACACGGTAGAATGGGAATTATGTAATTCCCTAATATAATATAATTATATAATTCTACTATTACACGGTAGAATTCCCATTATATAAATGGGAATGAGGTTTATCTTACTGAGGAGACAGAAATGTTCCCGAACTCCATAACAATGATTATTGCACAACTCAAAAAATTTACTAAAGAAAACTCACTGAATTTTACATGAAATAGGTGTTTTTATAGTATGTAAATTACATCTCGATAAAGATGTTAAAATAACCACTATGGCTGTAATCATCACAAAAAGAGACCACCAGGTATTATGTGTCTCAAAAACAAAACACATCACCACAATGAAGTTGTCTTGCAAAAAAAATTTAACTTGAATCTGACCAAGTCTCTATATTTAACTACTAATATACATAAAATAAGAACACAGGAACACGTTAACTGACACCAGAGAAACTCAAGCAACAAAATCCAGAAACTTCTATAGGAAACTAGAGAATCCAGCTTCTTCAACAAATAAATTACAAGAAATAAAGGTAAAAGACTCTCAGGATACCTATCAATCAATCAAAACATATAGACCTTAGATAAACTCTGCTCTAAACAACTCATAAGAAAAAAAATTCTAACATTTTTGAGACAAGTAGAAGTCTGAAAAATGTCTGATTTTTTTGGTTTCAAGGTTTTCTTTACTCCCCCTTCCTTTTTTTTTTTTTTTTTTGGTGTTACATAGCAGTTAATAGGTAATAGTTTTTGGGTTTTTTTTTTAAGTTCTCACCTTTTACGGATAACGCAAAATAGTTGTAAGTGACTGGACATAAGATGTGGGATTTGCTTCAAAATAACAGTGAAGAAAACTCACAACAACTTTTACAGTACTATCATTCTCTACAGGCTTCCCTGCTGGCTCAGTGGTAAAGAATCCACCCACCAATTCAGGAGACTCCGGTTAATCCCTGGGTCAGGAATATCCCCCTGTGAAGGAAACAGCAAACTACTTATCGTATTCTTGCCCTGTAAATCCCAAGGACAGAGGAGCCTGGAGGGCTACAGTCCATGGGGTTGCCAAGAGTTGGAGATGACAGAGCAACTAAACAAAAGTAATCTTTCTCTGTATTTTACAGATAAGAAAACTGAAACTCAAAGACATTAATTTAAAAGGTAGCATCATGACTTCCATTTCCAAGAAAATTCTTTTTATAATATAGGGATTGGGGATTAAGAGGAGTACAAACTATTATGTATAAAATAAGCTGTAACAATATACTGTACACAAGGAATATATATAGCCAGTATTTTATAATAACTATAAATGGAGTACAACACTTAAAAATTGTGAATCACTGTTGTACACCTGTAACATATAATTTTGTACATCAACTACAATAAATTTTTTTTTACTTCTTTTCAAAAGCTAACCATTGTTGTATGTGTGTAGGTATGCTCAGTCATATCTGACTCTTTTCGACTCCACGGACTGTAGCCCACGAGGCTCCTCTATCCATGAGATTTTCCAGGCAAGAATAATGGAGTGGGTTACCATTCCCTTCTCCAGGGGATCTTCCCGACCCAGAGATTGAACCCAAGTTTCCTGCATCTCCTGCACTGGTAGGCAGATTTTTTACCACTGAGCCAGCTGGGAAGCATGTATAATCATTGTTATAGTACTGACAAACAAGGAAGTCAAAACCAGACCACTGGCAAAATATTTAACACATGCTTCCACCAAACCCTTATCTAGGAAAACTATGCAAAAACAAACAATAGCTCGGAAGCAGCAAAATGTAGTGCCACTCAAAAACTGAAAAGGAACATTACACACATTTAATTTAGCGTATTACTAGTGTTAGCCGAAAACGACAGAAATGATGATAATAATAAATAAAGCTAACAATTCTGCCTGCCACTTTGCACTCAAGTGAGCACAAGCTCCAGTATGAGCCTAAAATGGGGATCAATAAACACACTTTTCCCCGTGGTCATTAGTCTTCTTCCTAAGCCTCTCAGTGCCAACACAGCACAGTACAGGGCGCCTCATAGTGCAGAATGACTCTATGACATTCAACAGTGTGTATCTGTTCAACACAGCCCCTAAAGGTAACCTAATTACTATACCTGGATTACAACCAAAGAAACCACAGTAAGTTTCAAAACTGAAGGAGAAGACTTCTCTAGTGGAGCAGTGTTAAGACTCCATCTGCCAATGCAGGGGACAGAGGTTTGATCCCTGGTCCAGGAAGATCCCCCGTGCTGCGGAGCAACTAAGACTGTGTGCCCCAACTACTGAAGCCCGCTTGCCTAGAGCCTGTGCTCCGCAACAAGAGAAGCCACCACAATGAGAAGCCCACACACCGCAAATAGAGAGTAGCCCCCAATCTCTGCAACTAGAGAAAAAGCCTCCACAGCAACGAAGATCCAGCAGAGCCAAAACTAAATAATCTTTTTTTAAAAAATGAAGGCGAAACAACTGTGCTAGATTTTCTGAGAAACACAATGGCCATTTCCAATTCTGCACTTTCCTAAGGAATTTTTAATGATAATTCTGGTTGCATGCAAGGTTTGCCCCGCAGACTGACTTGAAAACCTGACTCCCACAGAAGCTACTCCACTCTATAGGAAAGCAAAATACAAGCCCTGATACCTGTTGTTTGCCAGTACCAGACTGTGTAAGGCCTCTCAGGAGTTCCTGAGGTGTCTGCCCTGTGCTCATCTGTAAAACAAAATGAGCAGATCGCCCCTCAATGATCTACAGGGTAACTTCTCCAAAACAAAGCTCCTTACTGACTCAGGAAAGCTCTGAAGAGCAACTCAGGAAAAAGTCAACAGAACGCTTTCTCTGCAAGCAATCCAGAGTACCAGACCTTGCTTGGGAAAAGCATGTTTTGATTTTCCTGGGTTTGTTTTGTTTGAGGCTGTGTGTGCAGTTCAGTGCAAGGAAACAATAAACAAGACTTCCCCATTCTAGCGGACAGGACAAAGGCTTTGTAGCGCACGGCTAAGAAGGAAAAGGAAGTAGCAGCACTTCAGAAGAAATGGCAGCCTCCTGGAGGGGGGGTTCTCCCTATCCCGGCAGCAGGGGCCGACGTCCTCCGCCCCCGCCAAACAGTGTCCCAAGACACCACCCTGGACCGAACCGCAGTTCAACCAGTTTTAAAACCACCCTTGTGGCCCGGACCTGTGAGCTGGCTCCTCCAGAGCCAAGAGCTCTGGTTCAGAAAGTCACCGAACAGCAAGGAAAAGTTGTGAGGCCGCAAGAACCAAGAAGGGGGAGGCGCGCGAGGTTCCAAACTCAGGTCCCCTGCCTTACACCTTCTTCCTTCATCCTTCTCGCCTGTTCTGGATCACCCTCCCACTGCAAACCACCCTCACCCCTCTCCTCCTCGTAACCCCACTTTTTTTTTTTTGTAAAACAAAGGTATTTAAATTACACCCCTTAGGGCCAGAGAGACCTAAGTTCGAAGCGAGGACGCGAAGGAGCTATGGGGCTTTGCCTAAGTTACTTAACCTCTCTCCTGCCTCAGTTTTCCCTTCTTTTAAAATGGGTTTAATGATGGCATACATCTCGGAGGGCTGCAGTAGGGGTTAACAGAATGAAGCACATAAGGTGCTCTTCAAGCTCCGGTACATAGCACCTCAATATTACTGTCGTGTGCTAGTGGTGATTATTATGACTACTATTTGATGGGCCTCTTTCTCTTCTCATACCCTCTCCCTCACGCACGCTCCCACTCCCTTTACTCCCGCAGGCCCCTGATGGCGTCCCACACTCTCTCATCTCTCGCTCCTCCCTGATAAGCCTGGACCCGCTTACCCTAACAGGCAGAGCCCGCAAAGCGCGGGTAGACGGGCTGGCGGGAGGACTTCCCGGGAGCGGTTACGGTGGCCCTTGACCCGGTGTTCTCCTCCCCCTGCCCCGGATCGGGTCCTAGAACCGAGCGGCCCAGTGAGATGGGCGCCCTCGGGCCCAGAGCGGCCTTACGCACCGCCTCCAAACAACCTGGCTGTACCGCTCTATCCATCCGATCCGCCCGACTCGCCTGCTCCTTTCGCGTCCCTCCTGGCGCGCGCGCGCCTGACTCCGCCTGCCCCTCCCCTTCTGCGCGCCCCGGCGATCCTGTGTTTGTTCGTCCAACCTGTGGCCTCGCGGGAGCGCCGCACGGGCGCGAAAACGGCGGGGCGGGGCGACCTCGAACGACGCACTCGGAATACAGGCCCCGCCGGCCTTCGCGCGGTTAGCTGCGCTGGTTCATTTCATCAACACTGCTGCTCCTCCCTTTCGGTTCGCCTTCCGCGCGCGCTCAAGACAAGGGGCGTGGTCTAGGGCTAGTCTCCTCCCGGTGGTGGGCGTGGCCTAGCTAGACTGAAGGCCGAGGGAAGGACTTGGTCTGTCTGACTCAATCTTCACAATTACGACGTCTGGGTTCTTTCTCCCTTCTCTGAAGGACCATTAAAACCGGCGGCAGCAGACTTTTAGGGAGGTTTGCTGGGGGGGGGGGGTGGGGGGGGGTGCGGCCGATGGGGGTTTGTCCTGACCCCTTCCTATTATACTAATGCGGCCCTCTGGACACTTCAGTTACAAGACATCTACCTTACGACTTCCTTTCTGACAAACAATTGGTTGGGAGTGGGGCAGCAACCCCAAATAAAGTCTAGGGGACATCCACCAAGGCCCGCTCCCCACCTCCCGGGCTCAGGGAGCCGAGCCAGCGCCGCTACTATAGCAACTAGCCCTCGGGTCTGTTGGAGTTACAAAGAAGACGCGGCCTTGGTTGAGGAGGCACAGGGCGAATGCTGGTGCCCTCCCGCTTTCCGAGAAGCTCCGAGACGTGGCGGATGCTAAGCGAACTCGCCAGATCTTCGCTGTAAGAGCAGTGAGGCCCAGGCCTAGCTTAGGTTCCTTCAAAGCCCGCACCTGCCCTCTGATTATCCGTGAATCTTGTTTGGAAAGAGAGCTCTTTGCCAACTCCTGTTCTTGGCAGCTTGGCCGAGCTCGGATGCAAGGCTGCCTGTTCTCCGATGGTGGGAGAGAACGCAGAACACTAACTTCCTGAACAGTTATAAATTCCAAGCAGCCCTCACCGTCACTCACGCAAAACCTCCACCCCGTCCCTGTGAGAACGTGCAGGCTCCCCAGAGCATAGAGTGTCATCCTCCTTGAAGCTCCTTCCCTTGAAGGAGCTGTTGGTAAGTGGATAGCAAATTCAACCCCAGTGATGTGAACGTTCATCCCATTAAAAATGCACTTTCTGAACACTCCTTCCCTTTCCGTCTCTGAAGGAGTATCTGTCTCCTTATCCTTAAGAGGGTTATGAAAAATCATCTCACAAGATGTTTGTGTTAATAAATGGAAAAACGCTGTACAAGATATAGAAGTGTATTCAATAAAGCATTGTTTCTGGCCTGTCTCTGTTATCCTTGAAATATTCAGTATTTGTTAGCACTGCTGCAGGCTTAACAATCATTCCATTCAGCAATACTGTGATGGAGAAGGCAGACAAGACACTCCCTTCTCCCCGTACTGTGAGTTTCTAATATCCTCTTATCTACTCTGTCATTACATTCAGTACAGGGTAGCTCTATCAAGAGCTAGTCACATGAAGAACAGCTTGTATTCTCCCCACAGCACTGGGCCTGGTGTGCACTGAAACAATCAAGTAGGAAACATACCCCATCTTCTCCCCTCTCCAACACCCCCAAACCCAAAACTGACTGTTCATTTCTCAGGTTACACAAGTGAAGTGTAGAGCGAACACCCTGATGGCTTGTATTTCCGAAGACCTTGGAGTGTTTGTTGCAAACAGTGGATTTTATGCTGCACTTGCTTATTGCAAAATTAGAACAACCGTGTAAATCATAGATTCTTGATGGGAGGGAAGTCCCAGATGAGTAAGAGGAGAAGAATATATTCAATAATATCATATTTGGGGAAAAAAAAACAAACTTGCTTTTGAATGGCACACATTATGAATGGTCATTACAGTAAGTAAGACTTAAACATCTTCTGAGCTGGGAGAGTATATAGGTTTTAAAAAACTGAGGAACATTGGTTGTAAAATCAGTTCTCCTTAAGAACAAGACAGGGTGATTTCCTTAGCCAGCCAAGCCTTTCTGTTATTACTAATTCTCTTGCTCTCTCTTCCTCTCCCTGTTCATGAATGTAACAAACTCACCTTTAGTTTTACAACTAGATTTCAAAATTCCCTGTAATTTTTTTGTTATATGACCAGCATTGAGAATCTTTTTTGAACTTCTGCATTATTCTGTAATGTTCTAGGAGCAATGGGACCCCAAGGCTTCAGAATATCTCTGACGATTTTAACCAGATGTGTTTATTTGGAGTTTGGGGTGAGGGGTATATTCCAGAAAAATTGGTAAACATAGTTATAAAAATCTAATTTCCATTAGATGTGGAAGGGGCCTCCAAAATACTCTTATCAAACTCATTCATTTTATAAATGAGGAAATTGAGACCCAGAGAGGCCGAGGTCACAAAACTGGTGAATGACAGTGTTCAATTTGAGACCAAATCTACTTTCTTTCAAGATCTCAGAATCTGTCCTCCCTTTAAAGGAGATCAGCCAAGGAAGGGACCATCTTATACAACCTTGAAGTAACAAGAAAGCTAAGCAAATCCTCAAAGACAGAATGGAGAGAAAAACCAGAGGATCAGAGAAGAGTGTCTCATTCATGCAAACTCTACTGCAAACTTACTATGTGCCAAAGTTATTAGTGTCACGAAGATATATAAAGCTCCTATTTTCTGACATTCCTACCTACCTCCACATAATTACTTGTACTAATCCTCCCAACCAGAATTTCCTTCCTTGTCTTGACCACTACTCTGCCTCTTTAAAATAGAAAAAAAAAAATTCTGCATATAGTGATCAATAAATATTTGCACATGGCAGTGATTCTTAGAGCATAGGAAAATAGGACATAGTGAGGAATAACATTAAAGGAGCGAGATAAGGCAGACCTTGGAAGTAAGGTTTGATCAGTGCACAAGACAGACTTGAATGGCCAGGAATATATACATTACACAAGTATCTGGATTATTGAACAAATACTGGTACCTCTAAAAAGACCAATGATAAAAAAAAAAACATGAACAAGTTGTACAAGATGTATTTTCTGAAGAAGCATTGAATGTTTACTGAGCTTTGTGTTGTACAGGGAATTAGGGAAGGGTGACTAAGATGTGGTCTTTTAATTGGCCAGATAAGGTATGACACATCTAGACAATGGGACAGCGTGCAACCTTAAGAAGAACATGGTATCTCTTAAAGGTACTAAATGAACAATCTCTGCATGTGCATCTAAGTGAAAAAGCAAGGAGCATAACAAGTATATATGGTGAGCTGTTCCTAAGAAGGGGAGATATATATGTTAGTATTTACAGAGACAAGCTCTGGATGGAAATACAAAAACATTAGTTCTAGGGGTTGCCTCTTGGGAGAAGTAGAGGACTGGGAAGGATGAAAAAAGACTTGCTTTTCACTGTACACTCTTTTGACCCTTCTGTTTTTTATATCAGATATACATGTTGCCTAATAAAAAATAATTTTCAGAAACTTAAAAATAAAAATTCAATTCTTTTTCAAAAATCTCACCTTTTCACATCACAGGTCATGCTGTATTCTAATTTCACCTATTTCAAAGTGTAAAAACTTCACCTCTCCAGGGAGGGGTTCCTTTTCTGCATCTAGACTCAGCAGCAGTAATTGCTACATCTCTGCTCCCTTGGCTGCCCTCCGCAGCAACAGAAGCAATCAAAAGTGAGACAAGGAGACCTTGTGGCCCAGGGAAGCTTTTCATCCACTTGGACAGCCCATCTTCTTCGTTGACATTATCCCACGACTCTTATCGAAACTGCCTCCTATAGGACAGCAACATTTTCTTAAGTTGAGGAAGATGTAAGAAGTTTGTAAAAAGAAAAAAAGACAAAAGCTTAGAGCTCAGCCAAATGTGTTTTTCCAAGCCATGGCCTGAACTGAGTATTTCCCTCTTGGTTTTCAGATGTCCTTTGTCAAGAAGGGCGTTTCTGTCTCTCATCAAAATAGACCCAAATTCTTTTTCCCATTACGTTCACGTGCCTGGCCTGCGCCAGCCAGTCGGCTTGGCCAGTCTCCCAGCCCACCCGAGGACTAGCAGGGTGAGAAGGCAGCAGCTGCCCACTGGGAGCTGAGGGAAGAGAGAGCTGGCTTGAGCTGTGCTGGGACCTGGAGGAACTGGGAGACAGCCCGCTGCAGAGGTGAGTGGGAGCTGGGCAGAGAAGCTCGTCACCAAGATTAGGATGCATCCAAGTTCATTTAAAGAAAGGCCAAGCATCCCCTTCTCACCTCTGCACCTCTCTGTCTTGTCCACTTACAGTGCAGGTGAGATCAGCCTCTGAGAAATGTCCTGGGATGTTTTCTTAGGACACAGAGTCCTCTCCTTGCTAATGTCTACATCCTCTGCCTGTGTTTTCACCATCTCCCTTCTCTGTGTAGCCCCTTTTTTCTAGCAACTGACAGATAATTCTGTCAAATGGATTGGGTTTGGCTTCAAAACCATGTGAAGGAGAAAACCCCAAGTTAGAATTCGAAAATCCGACTGTAAAAGACTGCCAGGAAGCAACTGTGGTTGAATTGCCTCTCTGTAAATTGGTAGGGCCACCTGGAAGGGACGGGGCCAATTACAACAAAATCGCAAAGGCGCAAGGTACGTGTGTGGGCTAGGAGCTGGACAACCACATCCAAGCTGTTTTCAAGCAACATACTGGGATTTATCAACAGCTATTCCATGTTTAGATTTGTGGATGTCCTGGCAGTACCCCAGGATGGATTCCCACAGAGGTTACCAAGGGAGAGGAATAGTGTGTGTAGATGGGGGTGAACAGTGGGCCACTGGTTTTCAGGGTGCTCATATGGATCCTTTGAGGTATAAGGCAAGCAAGACAAGATAGAGACTTGTAAGTTGCTTCAGTTTCATAGACATTCCAACTAAATTTCTCTAGAGTCCATTCAATTTGGCAGAAACAAATGCTCTGAGCATTAGCTTCTGACCTTAGAAAGGAAAGTGTATAGTGTAGGAAAAGGTGCTGAAATGTTTGACAGCAAATGTTAGACACATTCTGAGGGCAAAAAAAAATCTTTTTCCCTTCTTTTGTTTATTCAACAAATACTTCCTGAGTATGCTAGGCTTGTGTTTGGTGCTGTGGATCTCAGAGTAAACAAACAGGCATGCTTTCAGCCTGCCGGCCATGCGGTCAAGTGGGGCAGTAAATCTGAAGGGGTATAAGTATCCACAGCAAAAGCAGTGAAGAGAGCATTGCTAAAACTGTCCAAAGGGGGTCATTTTTGTCTGAGTTTAAACTTTTCCTTCAAGCATTTTACCTTCTTGAATGAATATCTTTTCCCTCTATAAGAGTTTCACTTACATGAGACCTTGTCATACTACCTTCTCGAAACCCTCTTTATCAGAAGCTTTAAGCTACAGGCAGACTACTCAGCTTTTCCCAAGACTACAAACAGCCTGAGGGCAGAGGCTGAAGTGATGGCAGTTTCAGTCCTCAAGAGGCAGTAGCCCTCTCCCTCACGAAATAAAATTTATGTTATTCTGAAACCACTAGTGACACCAGGCAAAGTGTTAGAAAGCCTGGATTTTGTCAGACACTGTGTGGAGTTTGGAACAAGTGAGTTTTGCTATCTCTTTACATAAAAAGGAAAGGGGTAGACCAGATGGTCTATCAGGTGTTCCATTTCCCTAATAATTTTTTTTTCTCAAATAATTTCACAAGATATTTACAAAGAAACCTTGTACATTCACATAAAACACTCTTGAGAGTCCCCTGGACTGTAAGGAGATCCAGTCAGTCCATCCTAAGGGAGATCAGTCCTGAGTGTTCATTGGAAGGACTGATGTTGAAGCTGAAACTCCAATACTTTGGCCACCTCATGCGAAGAGCTGACTCATTGGAAAAGACCCTGATGCTGGGAAAGATTGAAGACAGGAGGAGAAGGGCATGACAGAGGATGATATGGTTGGATGGCATCACCGACTCGATGGACATGAGTTTGGATAAACTCCAGGAGTTGGTGATGGACAGGGAGGCCTGGCGTGCTGCAGTCCATGGGGTTGCAAAGAGTCGGACACAACTCAGCAACTGAACTGAACTGAACTGATCTTTTACCTATCAAATGGGAAACTTCATCAACCATGTAGAATATCCAGGAACCTAGAATCTGAAAGAACCAGGCTGCAGACAAAACTGTCTGTTTCTCCAACCTTCATCCCATTCCCCTGCCCAGTCTTCAGATTTTCAAGGCTGTGAACATCCACTATAGCTTCACTCTGTCATTTATCTAGATTCGGGATTCTGCAATAAAAAACTGGCATAGTCAGAATCATCTACTTTTAAAAGAACAACACTAAAAAGCATGTAATTTGGATAATCTTATAATACCTATTGAAATCCCTTTAAGGGAAAGTCAATTCAGAATATTTACTTTTAGTGCATATGGTTTCTTTCTCTGAATGTAGTCCCATCATAAATGCCATTTCCTATCCTCCCCCTACATATTTTCTCATGTGGAAAATCAAAGTTATATAGTATTATGTTATTAAATAGGGCCAAGAAGCATGTCTTATTCATCTTTGTATCCTCTGTGGCTAACATTGTATCTGGCACACAATAAATGTTTCTCAAAATAATGATTAATATCATAGAAAAACCATGCCCTATTTTAATTTTGGTATTAAAAAAAGAAAGCATGCACACACAATATCTAATCCATTATTTGCGGCTAATAGAGGCTGATCTTATTCCTTTTTGTCCCTGTACCACCTGAATGCCACCCTGCATTCACCAACTTCAGCACATTCTATACATTGTCTGCACAATCAGTATAATAAGCACTGAGTTCAAATTCTGCCACTAAATAACTGTAATCTGAAGCTGAGTAATGAAAATTTCTATGCCTCCATTTCTTCAAATGGAAAATGAGGGCAAGAGAAGATGAGATTGGGACTTTCATGGTGGTCCAGTGGTTAAGACTCCATGCTTATGATGCGGGGGGCCTGGGTTACATCCTTTGTCAGGGAATAGAGCCTGGGTGTCACAACTAAAGATCCTACATGCCGAAAATAAGAGCCTGCACAGCCAAATTAAAAAAAGAAAAAAAGAAAAGTTGAACTAAAGACAACTGGTAGTTCTTAAATGGGAGACTTTAAAAGGTAGAGAAAAAGACAGGAAGCACGATAAAAATGTAATGATTATAGTACCTTCAGTTCAGTTGAGTCACTCCATTGTGTCTGACTCTTTGTGACCCCACAGACTGCAGCACACCAGGCTTCCCTGTCCATCACCAATCCTGGAGCTTGCTCAAACTCATATCCATCAAGTCGATGATGCCATCCAACCATCTCATCCTCTGTCATCCCTGTCTCCTCCTGCCTTCAGTCCTTCCCTTCAATCTTTCAATCAGGGTCTTTTCTAATGAGCCAGTTCTTTGCATCAGGTGGCCAAAGTATTGGAGCTTCTTCTTCAGCATCAGTCTTTTCAATGAATATTCAGGGTTGATTTCCTTTAGGATTGACTGATTTGATCCCCTTGCAGTCTAAGGGACTCTCAAAAGAGTCTTCTACAACACCACAGCTCAAAAGCATCAATTTTTCTGCACTTAGTTTTTTTTATGGTCCAACTCTCACATCCACACATGACTACTGGAAAAACCATAGCTTTGACTACACAGACCCTTGTTGGCAAAGTAATGTCTCCACTTTTTAATATGCTGTCCAGGCTTGTCATAGCTTTTCTTCAGTGGAGCAAGCATCTTTTAATTTCAAGGGTGCAGTCACCATCTGCAGGGCCCAGATGGTGCAGATGTTTTCTTAGAGCCCCAAAAAACAGTCTGTCACTGTTTCCATTGTTTCCCCATCTATTTGCCATGAAGTGATGGGACCAGATGCCATGATCTTAGTTTTCTGAATGTTGAGCTTTAAGCCAACTTTTTCACTATCCTCTTTCACTTTCATCAAGAGGCTCTTTAGTTCTTTTTCACTTTCTGCCATAAGGGTGGTGTCATCTGCATATCTGAGGTTATTGATATTTCTCCTGGCAATCTTGATTTCAGCCTGTGCTTCTTCCAGCCCAGCATTTCTCATGATGTACTCTGCATATAAGTTAAATAAGCAGGGTGACAATATACAGCCTTGAAGTCCTCCTTTCCCAATCTGGAACCTGTCTGTTGTTCTATGTCTAGTTCTAACTGTTGCTTCCTGACCTGCATACAGATTTCTCAGGAAACAGGTAAGGTGGTCTGGTATTCCCGTCTCTTTAAGAATTTTCCACAGTTGTTGTGATCCACATAGTCAAAGGCTTTAGCATAGTCAATGAAGCAGAAGTAGGTACTTTTCTATAATCTCTTGCTTGTCCTATGATCCAATGGATGTTTGGTGATTTGATCTCTGATTCCTTTGCCTTTTCTAAATCCAAGTTGAACATCTGGAAGTTCTCGGTTCATGTACTGTTGAAGCCTAGCTTGGAGTATTTTGAGCATTACTTTGCTAGCATGTGAGATGAGTGCAATTGTGAGGTAGTTTGAGCATTCCTTGGCATTGCCTTTCTTTGGGATTGGAATGAAAACTGATCTTTTCCAGTCCTGTGGCCACTACTGATTTTCCAACCTTGCTGGCATATTGAGTGTAGCACTTTAATAGCAGCATCTTTTAGGATTTGAAATAGTTCACTAGCTTTGTTCGTAGTGATGCTTCCTAAGGCCCAATTGACTTTGCACTTAAGGATCTCCATGTAAATTTTAGAATCAGTTTGTCTCATTCCAGGGGAGTTTTTGGTGGGTTGTTTTTTGTTTTTTTTTTAGTTTGTGTAACTCTTGTGTGAGTCTAATGAGTAGCCAGCATAAAAAAATCACTGCTGGCCATTCACTTTGACATTCTCTATTACCTGCTTAGCTGGTTGCATGTGAAAATGACACCTAGGCTCACCTGTACTTTCTTATTCCAGATGAAAGGAGAAGCTGGACATATGCTACACAATGAGAATCCAGACCAGGTAAATATGAGTACCCTACCCACCAAACTCAACTTCCCTGAATGTTCAGATGGTAAAGAATCTGCCTGCAATGCAAGAGACCCACGTTCAATCCCTGGGTCAGGTAGATCCCTTGGAGATGGGAATGGCTACCTACTCCAGTATTCTTGCCTGGAGAAATCCGTGGACAGGAGCCCAGGAGGCTATAGTCCATGGGTCGCAAAGAGTCAGACACAACTAAGTGGCTTCACTTCACTTTAACCCATCAAAGTGGTGAGCAGGCAGCCAGTGCTCCCTCCCATGTCTGTGCTTGCACCATAACTGACAGCCTCACAGGGTGCTGGGGTAGCTGACATGTTAGTGAATTGCTCCCCTCAGTAGCTGAGCAGAATCACTTGACTCCAAGCTGCCTCATTATCACTCAAGCCCCTTTGCCTGCATGTAGGGCACTGAAGAGCCCCACAGCTGTCCCAGCAAGGTCTCCTGACCCATAGAATGCCCCAGGCTCAGGCCTTTGGAACCACCACTACATCTGCTCTGGGGACAAGAGAGGTCCACTCTGGTCTGGGGCTGTGAATTGGGGTGGGGAATAAGCTGCAGCAGATCCCAATAATGTCCAATCTGTATGCACCTGCCCTTCACAGAGACCTTTGTCCTGTATGTGTTCCTGGCACTTTGGGTTGCAGGAGACAGAAAACACCATGATCCATGAAAACGCATCTAGTCTTATACATGAAAATGAGGTTTTAAATTTGACTACACTTGCTTTGATAGAACTCAAAGGGAAGATTCTTAGGCCATCTGGAAAAGCTCATGAAAAGGGTCCTTTGAATCCTAAAAATGGAGTAATTGTAAAAGCCCAAGATGAACTGACTGGCAAGTTTGGGGGTGATCTTTAAACAGCCTATGTAAAAGAACAAGTTTTGGAGTGGGGAAGAAGGGAAAAAAAAAGAACAAGTTTCTGTGGTCCTGGTGATCCAATCCACAATGGCAGAGACAGAGAAAGAGAGAGAGAGAGCGAGAAAGAAAGAAGAAAAGGAGGTCATTTTTCATAACTCAGGACCCTGAAGAGTAGTAGGTGTTTGAAAACATTTCATTGGCCCTAGAAAATAACTTACAAACTTCTTCTGATTGAAAGTGGAAAGCTGTAATCAGAGAAGAAGAATCAGTGCAGATTCAGGTTGCTCTGAATGAGTCCATCAAAACAGTCCACTAGGGGACTTCCCTGGTGGTCCAGCTGGCCAAGACTCTACACTTCCAATACAGGGGGCCCAGGTTCCTTCCCTGGTCCGAGAACTAGATCCCACGTGTTTCAACTAAGAGGTCACATGCCACAACTAAGAGGTCACATGCCACAACTGAAAGTTTCTGCATTCCACAATGCAACAAGTATTAAAAAAAAACAAAAACCCACTCCTCCAAATCTCCAAAGTCTGGGTTAAGACATGGCATTCTATTAGATCAGTTTCCTGTACAAGGGTGTTTGTGGTCGGGTTCACTAACTGCACACCTTTAGGGACCACCACTTCTCGTTCTCTCCCTTGAAGGAATATGAGCAGACTCCATCCAGGCTTATAAACATAAACTGTAATGGACATTTGTCAGCCCTGTGCAAGGTACTTACTATGGAAATTGGTGACACACCAGGGATTTCCTTCTATAAAATTGGACCTTCTTATTTTACCATCAGGGTTGCTACCTTTGATGTTTTAGGCTTCTGCAGAACATGTCAGGACCACCCAGTGATGGCCAGTGCCTATTCTTTGCCCAGGGAGCCTCTCATCAGCCTCAGACATAAGCTGGCAGCCCAGGCTTATGTCTATGGGAGGCAGAGGACTTATTACAAGTCAGAAAATGTGTTTGTTTACTCTTTTCTTCAAGGACAAAAGAGTGATGGGCACTGGAAAGCAGTAACACAGTGAAGTCCCCATGGCCTCATCAAAGATCCTGCAAATCCCTCTGTGCTGGCTGTCCCAGCCTTGCTGCTCACTGGATTTCAATGGGGAGCTTTAAAAACAGGGGAGCCCATGCTCCACCCCAGAAACTCTTATGTAACTGAGCTGGGAAGAAGCCTGCATATTGGGATTTTTTAGAAGCTCCCAAGTGATTGCCATGTATAGAAAATCTGCATCTCTGTTCAACAAGAGGACTGGTCATGAAATCCCATGGCTCTTGGAAGGCTCATCTGTCATTATCTAGGTGACAAAACTGCCTGCTAGATTCTCTGGGGCAGGTGTGCGCTCTTCCTTCCCCCCCCCACCCTTAAGCTCTAACTTTCATGCTCACCTCCGCACAAGCCTGAGAGCTCTTGACAAGGAAGAGCCTCCTGTGGAAGCTGGGGAAGGTCAGCAGATGTGCCATGCTGGCATGACAGAACCTGATGGCCCATCACCCCTGCCAGGTTTCAGCAGTGAGCCGCCTGGGAAGGCAGGAGTCTGGTTGGGGCCTGACATTTTCTTGTCCTCCCCTAGGAGGGACACATCTGGGGCTCCATGAGGAGGATGGCTTTCATCCTGGGCTCCGGCCTTCTCTTGCTGATGGCCCACTGGAACTGCGTCACAGGGTGAGTCTGCTCGGACAGCTCTAATTCAGGATCTGGGGGCCTTGTGGTGGAAGTCCGCGGGCAGAGCTTGGGTTTAGGAGCCATCCACCCACCAGTCTTCACTCAGAAACATGAATGAGTTTTCTTTCAAGGCATCTTCAGAGATTTTGGGGTGTTTCTGGCTACTTTTGGCAAGCCCAGTGGGAGAGGCTGCTGTTTACATTTGAAGGGAAAGAGTGGCTGCTCTACATTCTAGGTAAGATTCCCAGACACCAGCCCTTAGGGTATGGGTATGGGTTATAGCTTAATTCTGTTTGTTCTGTTCTCTACTCTGAGACTTCTCAGCTTATTACTCTAAGGAATGAGGACCGAAAGACAGTGGTAACCCCAAAGAATACTAAATCTGTGGGCAATCTTGAATGGATGTTTAAGGAACTTGAGAAAAAAGAACTTGAGACATCCCCCTAACTATGTCAAACAGAGAGGAAAAAGAAAGAAAAGGAATTTTAAAAGCACTAAAAAGAACTAAAATGAATCCAGATTGGAAAGGAAGTAAAACTCATTGTTTGCAGATGACATGATGCTATACACAGAAAACCCTAAAGATACTATCAGAAAATTACTTAGAGCTAATCAGTGAATTTAGCCAAGTTGCAGGATATAAAAATCAATACACAGAAATCTCTTGCATGACTATACACTAACAATGAAAAATCAGAAAGAGAAATTAAGGACTCAATCCCATTCACACTGCCACAACAAGAATAAAAAAATACCTAGGAATCAACCTACCTAAGTCATTCAGTCGTGTCCGACTCTTTGTGATCCCATGGACTGTAGCCTGCCAGGCTCCTCTGTCCGTGGAATTCTCCAGGCATTACTGGAGTGGGTTGCCATTTCCTTCTCCAGGGATCTTCCTACCCCAGGGATTGAATCCAGATCTCCTGCTTTGCAGGCAGATTCTTTACCTTCTGAGCCACCAGGGAAGCCCCACACAAGAAGACAAAAGAGCTGTATTCAGAAAACTATAAGATATTGATGAAAGAAATCAAAGACAATATAAACATATGGAGAGATATTCCATGTTCCTGGGTAGGAAGAATCAATAGTGTGAAAATGACTATACTACCAAATGTAATTTACAGATTCTATGTGATCCCTATCAAATTACCAATGTCATTTTTCACAGAACTAGAATAAAAAAATTTCACAATTCATATGGAAACATAAAAGACCCTGAATAACCAAAGCAATTCTGAAAAAGAAGAATGGAGCTGGTGGAATCAACCTTCCTGACTTCAGATTATACTACAAAACTACAATCATCAAGATAGTATGGTACTGGCACAAAAACAGAAATATAGACCAATGGAACAGGATATAAATAAATATACCCATGAAATAAATATACCCAGAAATAAACCCATGCACCTACAGGTACCTTATTTTTGACAAAGGAGGCAAGAATATACAATGGGGCAAAGATAGTCTCTTCAATAAATGCTGCTGGAAAAACTGGACAGCTATGTGTAAAAGAATGACACCATACACAAAGATAAACTAAAAATGGATTAAAGACCTAAATGTAAGTTCAGAAACTATAAAACTCTTAGAGGAAAACATAGGCAGAACACTCTATGACATAAATCACAGCAAAATCCTCTATGACCCACCTCCTAGAGTAATGGAAATAAAAACAAAAATAAACAAGTGGGACCTAATTAAATTTAAAAGCTTTTGCATAGCAAAGGAAACTATAAACAAGGTGAAAAGACAACCCTCAGAATGGGAGAAAATAACAGCAAATGAAACAACTGACAAAAGATTAATTTCCAAAATATACAGGCAGCTCATACAAGTCAATACCAGAAAGACAAACAACCCAATCAAAAAGTGGGGAAAAGACTTAAACAGACATTTCTCCAAAAAAGAAACATGCAGATGGCTAATAAACACAGGAAAAGATGCTCAACATTGCTTATTATTAGGGAAATGCAAATCAAAACTACAATGAGATATCACCTCACACTGGTCAGAATGACCATCATCATAAAAAAAAAAAAAAGATGATCAAAATTCAATAAAGAGGGAAGATGAATGAAAATTTAAAAAAATAAAAAATTATGGACCTTAAAAAAATCTACAAACAATAAATGCTGGGGAAGGTGTGGAGAAAAGGGAACCCTCTTGTACTGTTGGTAGAAATGTAAATTGATACAGCCACTGTGGAAAACAGTATGAAGATTCCTTAAAACATAAGGAATAAAACCACCCATATAACCCAGCAATCCCACTACTAGGCATATACCCTGAGGAGACCAAAACTTAAAAGACACATGTACCCCAATGTTCATTGCAGCAATGTTTACAATGCCTATGACATGGAAGTAATCTAGATATCCATTGACAGATGAATGGATAAGGAAGGTGTGATACATAAATACAATGGAATATTACTCAGTCATAAAAAAGAAGACATTTGAGTCAGTTCTAGTGAAGTGGATGATCCTAGAGCCTATTATACAGAGTGAAGTAAGTCAGAAAGAGAAAAATAAATATTGTATGCTAAGGCATATACATGGAATCCGGAAAGATGGTACTGATGAAATAAATTATTTGCAGGTTAGTAGAGGACACGAAGACATAAGAGAACAGACCTGACACATGGAAGTGGGCAGGAAGGAGAGGGTAGGACGTATGGAGTGAGTAACATGTAAACATACGTTACCATTTGTAAAATAGATACCAATGGGAATTTGCTGTGTTACTCAGGGAACCCAAACCAGAGCTCTGCAACTACCAAGAAGTGTGGGATGGGGAGGGAGGTGGGAGGGAGGTTCAAGAAGGAGGGAACATGGGTAAACCTCTGACTGATCCATGTTGATGTTTGGCAGAAAACAACACAATACTGTAAAGCAATTATCCTTCAAATAAAAATAAATTTTAAAAAAAGAACTTGAGACATCTCCCACACGCACCAAAATAGAAAAATAATAAAAGTTTATGTATAAACGAAAGCATGTGAGAGCAGTACTCCAGCTTCTAGATGTCAGGTTCACAAGTACAGAGGGATGCCGTGTCTCATGTGAGGCTATGTCCTTGGACCTGATGCAACCTAGCTCTTGGGGCCTGACAATATGTGTTCAATCAGCAAATATCTACTGATAGTGTCCTAAGGAAACAGAGTAGAAGAAAAAGGTATTTTAAAATAGATATCTATAACAGCATTATCTACAATAGTGACTGTCCTCGATTATATATGCATTCAAGCAAATAGTACTTATTAAGTGACTTTGTGCCAAACTCATAAGTAGGATATGGAGAAATTCAAGATAAAGTATTAACATACTCTAGCTACCCCATTCAAATTATGTCACAGTCTGTCTGGAAGAAAATAACTACAAAGCAAACCTCAGCCAAAACTATGTCACAGCCTAGAAGGGGAGATAAAAATGTATCAGTTTCACAAAGCAAATGTAGAGATAAATAAAATATTTCGTGTTTCTGACAACTGTTTTCTTCGAAAGAAAACTCTGAAAATGGGCTGAATACTAAACATGACAGGTTAATGGAATCTTAAGGACTCACTGAAAAAAAAAATGCAATTGCGAATGTACATGGGGAGAGTGGTGGGAAAACATTTTATGTTTCTGTTACAATGATGGGGAAACTACCTATCATCTGTGATAGGTAGTGATAAGCAAATAGAAGACAGAAAAAATATTTGCAATTTGACAAGTTAGAGCTGAAAAAAATGCTCAAGATACCTCTTGCAATTTTCACTCTGTATTCCTCAAGGAGCCCTTGGATGAACAGGTAGGCAGGCACCTCGATGGATGGCCCAGTAGGCCTAAGGGCCAAACGGCCCTGAGGACCTTTATGCCAGTCACATTGCCCCACTGTGTTAGCCAAATACTTCCCAGGCATCAACTGGCACAGGCAGGGTGCTTGATGGAGCAAGAAGGCTATGCAAGGAGGATGGAAGGAAGAGACAGGGAACGGAGTAAAACACCCTTGCTCCCTGGGATACTGAAAGTACAGGAGGCAGCAAGTCAAGGAAAAATACAGTTAACAGCACAAGAGTTAGGTAACACTGTGATGTCACCTGGATAACTGCCACTTGGGGTGGACAAAGTGCCTATGTGTTCACTGGAGGAGATCAGAGATATTTGGGGTGACTTCATGGAAAAGTGGGATGCGGAGCCAAGAGCTCTATCTAAATTTGTATTGATCGGCATTTTCTAAAACATCCTGCAGAACAACAGCATTTCTGCAGGAGGTTAATGAGGTTGGGGGGAGACCATACAAGGTATCATCCAAATGGGTCACGTGTGAGAGTAAAGGAGGGGTTATTAACAATGATGCTGGAATGATAGATGTAAATTGAAACTGTCCTGGCAGACAGGGACGTATGGCCATCCTATTCTGAGCTATCTGGGAAAACAGTACTGGATACAAAAAAGCCTGGGAAAGGCTGAGTTTAACAAAGTCAAACAGGAAATCTCAGAGTTGTTACCACACTGGTCTGGACCCTGGCTCTCTAAGAGGGCAGGGTGTGAAGACTGTTTAGCCAAGGAGCCCCTCAGAGGTGGGCTTTCCACTTTGGGACACGCCCCTGGACACCTGAGCCCCCTCTGCTCATGGCATCATAGGCCGTGAGGACTGGGTGACCCTAAGTGCCCACCATGAGCCAAACTGGTCTCCCCCTGTTCCTCCCTTCCTCAGCTATTCTTTGGGCTCAGTGGGCAGACACCCAAAAGTCAACTGAAAGTCAATTCTAAGTGGAATGTATCACACATCTTATAATGTTTTGTTGTTCTGTCTCAAATCACCTAGAAGTCTATTGCCCCCCCCGTACTACAGCTAAGAAAAGAAACAGAGACACTCCTTAAGTGACCCATGCCAGTTTCCAGAGCAGGCGTGTCACCCGAAGACTAAAAGCAGGGCCCCGGCCCTGGGCCTGCCCACAGTGCAAACTTAGTCACCACCCTGCCAGCTCCTGAAGTTGCCCTGATGTTCTCCTTCTGCTTCCTAACTTTAGGGGTCACCCAAGTGCCTCTTCTGGTCTACTGGACCTTCAGTGGACTTCTCCTGGTGGCAGATGTGACTGGAAAGCCTAACTTCATCTCCCGCTACCGAATTCAGGTCAACAACAATGACTGTGTAAGGGTTGATGCAGCTTCTCCGGGTTGGGGCACAGACAGCAGGGGCTAAAGCTGCAACCTCCTAACTCTGCTAGCCAGCCCAGGACAGAGCATGGCCAGAGGGAGCCCAGAGCTTCTGTAAAAGGCTCCCCCAGATTAGAAGCTTAGAGAGAGTACGTAATATGTCTCAAATCTCAGAGCCAGCCAGTCAAGACTCATGTCTGGTCTCCTGACCCATAGACTTGGCTCTCCACCTGCCTGTTCTGGCCCTTGACACCTGGATCGTGGGTCAGCATTTTAGGAACAGAAATGACTGTCTCAGCCCAGCACTGACCAAGCCCCAGAGAAGTCAGACAGGTCTCCCCTTACCCACGGGAGCAGGGACAGCAATGGCAGATGCTGAAAACACAGATATCAGTTGGCCTTCTTTGGGATGGACACATCTGCTGAAACAATGGATAAACCCCCATCATGAATTCTGACTGTGTGCATGGTGGTTGTTTTTTAAGCAGGGACCCCTTCCCAATTATTTCATTCAACCAATTGAACAGAGCTGCCAGATTTTATAACACCAGTCCATCCTCTGCTTACCTTCCCTCTCCTCTGGACAGGATAGCTAGTTCATGCTTCTCCTCCCTCTTCAAATCCTCAACACATCCTCCTAGATTATGGCCTTGCCTTCACGTAGAAGAGACCCTTCACAGCCTCGCACCACTGCAGCCTGCAGGGAGCAACTGCACACATGCACTCCCTGCCCACCTGGGGGAGCACGTGGCCTCTCCTTGTGCCTCCTCCAGCTGTTCCTCCGCCACCTGGACACTGCCGCCACTGCCTCCTGTTTACTCCAGCAACTCCTCCTTCTCTTTCTTGCATTCTTTTAGTTTTTCCTCTTCTGCTCTCTTCATTCCAGTTCAGTTCAGTCGCTCAGTCATGTCCGACTCTTTGTGACCCCATGAGCTGCAGCACACCAGGCCTCCCTGCCCATCACCAACTCCCGGAGTCTACCGAAACTCATGTCCATTGAGTTGGTGATGCCATCCAACCATCTCATCCTCTGTCGTCCCCTTCTTCTCCTGCTCTCAATCTTTCCCAGCATCAGGGTCTTTTCAAGTGAGTCAGTTCTTCGCATGAGGTAGCCAAAGTATTGGAGTTTCAGCTTCAACATCAGTCCTTCCAATGAACACTCAGGACTGATCTCCTTTAGGATGGACTGGTTGGATCTCCTTGCAGCCCAAGGGACTCTCAAGAGTCTTGTCCAACACCACAGCTCAAAAGCATCAATTCTTCAGCACTCAGCTTTCTTTATAGTCCAACTGTCACATCCATACATGACTACTGGAAAAACCATAGCCTTGACTAGACGGACATTTGTTGGCAAAGTACTGTCTCTGCTTTTTAATATACTGTCTAGGTTGGTCATAACTTTCCTTTCAAGGAGTAAGTGTCTTAATTTCAAGGCTGCAATCACCATCTGTAGTGATTTTGGAGCCCCCAAAAATAAAGTCTCTCACTGTTTCCACTGTTTCCCCATCTATTTGCCATGAAGTGATGGGACCAGATGCCATGATCTTAGTTTTCTGAATGTTGAGCTTTAAGCCAACTTTTTCACTCTCCTCTTTCACTTTCATCAAGAGGCTCTTTAGTTCTTCTTCACTTTCTGCCATAAGGGTGGTGTCATCTGCATATCTGAGGTTATTGATATCTCTCCCGGCAATCTTGATTCCAGCTTGTGCTTCCTCCAGCCCAGAGTTTCTTATGATGTACTCTGCATAGAAGTAAAATAAGCAGGGTGACAATATACAGCCTTGATGTACTCCTTTTCCTATTTGGAACCAGTCTGTTGGTCCATGTCCCATTCTAACTGTTGCTTCCTGACCTGCATACAGGTTTCTCAAAAGGCAGGTCAGGTGGTCTGGTATTCCCATCTCTTTCAGAATTTTCCACAGTTTATTGTGATCCACACAGTCAAAGGCTTTGGTATAGTCAATAAAGCAGAAATAGATGTTTTTCTGGAACTCTCTTGCTTTTTTGATGATCCAGCGGATGTTGGCAATTTGATCTCTGGTTCCTCTGACTTTTCTAAAACCAGCTTGAACATCTGGAAGTTCATGGTTCACGTATTGCTGAAGCCTGGCTTGGAAAACTTTGAGCATTACTTTACTAGCGTGTACTCTCTTACTCTCTGCTTTATCACAAACCTGTCATAATTTACCCCAGCTTAAAAACCAAACCAAACTCAAAACTGTTACCTCCCTCTCCCATATGCACTCCCAGTCAAATTTTTGGTCCCCTTTGCAGAGTTGTCTCTACAGTTTCCAGTTCCTCTCTGTCTACTCGTACTCCCCATCATTTCACACTATGAAGAATGGAAAACACACATACAGAAGGTGAGAAGGTAGTACACCCTGATCACTCATTTACCCACCACCTGGATTCACCAATCTTGAACATTTCAAAATGTGTGCTTTTGCTATATATAAAAATATAAATATCTATATAAATATCCATGCAGCTATAATTTTTTGTTTTGTTTGAAACTAAGACATCATAAAACTCTAAATCCTTCAGCCTGTACCTCGTACAAATAAAGACAAAACTATCCTCTCACCTGCTCTAGCTAGAAACCTCCTCCCATCAGGCCTTAACCTCCACGGCTCCTCAGAAAGTATAGGTCGCTGGTGTCCCTGTCACAGGCTTGTCTCACTAGACCCAACAGGACTGTTTTCACATGCTCATTGCCACCCTGCTGCAGCTTCTTCTACTGGCCCCCAAGGCCCTGCTCTTTCCCCCAGCCTCATAGCTCACCCCTTCACAGTCTGCCTTCTGGTTCCACCTCAGCCTAATCTCCCCAACCTCTTAATGTTGACACCCAGGGCTCAGACTTGGTCTGCTTCTCTGCCCTCATCTCTTCAGTGTCATGATTTTAAATAGCACCTAAACTCTGACAGCTCACGCACATTTAGCTCTCAAATCCAGGCTCTCTCCTGATCCAGGATCAAATATCCACCTGCCTCATAGACATCTCCAATCCAACATGATCTACAGACCATTTCTGAACTTCTACTCCCTCCAAAGTCTTTGCTCCCAACAGCCTCCCCCATCTCAGTGGGCAGCTTCTCAGACCCAAAGCCTTGGAGTCACCCTTGAGAATGCGCTTTCCCTTACACTCCACATCCAGTCCATCAGGAAACCTCCAGAATCCAACCATTTCTCACCGCCTCCATTTCCACCTCCCTGGTCTGAGCCACCGGCCTCTCCTGTGTGTATTTTTGCAATTCTAATTAGCGTCCCCATTTATGTTCTTGGTGTTCTACTATTCCCACCATAGCAGCCAGGGTAAGCCTGTACCTGCTCTCACTTCTCTGCTCACAACCTTGGGATGACATCATCCTCTCTTGGAATAAAAGTCCAAGTCCTCAGTGCGGCTTCAGGGGCCCTTACGCACTGGTTCCTCCCCACTCTTGACCTCACCTTCCACACTCCTCACTCCACTGCTCACCCCTCTCCAGCTAAAGACGCCAGGAGTGTGCGCCTTGGAGCCTTCTACCAGCTCTCCCCTTTACCCGAACACACTCCCCCTCCATAAATGCTTCCTCTTCGTCATTTGTTCAAATCTCACCATCGAGGAAGCTTACCCTGATCATTCTATTTAAAATGGTAAGCATACAAGTTCAGTGTGTGCAGGAATTTGTTTTGTTCGCTGTTTTCTTCCCAGCACACAAAACACTGCCAGGAACATAGAAAGTACTCAATAAATATCATTTGAATGAATGAATGATCATACATCGCACTCTCCTTTCAGTCAAGGTTGCCAGAAGAGGTGTTTTACTTCCTCTATAGGTAGTCTGAAATGAGGCCGGCCAGACTTGGCTTTGCCGTGGGATGAAACTGAAGGTTTAGAGACTGAATTCTGGTCCCTCAATACACACAGTGCTTGGAGAAGCCAGAAAGAGAGCCAGGACTGAAGTATAAGGACCGCTTGGAATCTGGCCTTGCCTTGGGGCCATTGACCTCCAGCTTGCAGAAATTTCTCAGGAAGAAATCCTTTCTGACACCCCCAAACCAGTTCATTAGGACCAGCAAGTGACATGTGGTCATGGGGCTATTCCCTGGAACAAGTTGGTCAAGAAGCCAGACAGCAGCTCCCTGGCTCACGTCCTTCTTCCCTGGGGCCTGATGCAGTGAGACTAGATTGCATGAAGGGAAAGGGGGTGACTGGTCCCCAAGGAAAGGTTGGCTGCAGCATTGAGGCCCAGTGGGGTGTGAGCATGTGGAGCCAGCTCTCCACAGTGATCTGGGGGAACACTCAGGCAGGCCCCCATCCTGAGCTGAGGTCACTAAGGGTGACATCCTGTCACCAAGGGTGACGACCACCCTGAACACCAGGAAGACCCACTTACGTAAGCTGGTCAAGAGGCCAGACTGCAGCCCTCTGACTCAAATCCTTCTTCACTTGGGCCTGGTGAAGCAAGGCTAGACCACATGAGGAGGCACATCACCTTGATCTCTGCACCTGACCCTGGCCAAGCCTCCCTGGATAACCAGGGGCCAAAAGGCTGAAGGAGGATTCAGGCTGAAGGAGGATTCAGGCTGACAGCCTTCTCCACACTCCCCAAGGTGCCTGTGTGAATACACGGGGTTGGGCCTGGGCAGAGGAACGGGGAGGACAGTGGTGGGAAGGAGGAGCAGCAGGCAAGTTCAGACACTCAGGCTGGGGGAGGGAACTTTCCAAAAGCAGGGCATTACCAGGTGGCTTCCCCCTGAGCTGGCCCGCACTCGAGGGCTGCCAGCTCCAGCCAGACATTACTCCTAGCACCCAGCCCAGAGCGAGAGCCTCCTGAGAACAGTCCACAGGGGAGCCTGGTTTCCAGAAGATAAAGACCTACTCTTGTCCACTTTCTTAGTTCCTTCTTTCCCTCCACAGGTGGACCCCATGAAACTACACCAGTCTATCCTCATGATTCTCTTCAATCAATTCGTGATCTCTCTTCCCATGCTGGTCTCACTCTACCCCATCCTCAAGTTGTGGGGAGACCCCTGCCATCGAGAGTGCCCCACCTTCCACTGGTTCCTCCTGGAGCTGGTCGTCTTCACGCTGATTAAGCTAAGTCGCTTCAGTCGTGTCTGGCTCTGTGTGACCCCATAGATGGCAGCCCACCAGGCTCCCCCGTCCCTGGGATTCTCCAGGCAAGAACACTGGAGTGGGTTGCCATTTCCTTCTCCAATGCAGGAAAGTGATAAGTGAGAGTGAAGTCGCTCAGTCGTGTCCGACTCTAAGTGACCCCACGGACGGAGGAGCCTACAGGCTCCTCCGTCCATGGGATTTTCCAGGCAAGAGTAATGGAGTGGGGTGCCACTGCCTTCTCCATCACGCTGATTGAGGAAGTGCTATTCTACTCCTCACACCGGGGAGCGCACTCCTCCTGATCACAGCCAGCTCTTCACTCTCCAGGTACACCCGTCACCCAGAAAACAGGGCCTCCTGGGAGTTGTAGGGATGGGACACCACCGCTTGGCCTGGAAAGCTTCTTGTTATTTAGGTTACAGGAGGACCAGTCTGTACTCCATAGCTGACAACCCAAAATGACCCACTTGGGAGTGTTTAAGACAACACTCCCAAAGAAGTGTCTGGAACTCCATTTATGCCTGTGGCAGGGCAGTTTCCCATTCATTCCCCTATGGAATCCTTTCTGGCCATCATCCACTTTGCAGCTCATACAACTGAGGCAGAGACAGGCTACATCACCCTCCCCAAATTATGCACCACAAAAACTCAAAGGCAGGTCTGTCTGGGTGTCAATCCAGTGTGTTTTCAACTTTGTTCCTTGTATGTAAACCCAGTTTTTACCTTTGCTTTCTCAAGTTCTGATCAGGGATGGGGAGAGGGAGGCTGGCAAATTATGAACTGGTAAGTATCTTTCTAGACTCCTTCACCACCCAAAACTCTACAAGAAAATCCGTAAGAAACACCATGAGTGGACAGTACCCATCGTTGCAACCTGTCTGTCCACCCTATTGAGCATGTGGTGAGTAGAACTCGGCTTCCCCAGAGGAGAGGGCAGAGGGCCCCAATCCCCTTCCTTAAGCTCAGGTCTCCTGCACAAAATGGGACCACACTGGGAGTTTCTTTCTTCTGCCCCTTCCACAGCTACCATTTATGCTGGTATATCCAAGGAAAAACCAGATGCCTAAGGTGAATTATCTCATTTAGTTCTCCCAACAAGCATTTAAAAACAATCATTCTGATAATGAGGAAGTTGAGGTTCAAACAGTTAATACTTTGTCCTAGGTTTCAAGTTCAAAGTGAAAGTTACTTGAAATTCGCTCAGTTGTGTCCAGCTCTTTGTGATCCCAAGGACTGTAGCCTGCCAGGCTCCTCTGTCCATAGAATTCCCTTCTCCAGGAGATCTTCCCAACCCAGGGATCAACCCTAGGTCTCCTGCCTTGCAGGTGGATTCTTATGGTCTGAGCCACCAGGAAAGCTGAAGGGCTCCAGGAAATTAAGGTCCAGAAATTCATTCATCTTCCCCAGATCTGAGTCAGGAAGTCTTCCTGGTACCACTCTGGGGGAAGGGGACATCCACCTTGGTTCCCTTCCTCCCCTCAGGCCCCCCTTCAGACAGCTCTCTTCTTGCAGATCAACATGCTGGCAATACTGGGTCCAACAGTAATGGGCTCCCCCTTGTCCTCCATCACCACATGGATTTCCTTGAACCTCACCTTCACCATGATCTCCCACTGTGGCTACCACCTACCCTTCTTGCCTTCACCTGAATTCCATGACTACCACCATCAAAAGTAAGGCGCCCCTCCCCACTTTGGGTCTCTGGGCAGTTAACACTCACCTTTATCCTGGAGCTCCTGACAGCAGACACTGGTGTCTCAGTGTAGATGTGGGTATAGTGGAGGAAGAGGCGTCTGGGGTCAGTATAATAACCACCTTCCTGGGACCCAGATCACCTTGCCATCTTGATTCTGACACTGAATCTTCCTTGCCACTGTTTAAGCTCCATTTACACCTGGACCCTTTGCGTATATAGCGTAAGCTATGGGCACTACCAGAAAAACTGCATGTATGCATGTAATTCCTGCAGGCAATTCAAGGGGAGCTGTGTGCTTTCTGAAAGCCTTCAGTCTCAGCACTGTGGTCTAGGACCCTCCTGCATCAGAAATCATCTGAGATCCTTTTTTCCAATGCAGGCTCTGGGGTTCCACTTCAGATACCCAGAATCAAAGCCTCTGGGGGAACAGGGCCTGGCAACTGCATTTACTAAGTGTTCCAGGGGAATCTGATGGATTCCAGAACCTACCTCAACAAGCAGGCTCTGCTGCAGGTTTTGACTTGTGTGCATCAAATCAGAGAGAGAACTTTTCAAAGGAAAAGCATTGATTTTCACTCTGGAGGGGCCCAGCAATCTGTGCACACCCACTCGGGTGACTCAGAAGCAGGTGGTGGGCACGATGGGGACAGGTGAGATAGACGTGAGCACACCAGCCTTCAGCACCCTCCTCTCCCCTCCAGGGTCGACCAGTGCTATGGGGCCCTGGGGATGCTGGACTATCGCCATGGGACTGACACCGTGTTTAAGCAGGCCAAGGCCTACAAGAGACACATGATCCTGCTGGGCTTCACCCCACTCTCTGAGCATCCCCGATCCCCTGAAGATGATGGACTAAGAAACAGCCACAGTTCCACACTGGCCACCCCTCAGCAGACAGTCCTCTGCTATGCCCGAGGACTCCTACTCACATCTAACAGCCTGCTCCTTCAGCCACACACTGATGGCAACCCCACAAGAGCAGGGGAGATTGGCTTCCTGGAAAAGCAGAGCCACAGAGACTAGGGCTCCCCAACTGCTGTTATCCACAATGGGTCCAAGCATTCACAGAAGAAAGGAAAAAAATACATCTTCCTGGAATGTAGGCCAGCCAGAGGGAAGAAGCTACTGGAGAGGGCTCCTGGGGAGTCCACTGGTCCTCTCCAATGGAAGCGGACAGGCATCCCAGATGATCGCTTGGTGGCCCTGGCAGGACACAGAATGACAAAGGTGGCAGGGAGCTGTGCCTGCAGCCATCGCTGCTCCTGGTGCCAGGGGGCGAGGGAACCAGATGTTGCTTTGTCCCTTCCTGTCCCCTAACGCTCCTCTTATACTTTATTCAGGACAGGGTTAGGACACCCTGGCAACAGTTCTGGGATCAAGTTCCCATTACACACACATACAAACGCCCCATTCAACTCAGCCCACTGCAATTGGACATCACCCTCCTCTGAAAATAAAAATAAGTCACAGTAGCTTCTCCCAGGATCATAATTGAAATATAAAGAGGTGCAGAGGTTACCCCAACACCTTCAGCCACTCACAGACTCAAAGGCCAAAGCCTGTGGCCCTGCTCAGCTGGGGCCCTTGTAACCAGAGGGAAGGGTCAGAGTGCTGACGTTGGAGGACACCCAACTGAGGTACCCTAGTATCCTCTGTATAAAGGACCAAAAGGGCTAGCACCCTCTTCCTCCAGTAAGAAAGTAGCAAGTACACACCTGAACAGTGGATAAAATCCTCATTTCCACCCAAACGATGAACCAGTTGTTTCAGCACCCTTTTCACAGGCTAATTTTAGCAGTGATGCCTTTTCTGATGAGACCTGTCTACAATGAAACCACAGAGCTACCCAGGTGGAAGCCTCCCCCACCCTGGGTTCCCAGGGCAGTCCCCAACATTGCCAAGAAGCCTGTGGCTCCCAAGGTCAAGGTGAAGATCACTCTGACTTGAAAGGCCACCATTATCAGTTCCCAAAGTCCAGTATTTTCCTGAACTTTCAGTTCTCCTCTCTCCAGAAAACCACCCGCTGTAGTTTTATGAAATATTTCCATGTCTGAGGCCTCGTCTCCAGGCAGGACTATCAAAGAGGACCTCTTCCAATGGGCCAGACCCAGAGGACCTGCCCAGGAGGCCAACCAGGAACTTACCAGGCAGCATCCTCCTGGGGCCCGGGTGAGCCCCAACCCCACCCTGGGACCGGGCACCCTTAGTTGGTGGTATACAGCTTCTGGAGCATCAGTGCTGTGCGTGCTCACAGCTGCTGGCCCACACCCACAACCCGTCCTACAAATAAACAACTGGAAACCAGCCCATTTTCAGTGACTTTAGCGAGGGTCTGGAGTGAGGAGTGTGTAGAAAAAGGAAGAATGGAGGTCTTCCTCCCTTTTAGGTCTATAGACTGGAGGTAGTGTCAAGCCGCAGAGGGATGAAGGGCCTCACATCTCACCCTGTTTCTTGGGCAGGTGGTTGGGCTGGCCCTAAGGTTGGTTACCAAATAGGCTCCAGCAAAGGCTGGTCTCAATCATCCCACCAGAAAATGTGAAAGGAGAAAGCATGAGAAATAAACTGGTCTCCTTTGACCTGCAGTGGATACTTCTGTTCTGAGTTGTTCTGGCATCATGACCTCGTGACATGCAGGAGTCACAGCGGCACAAGGAACACTCAGCCCTCCCAGCCCCCCAGCCCCCTTCAGTGTTCCCAGCAGGCGACAGAAGGGAGGTTCCTCGGCCAGGGAGGCCTGCAGAAGCCCTGGCTAGTGTCTCCTAGACTCACCTCTGCCCCCTGCAGGCCGTCGGTGGTATTAGAGTCCCTGCTCTCCTGACACAAGGGGAACTGTCTGGAAAACCATTTCTGAAGGGATGCTGACATGCCAGGCCCAGGACACCTAACAGCTCTCAGTGAGTAAGGCACAGATTCAGTTTTGTCAGTACACACTGCAGTCAGACTGGCATTCGGTCACTACTGCTGGTTGGTGCCCGGCCTCATGGGTCAGACAAAAGCCATCAGCAGCCTGGGGACAAGTCGTGGTGGGGGTGCTCATCCTTCCATCCCAGGCGTAAATCCAGGGCTCGTCTGGATTCTGTCGGGCCAGAGCGCTGCTGCTCCTCTCCAGTCCACAGGGAAGTGTGCTCAGTGAGGAACCACAGCAACTTCTATCTTCCTGTCAGCGTCCTGATACAATGCCAAGCCACAGCCAAGTGCATGAAACCCTGGAATTCCAGCTACTAGACTGGGGAGCGCTCTGGTCTGTGGCACTGGCTGTAGCTCCCCTGCCCTCAGACACAGGACAGAGACATGAGCTCAAGACACGCAGAAGTTCTCCAGACCCCTGAGGAAACACCTGAACGCTCCAGGAGCCTCAGACACAGTCAGGAGACCCCGCCCTGGAGAGATTCCATATGCATATGCTAGGGCAGGTTCCCTCGGATTTTGAGGTCAGATCATGAACCAGCCTCCACCCAACACACCCAATAGCTGTACCCCTTCATGGGAGACCAGCCAGGCTTCTTTTTTTGCCTTTTCAAGTTTTTATTTTTATACATTTTTTTTGTATTAAAAAGAAAAGCATAATTACCACAAATTACAAACGACTAAAGCAGGACTAGAATAATGAATGAATCACTTCAGCCTGGAAAGCAGATACTCTCAATAATATTAATGTTATAATACAAGCTCATTCAAGTATTTTACATTTTTTTTCCTTGTAAATGTGATATCCTAGCACATGGTAAAGATAATGTACTATGAGCATAAGGTGGAACCTTCTCCGCAAAGCCAGATGACAAGTTTTCCTCTCCAGTCAGAATGGGCTCTATGTTCTGATCTTCTCTGCCTCTGCCATCAATGTGGCTGAAGGAGAGGGTGGGGCTGGGGCAAATCCTGGGACCCTCCCACACGAGATACTTTGGGGTCCCATTTGGGAGGGTGCCAAATGATCCAGACCACTCTACCCAGGCTTTTGGCAAAAAACCAGCCCACCCTCCCTAACTAGTCTTCTTTGCCCCTTCTCCCACTGCCAGGGCTTTCTGAGCAGCTTTCTTTTGTAAAATCAATCACCAGGAAAGGGGAGAGAACTACAATAGAACAGAACAAAAACATAACAATTTTGACATGGGGGCTCCCTCCCGGGATCTGAGCCCCAGGGGTCCAGGCTGCGGAAGCGTCGGGCAACCCCTCTCTACCCGGAGTGCCTTTCCTCCCAGGTTCAGGAGACAGCGGGAGAAACCTGCCTCTGAGCAGAGCTGAGGTACACAGACCTTCTGATGTTTGAGGCCCAAAGGTCATGTTGGTGTGGACCCATCTCGGAAAGGTACAGGATGAATGGAAGGATTGGGGCAGGCTGTTGCTTCTGTCTCAGATCTCGGATCCCCATAAAGGATGGTAGGTGTGAAGTGGCAAGCCCTGATGTCCTTTGCCACTCCTGGCATGCTTGTCACAGATACATCGGTCCTAAATTCAAGTGTCTTCAGAAAGTGAAGATGTAAACTACTCTTTGCAACATTAACTCCAAACATGTCACACACACAAAAAAAAAAAAAAAAGAAAAAAAAGGAAGAAAAAAAGCCCCCCTCCCCATCCCCAGCCTGTATTGAGATGAAGTCCTCACCTCCCCACCCCAAAGGGGCTTCTTTCTGGGGTGTTTGTGGGGAGGGTCAGGGAGGGGATGGCAGCCCCTGGGCCTGGGAGTAAACTCTAGAGAACAGCCCTTCCCCACACCCTCCAGGCTTCCTGTGACCCCAAACCCAGCAGAGGACAAACACTGAGGTTACTGTGGTGCTGCAAACAGCACAGGGCCAAGCAACCTGAAGGAACAGGGGTGGTTAGGGGAGGCGGAGGTCCGGGTGTCCCATGTGTGGTGCAGCACGGGGCGGCCACCGGCAGAGGCCTCAGATTTCACTGTCGGAGCACAGACCAGACACGCATCTCAGCTTTCCAGACAACCGGCTCACAGGAATGGAGATGGGCTTCCCCATACTGGGAGGGTAGACTGGGGGCGGGCGGGGGTGGCACAGCAATGAGGTGCCCAAGACAGAAGACAAGCCCTTGCCAGCCTGAGATACTGGCCCCTACTCCCAAATTTAGGGCCCAACAGAGGAAGCAGTTGAAAGGGCTGAGAGTGAGCACATGAGCACCACCCCGGGGTGAGTGTGCCATCACGCCCGCACCCAGCCCCCAGCCCAGTCTGCGAAGGTCAGTCACGGGTCACTGTCCCTAGCTTTGACTGCCAGGAGACCGGCCACTCCACTAATCGTCCGCAGCCCAAGACAAGCAGTCAGTGGCTGGAGAAGTGAAGACAGGTATACTCTATGTCCACATATACCTTCCTGCCGTGGGGCTTCTCCCACTGGCAGGATTCCCCATACCCTCATGGCCTCCTCATCACCTGTTCCCAGGCAGGGTCAACTGGAAGGTGGGCAGAGATGGCTTGCAGAGGGGTGACGTAAGATGGGGAAACCCACCCGGCCCACGGGAGGAGAACAGCATCTTTCTCCACCTTTTAAGAGACAAAGCCTCCTGGAGGTCTCAGAGCTTGATCAAGGGAACACGAGAAATGTTTCCAGGCCTCAGCTGCCGCGTGTTCACCTTTCCCCGCTGAGGTGGGGGAAGACGGTCGGGCTGAGGACAAGTGTGTCCCAGATCCAGGCCAGTGCTGTCCTCCCGCAATCTGAAGCAAACTTGGCCTTGGGGTTCCAAAGGCAGGATGACGGGTGTCACGGCAGGACGGAGCCTGGCGAGAGGACAGCACGCAGAGCGAGGACACGACAGCGGCAGCAGGGTATGGACACAGGACGTCAGCTTCGAATGATGCGACAGCGGAGAAACTTTGGGCACGGCTCTGATCTGAACCGCTCCCGACTCTCTTGCCTATAGGCAGGAGGTGCTGTACATGCAACTCAGTCAAGAGACAGATTCTAACCAATCCAGCCCAGGCACATCCAGAGAAGGTGGGAGCTCTTCAAGTTGACTCCACCGAGGAAAACAGGCATTTGGGTATTTCAGATTCCCACTCCACAATAAGGCAACTTTTAAAAAAATACTATTTCCAAGAACAAACAAAAAAAATTCCAAGAGTAGGGGAAAGACATCACTTTCTGTGGATTAGGTGGGGGTTTTCTGATGGTTTTTTTTTGGTCTTTTATGGTCGATTTTGTCTTTTTTTTTTTTTTTTTTCCATTTTCCCAAGGATGGAAAGGTCAGAGAAAAATAAAATAAATCATCTTTCAATAGTCTTTTCTGGTACAAGCAGCGTCTGTCTGGGCTGGAGTAAGGGGCATGGGGAGAAGGGGATGGAGAGAGGCTGAAACCTTCCCTCACCCCCACTTCTAGATCCTTTGGTTTCCTCCTCCCAGAAGATGGCAGAAGGGTGTAACGGGGACAGTAGGGGGAGAACATGGTGATGGCAAGCCCCAGATGATCAAGGGGCTGGTGCTTGTAGGGCCCAGGGACGCTGCCAGAGCCTTCTATGAAACAGTGCTGGGCAATGGGGCCCACAGGGCCTTTTCGTGGGCTGCATAGTTGGCTTGAGGGGGAGCAGGAGGCAGCTGTGGATGGGGACCAGGGTTGCGGCCTACCAGCCGCGGGCAGGGCTGCAGAGTGATTTTGGTAATCCAGACGAACTATCAATAATTTAAAACTTGATATATATATATATATATATATATATATAAAAAATTTCCCCCCTTACCCTCCCCCCCTTAGAAGAAGCTAGGATGTGAAGAAGAGTCATGGAGAGAGAAGAGGGGAGGGGGAGTGTGGAGGCTCCTGCCCAGGGGTACCTCTGATAGCCCAAATGGTATACACATTGCTACTCAGCACGAAGGCCCATCCTAATGACTACAGGCCTGTCCCTTCTCTGTCCCCTCTCCTGGGACTGGGCACCCCCACAGACGCTCACCTACCCCCTCCATCCCTTCTCCCCCAGAACCCCAGGGCTAAAGGGCTTTTCACTTTCCCAAAGTCTGCGTATCCGAGTGCTGGCTTGTCCGTTTAGCATCTTCCCGGATGGGCTGGCCAGCAGGTGGTGTGGGGGGCTGGCTGGTGGTGGGTCTGCTGGAAGACTGGGAGGGGCACCGTTTCCTGCCCTCACCGCTGCCACCTCCTGCTGCCACTGGGTGTCGCTTGTGGTTGCCCTCCTCACCCATGGGGGGCTGTAACAAGGAGGGAGTCACAGGTGATTAGGGAGCACTACCCACACCCCCTCCCTTGCCAGAGCTATTCAGAGACCCCCTACTTCCTACCTCCCAGTGTAGATAATAAATAGGTTTATAACCCTAAAAACTAGTCACTAGTTTTATTAAGCACATCTCCACTCCAAGATGCCAAACCTTGTGCTGATTTATGCACATTTACTCACGGGGTCTACACCACCAACTAATGTAGACAGGACCATCTAGTTTCACAAATGACAACAGTAAGGCACAGAAAAATAATCTGCTGCCTAGGGGTCCAGAACTTTTAACTGGTAAAGACAAAATCTGAACAGGCCTATCTACCACCGAAGCCCAGGCCTTTATCCATACATCTCTCCACTCCCCTTCTGGGAAGTGGCGGCTGCTCAGGAGATGGTACATGGAACGTGGCATGCAATACACTGACATGCCTCCACTCAGAAGGCCCAGAGACTCCTGGGGACTGCCTCATGGCCCTAAAAAGGACACTGATCTTAAGAGTCAGACTGGGATCCAGTCTAGCCTCACCACTGCCAGAGGTTCTGTAACCCCAAGGTCAGCTCTCTCCTTTCTGGGAGCCAAAGCTGAGCCCTTTCTAGGAGCCAAGGCTGAGCCCTTTCTGGGAGCCAAAGCCGAGCGCTTTCTGCTCTGCTCCCAACAGGTCTCCCTCCCTATTCTCTGCACATGCACCTCCCTCTCCAGCCCCCAAAGGAGGAAGTCCTTAAGGATGGAAGAAGACGGACCCATCTTTTTGTCAGGACACCTGAGCAGTGCTGCTACTATCTCACTGGCTGGCCATGGGCTCCTGATCATCCACTGCTATAGTGATGACAACAATAACCCTGCCTGCTTCACTTTATAAAGGTTAAAAAGGTCAGAGCACAGTGTCTGACACACAATAAAGTCAAATTTTTTAATGTATGTGAAGACTATTACTTACTTCTATTTGTGCTTTTGCTAAAAGGTTTCAAGGGAGTAAGACGATTGGCATATCCCTACTACATTATAAACACTTTGAAGGAAAGAGTTTTACTTATCTCTGGAATCCCTGATACACTCAGGACAGAAGAGGAACCAACAGTCAGAACTCTGACCCACCACTGGATGTCACTGTTGAGTCAGTGCCAAGGAGAAGTGGGAGGAACTAGAAGGAAGGAAGAGCTACAAGAACTAGATTCACTTTATCAAGTTCTGGGGTTGGAACAGACCTCTCCCAGAGAGAATAAGAACATTTACCTAGGGTACTCGTTCTGATCACCTCTAAATAGGGCATACAGGCAAAGAGGGATGGAGATAAGACAGAAAGGGCATTATGATGGTTTTAGCCACATTCACTATGGGAAAGGGAGTGAGGAGCAATCATAAACCCTCCAATGAGCCTTCACTGCCCACTTCTCACACCTTCTGTTTAAGAAACTTAAGGCCCAGATAGGGACAAGAGGAGTCCCTGAGCTAGTGGCCCAGCTGGGATCAAAACCCAGGTATACAGATCTCTGGTCCAGCTTTCTTTCTAAGACAATCAGGGTGGGAAAGATGAGAGACATCCACTCACATCCACTCGGAAGTCTTCGAGACGTCGGAATTTGCCGAGGTATTCTTGAAGTTTGGGGTCAATGTCCAAATTTTTGGCTTTGGAATATTTCAAGAAGGCCCAGAACTTCTCTAGCCCATACAGCTGACCTGCAGGGAAAGAGAGAGGTAGAAAGAAGCCTGGACGCTGAGAAGAATAGAGAGGCTCAGAAGAGGGATATATGATGTGATACAGACAAGCCCAAGGTTCACAGAGTCCCAACTCTGACTCTTACCCGCTTCGTAGTCCTTCACGGTTTCCTCCTGAAAGTCCTTAAATATGTCCAGCCGGAACTTCTTCTCCAGGCCATAACTGTAGTATCGAAAAAGGCACTCCAAACCATATCTGTAGGAGATCACAAGTCAGTGAAATCAGGACAGTTTCTTTATCTGTAAACAGGAAATACATCTGGATGATAGATGAACTATGAAACCATTTAAAATACATGGATTACTGAGAAAATGGTAAGTGTTCTCAGAGAAGGCTGGCATTTAATGCTAGTCTAAATGAGTCCAGCATTAAACGTTTGCCAAGGCTCAGCAAACTTGGGCCAAATGAACAACAGCCTTCTGCCCACACCCGTTTGCCTATGAAGTACCACTGGTTACTTTCTACTGCTAGAGCAGAGGAGTAGTTGTAACTGAGACTTTATGTTCCACAAACCTAAGATATTTGTTGTCTGTCTCCTAAGCAAAGTTTGTCCATCACCAGCATGAGCTCTCTGCAAAGCCATTTGACCATGGTAATTAGATCATCCATTCACTTACCGGACTCAGAAATTTCAATTCTAGCAACGTATACAGGGAAATAACAAAAAAATGTAGATTTAGATTTTATAGATGTACCAAAATTGTTCGTAGCAGCATTCTTTTGAAAAACTTAAGTCTTAGAAAAGTGATTAAGAAAAATCATGGCAACTGTGTAACAAAATAATACAATCTATCTAAAATTATAATGTAAGTATACACCGATGGATACACTTAAGGAGATGTTTACAATACATTATAAAGTAGAAAAGACATGTTTCAAAGCGCTATGGGTAGACAAACACATTTTGTAAACAAGTAAGCTTTAAGTCTATACAAGCACACGAAGTCTGGAAGGGCACAGAGCAGTATGCGGAATACACACTGACACTGGTTATCTTCAGAAGGCAGGATTCTCAAATGATCTTATCTCTATTTTCTAAACTTTCAGCCAAAGCATAAAACTTTTTAAGATGGCAAAAAGGTTAAGTATTTTAACAACATGGAGAAACGCTCATGCTTATAAATGATGAAGAACGTATTAAAAAAAGCATTCCTTGCATGACCTGAACACATAAATATGGCAGAACATTAACACTGGTTGTCTCTGGACTGAAGGATGTTATCCCCCAGCTTCCTTAAACATTTGTCCTTTTCAGATTGTTGACAGAAAACATTTTACTTGGGAAGAAAGTGTCCCATTAGTTTTTTTTTTAAACAGCAAAAACATTAAAAACCACTGACGTATCTATTAATAGACTAGTTAAATATAGTTCATCTATACAGTAAGACTACATAAGCCATAAAAAAAACCAAGAAAGTTATTTACATGTGGATATGGAATGATCTCTAAAATACAGCATTAATTAAAAAAGCAAGGTGCAAAAAAAAAAGCAAGGTGCAAAATATTACCTAACAGAGGCCATCTTTTACATGAAGAGGTGTGGGGAGAGAGGAGACTACACAGGTCTGTCCTTGCTCATGTAAGCAAAGTATTTTTAGAAAAAACTCACAAGATTCTAACAATACTGGCTGCCTGTGGGGAAAGGAACCAGATGGCCAGAAAACTAGGATGAGACAGACTTCTCAACTATATAACCTTATGACTTCTTTCAATTTTGAATATATTACTTACTCAAAAGTACTAATTTTTCTTTTATAAAGTACATGAAATATATACACAATGGATCTCCTATCACAGTTCTGGAAGCGGACCCAACAAAGATACCCTCTCTCACCATCCCTCAAGCACCAGTCAAGGGTCTTCACCCCAATCTCACTCACCTGTAGCCTTCTTTGGCATCCTCCAGAGCCAGCTGCTTGAATTCCTCATACATCTTTTTGTTGAAGTGATCTCGGAGGAAGAAGGACCAGAAGCGGAAAAGAGTGTTCATCTCCTGAGACTGGCCAATGCCCAAGCGTTTTCGCTCTGATTGGGGAGGAAAAGAGGAAAGATATGTTTTAGAGCCAGGCTGCCTGTGCTGTGGGGGACAAATGATCCTGTGGCTCAAAGACATCAGTCCTTTCTCCTCCCAATTTCCCTGCTCATCACTGTTAAGTCTCCGGGGAACTATTTACTGAGGACTAACTACTCTGCAGCAAGCCCTGCTGCTGGGCCCGGGACCTGAACACCCCCAGAAGTAGGCTGCGTCTGCTTCTGAAGCAGGCATCCTGGTCCACCTCTCCACCTCAAATATCACTGCCCAGTGTAGTTAGAACCAGGAAAAGCACAAAGAAGTAATCCGTGCACTCAACAAATTATATTCATCATATCATCGTTACCAGTCATTTTAGGAGTCCTACAATATTAAGTAAAAATGGTATGCGTGAGGGAGGTTCAAGAGGGAGGAGACATGTATATACCTATGGCTGATTCAAGCTGATGTATGGGAGAAACCAACACAATATTGTAAAGCAATTATCTTCCAATTAAAAATCAAAAAATATATATATACACACACACAACACCAAAGAACAAGAAACAACAGATAAAGTTTTTAAAATCTGGTATCATTTAAAAATTAAGAACCTTTGTACTTCTAAGGACATGATCAACAAACAAGGTGAAAAGACAACCCTCAGGATGGGAAAAATATTTACAAATTATGTTATCTGATAAGGGACTTAGAATAAAAACTCATTCCAAATGAGTCTTTGGAATAACAAAGACAAATAATTCAATTAAAAAACAGACAAAGGATATGAATGGACATTTCTCCAAAGAAGATATACAAATGGCCAAGAAGCATATGAAAAAATGCTCAACATCATATCAAATAAAATAAAAACTATTACAGGATATCATTGCATACCCACTAGGATGCTATACTCAAAAGACAACAGTAAGTGTCAGGAGGATGTGGAGAAATCAGAACCCCCATACACTGCTGTGAGTAATATAAAATGATGCCGCTACTTAAGAAAACAGTCTTGCAGCAGTTCCTCAAAAACGTCACACAAAACTACCCTATTATATGACCCAGGAATTACACTCTTCCACTCAAGATAAATGAAAACCTATGTCCACACAAAAACATGTACAGGAATGTTCAAAGTAGCATTACTCATGAAAAGACAAGGCAGAAATTTTGTCCATCAACTGACGAATGGATAAACAAAAAAAGGTGGTATCATCCACAGAATGTTGTTTGATAATAAAAAGGCATTAAGTACTGATACACAGTACAACATAAATGAACCTTGAAATTATACGCTAAAGGAAAGGAGCCAGTCACAAAGGGTCACAAGTTATATGAAGTCAAATCCATAGAGACAGTAGACTGGTGGTTGTGTAGGTCTGGGAGGAGTTGGGGAGGTGGAGGGATGGGGGGTGACTAGTAAGGGGCACAGGGCTTCTAAGGTAACGAAAATGTTCTAAAATGGATTCTGGTGATGGATGCACAACTCAAATATAAAAGCCACTGAGTTTATACACTTAAAAATAGGCGAATCATACAGTGTGTGAACTGTATTTCACTAACGCTGTTATTACACACACATACACATGAAGAGGGAAGTAAGGTAGATGAATCAAGCATTGAGCAGCCATGTTTTGCTGAATAAAAGGGGGCTGAGTGACCAGTAACTCTAAGTGAGCATGGCTCTGAGCATCTTTAGAGACAACCCAAGAGAAGCCTACAGTTAAAAGGTTATCTCCTTTTGTGGTAAAAGGAAACATGTGAGTATCTAGAGAGGTTCTCTCCTTACATTCTCATCCAGAGTAGGGGTTAGCCATCTTTTTTTCTGTAAGGGGCTAGAGAGTAAATATTTTAGGTTTTGCAGGTCACATATGATCTCTGTCATAAGTCTCACCCTCCCCACCCCCACCTAAGAATGTTAAAACAAAAACTGTTCTTAGCTCCAGGGCCATACAAAGACAGGCTGCTGGCTGGATTTGGTCCACAGGTCATCATCTTTCTGGAGAATATATGCTGCCTCACGCATATTTGTTTGTGACATCGATGGTTTCACCAGAAACAGGAAAGAAAACACCTGATTTTTTTTTTAATATCAATAGAGAAAAATCAAGGAACAGGAATATTCTAAGCACCAGATCCTCTTTGCCTCCTATATTCCAAAACTAACTTCAGTCCTTCCTACTATGCTATGTCACTTCTTGCTCTGAGGCTAGAGAGAACAGTCACCTGCTCCACCAGCCCTTACTCCGGATCTCAGCAGTGGCCCAGGAAGCTCCGCCCTCTCCCTCTGTGCTTCTTACCATTAAGGCAGCGCCTACGATACTTGTGGTAGACGTGTTGTGTGAAGCCGTTCTCCTTCAGCAGCTCGTGGGAAGGATGTTGGAACTTGGGCAGCGACTGAGGGGTACAGCCATAGCTGCCAACTGCAGGCGTGCCTTCTGAGGGGCTGGAGCTGCAGATACCATGAAACAGAGTGTCACCAGGTTCCCCAGAGCAGCCAACCATCAGATAGGAGGGGTCCCTCTGGTTCCTTCCAGCCTTCAACATCCAGCCTCTCAATGTAAGAAAGAGGCCCACGTACTGTACTAGATCCTTAATTAACTATATGCATGGATCTCACTTATTATAACCATGGGTCTCACTTACTCAATCAACCTTTGGATTTTTTTTTTTAACAGCGAGGACATTGGGGCTCACAGAAACTGGGAGTCTTGCCCTGTCACAGAGCAAATATTTAACATCTCAGATCTGTACAATGCCCAAACCTGAGCTTTTAGCTGTTTATTTATCCCATGTTAACATTTAACTTCCCTTGCTGAGATGTAATGGGTTAACCCATCCATATTTTTTGTAAAACCACCTATCTACCTATCTTTGCAGGGAATAAATAAGAGTGCATAGGTCAGTGGCTCCCATACCTGCTCTGGAATTCAGAACACTGGGGTCATTTTCCTGAGAATAAATAAAAAGGAATCCAGGCCCTACCCCAGAAGCTGCTCCAGCAGACCTAGGGTGGAGAATCTAGGAAGCTGTACTTTTATTCAACTCCTGAGCTATCCTGAGGGAGGCAGCAGATATGCATGTCTGAAATCAACTGAGCTAACCTCCCATGAGAATGCCACGCAGCCACCACACTTCAGAAAGCAGCCTTCCTCTCCCCAGGATCTGGATTAAGCTTTCTAGACTACTCCTGGTATTTTGGATTTGGATGAGGGCCCCTTCCTTAATTTCCCTTCATTTGCAGACCAAAGAGGTACTCTCGTCTTGGTCTCATCACTGTCACAGCTCTGCGGCCCTCCCTGCAGTCGGCCTGTCGCCCTTTCCCAGGGCCCACACCTGATGGAAGCAGTCCGGGGCCTGTGTTCGCGGGAATCCATCACCCAGCCCACGTGACTCTCCAAAGGTGGGTTCGAGCTGTGTCTTGTCTTCCTTTTCCGAGGTGTCTGCAAAGGTCAGTGTGGGATTTGTTAATACACAGTCATACTCATATGACTCTGAGGAGCATCAAGTATTTGTAGGATTACGATACCCTCCTAAAGTCTGAGTTACCTCCCAATTTACAAAGCATCTTCATATCTAGTCTCACGTGATGCCCACAGCTGAAGGAGGAACTGGCACACCTACCTGACAGGTGACACGATTGAGGCTTGCGGGGATGTGACCTGCTCAAGGACCTGCTGAGTTCTCCTCAGACCTTATCAGGGCTGCATGGGGCCCCCACTCCCACCCCTCATTCCACACTACAGATGAGGTCACTCAATCCCAGTGGGCCCACTAGCCTAAGAATACAGAACAGCTGGCGGGAGGGGCGGGGGCAGGATGTAGTACTTTCTTAGCTCAAGACAAGGGAGAGAAGCAGAGCCCTGGAAGGCAGTCAAGTGAGCCCAGGACTTAGTGGCTCAGCATCAACGCCTCACCTTAGCATCCAGTGTTCGACCTTCCTTCACCACTGGATAAAACCGTGATGTCTGGCTTGAATCTTTGAGCTGCGGTGTCCGGGGTGTGCGGGGGGTCCTGGCATTGCGGTAGTTTGGCGACTCTGGGACAGTGGTTGGTAGAGAGCGGGCGATGGTGGAAGGCTCGGGAGCACCGAACAGCTTATTAGCCAGGGCATCAGTGGGAACTGCAGAAGCAGAGTGGGACAGTGAGCAGAGGTAGGCCTGTGACTGCCTGTCTCAAGAAGCCCCGTACAACAGCTCCAGACTCTCCCACTCAGGCCAGGGTGGCAGGGTCATCCTCACCTTGCTGGAAGCGAGGTGGTCCAGGAGGGACCTCCTGGTTGGGATCCACAGGGGGCTCAGGGGTTAGCGTGTCAAACTGCTCCCGACTGATCATATTGACTTTCTTGAAGTTCTCGACTTCTTGCTGCAGAGGACACAAGATGGGTGGGGGAAAGAGGCTGGTAAGAGGACTGCCCTAACCTGTTTTAGGAATCAAGACAGACAGGAAGTTGAAGAGGGCAGTTCCCACGTCCACATACGTGGAATTCTGGTCCCCAGGCTCTCAGCTGCCCATCACCACGCCTCAACCCCAGGTGCCCAGGCTTGAGCATGCTCACCCAGCAGGGCTAAAGACTTGCCCAGGCCTCCCTGCAGCAGAACTGAGGTCAGAACTCCAGCCCCCCCGGAACCTGCTATAGCCTCCCCTCCCCAACTCTCTTCCTGCAATTCTCTCATCTCGAAACACATTACTACCACCACTCACTACAGAGGTCACCAGAAGCCAACTAACCACCAGACACATCCACTCTGTAAAATGCCTACAATGCCAGTTTTGACTGTTTCTAGGCAGCAGTGAGTTTTTAAAAGACCTATCTTTTCTCCATATTCCACACTCAAAAGCAAGTTCCTCAAAAGACCTTTAAACTTTAATACATGCATAAATATTTAAGAATAGAAATGACAATCCAATCTATTCTTCACAAAAGTGTCTAGCCAACCTCTGAAATTAAACATGGATGATCAAGCAGCAGGATGATCACCTCTCACATGGGCAGTTTACAGTGTTTATACACTTCTTCTCATTCTTAATGCCCCCCCTCAAGCAGTGTCAAACTACCCTTTTATTAGATGAGGTGCTGAGGTTCTGTGCCCGAGGTTGCGTGCTTGTCAGCTTTCCTCTGCCTCACGTCACAGGCACCCTAGGCCCCCACCACCAGCCCAAGGCTCACCTTGATCTGGGAATACTCGGGTTCGAACTTCTCAGTCCACAGGTCCTGCTCGTAGTAGAAGAGCCCATCATTAATGACCTTGGCCAGCTCAGCACTCATCTTGGCACGCGAGGTATGGTTGCCAGTGCGGTCGCCCCCCGGGTGCCGGCGCATGTAAGGTGGTGTCTGAGTGACAATGAGGATTTTGTTGACATCCCGGTCATCAATTTCATAGTCAGAATCCTCATCAGACCAGGCGGTAAAGGTGTTTTTCCGCCCATCCATCTGCTCCATTTCCTCGTCAAACAGGAAATCCAGTTCCTCTTGCTCATCTTGATCCTTGGACATCAGCTGCTGAGACGGCAGATGCTGAGGCAGAGTGGTTGAGTGAACAAACCTGGGCTCCTCTGACTTCTAAAATGGGGGGAAACCAAAGAGAGACAGAATCACCAGTAAGTCCTTAGACCAGGCTGTCACTGTCCCCTGAGAGAAGCCCTGACCCCTCAACATGGGACTTTTACATCTGCAGCCCTGATAATGACACTAAGTCACAGCTGTCAGCACTGTAGTCACTCACAAAAAAACAATGTCCCATAGGACTCTGGGTTTCTCCACTCACAGTTCACATCAGTCATTCACAAACATTGAGACGACAAGTTCCCTTTATGTATGAAGTGCACTCTCATTTACCTAAATACACATCCCTCCACAGCACCTGGCCTCCAAGTGGGTACATGAAGAAGTTCAATAGGCTAATTCATCCATTTCTCCACCCCCAACTCCTCCCAATAAGCTGGAAGCTTCATCAGGCAAGAACCACAGCTGCCTTGCCTTCCATTATACCCTCAGAATTTAGATTGGGACCGAACAACAGCCCATGTTCAACTATTTGCTAAATGGATAAGAACCCACTGGTACCAGGCCCTGTGAACATGACCAGATCCTTGAACTTATGGAGCTCACAGTTTAGTGGCAGAAAAAGTCAACCAACCAACCAGCTGCAGTGTGATGGTAAAGGCTATAAATAGGCCTCATGGGAGTACTTAGGGAGGAGCACTTAGGCAACCGGGGGTGGGAATGGGGACACTCAGGGAAGGCTTCTGTGAAGAAGTGATTACGAAAGGGCCCATTTAAGTAAGCCAGGTAAATGCAGGGACAAAGAGTGTAAGAGGCAAAACAGACAAAAACCCCAAAACACGGCATGTCCCAAAGGCAAAAGAAAAAACAAGACTCCTTTCAGCCAAAACAAAGTATTTCAGAGTGTTGATAGGCTGAATCTATCTGAAAGTTTTTGGAGGTAAAACATCTGTTTACCTCACAGAACATATTTAAACATTAATTCCCTGCTGTGCCAAAAAAAACTTTTCTGTATAAATCTTAAAACTATTCTCTTTTACAAGGGTCAGGGTAGGCCAAGTGGAAGTGGAGGGCTCTAATCCTGGAATGGGGGTTAAGGCCTTTCCAAAGCCTTTGCAGTCTTCAGGACTGGACTGAACCTTGTCAGGTCCTTGTCCACTTACTACCTTGTCCTCACAATTCTAGCCTATCTGACACTTCTTGAACAACCAGAACAGACAGGGAAGTTGGGGGTGTGGGGCAAGAAGGAGACGAGGGAGTCGATCACAGTAGTACAGTGGAAAAGGGGGCACAGAATTCCATAGACCCAAAGTCCAAGGTCATCTGTCATGTCTCCTCTCAAGGCCTAGACCAAGGTATCCAAAGAAAGGATGGCTGTGGGCAGGTGAAGCTCCTCAAATTTTAGTTTGAGATTGAGACACTTCTCTAACAGAGGACTATATGTGAGCTACTCACATATTTCTAGAGCAATCTAACCCCTCCTTCCTTTCAGCCTAAGATAGAGAAAGTGAGGACTTCAGATATTAGAGAAGTTTCCCAAGATCACCAGCCAGCAATGACAGAAGACCTGTGTTCCAGTCTAGACTCTAACTCTCCAGGCCATGGGTCTGCTCCTTCTCCCTTCCCTTTTCAAAGGATTTGATGGAGTTATATGTGAGCCTGTGAGGACAAATTCAGGGAGAAGTCGCTAAATAATGCAGCCACAAGGACTTAGATGAGACAAAAAGAACAGCCAAGGGACTTCCCTGATGGCCCAGTGGCTAAGACTGCATTTCCACTGCAGGGGGCATGAGTCTGATTCCTGGTCAGGGAACTAATAGCCCACATGCCACACAGAGTGGCCAAATAAGCCCCCAAACAAACCCCCCCCCCGCCAAAATCAAACAAAAAAACCCAGCCAAGTATTAAGAAACATTTAATTTTCAATGAGATTTCTGCCAGAGGCTGCATGATCTCCTCCTGTGAAAAATGCCACTCAGGAACTACAGAACGAGAGCTGTCATGAGGAGTGATCCACTGGAAATGGAAACAGGCCATATCAGCCTTCCTGCACTCACTGGTGACCTGCTGCTTACATCACAACCCTGAACCACCTGGCCTGATTGCTACTCCCTCAGAACACAGAGCTCTGTGCCTATGTGATACCCGTTCCGCACTCTCCAGCCTAAGACCCTAGAATCCAGGATAGGGACAGGCCTCACCCACCTTGGGTCGTGCCGGAGAGGGCCGAGGCCTTTTCTTCACTTCAATCCAGTTCTCAGAATCCAGGTCAGGGAGGCTGGCGGACAGGCCCTTGGGCAGTGTCTTTAGGTTGCTGACCTCCTCTGTTTTGGTTGGCACTGGAGTGACCGCACGGGGAGAGCCAGGCGCTGACTCTAAAGGGTGGAAAGGGGAGGTCCTCATCCCACCAGCCCTCCTCCTGATGCCAGCCCTGAGCAGGACTGCTGGCCGGAAGACAAGGGCAACAGGGAGGCATCCACAGGCCAGCAGGGTACCTACCTGTCTCTTTCTGGTAGTGCTGGCGGGGCACAAACTCTGGGCAGTTGAGAAGCTGGGAGAAATCGGTCTGGGAATAGTCCACTATTGGGGGACCAGGAAGAGGCCATTTCTCTGGCTCCTCCCTCCTGCGTACTTTTTCCTCAACAATCTCCACCACTTTGCTGTCCTTTAGGGCCTGCAGGGGAGGAGGAGGGAGAAGATGTAGAGGGAAGACATGGACAGACCGAGATCTTGGAAGCTGGGGCATGACTGAGCCCCATGAGCTCAGCGCAAAGTCCAGAGTTGGCAGGAGTATAAGAAAACTGGCCCCATCTTCCACAACCAGCAGACGAGTGAGATGTTCAAACTTATAAGAGGTACCAACATGCAAAACAAACTTGCCCTTTGACCCTGCCATTCTACTTCCAGGAATCAATCCCGGGGAAATACTTGTACCAACAGGTGACAACATGTATAAGATATGGATAAAAGGCCATTCACAGCAACACTGCCTGCAAAACGAAAAAACTGAGAACTACCTAAACTTGCCACTACACAGGCAATTTAAACCAATTATGGCCATCCATTCAGCCCAACACTACTCAGGCTTAAAAATCAGCTTTAAATGTGTTGAGGTGGTTAACAGTCACAAAACCCAAGTCTAGGTCAATGAGTTTAAGATTCCACTGATATTGGAATTCTTAAGTAAAAACATGCAAATGCACACAAATTTTTCTAGGATTCACAGGTAAAGGGCTACAGGTATCTATCTCTGGGGAAAGGGGGTGAAGTAATGGAGAGTAGAGAAGTTTTCTTTTCAAATTCTTTTAAATGGAAAAGAAAAACATTTCAAATGTGACAACATACTCTGTTGGTGAGGCTGGGGAAAGAGGCATTCTCATACACTGCTGGTGAGATTGCAGAAAGCATACCCACTAGAAAGGGAATCAGGTAACAGCTAGTAAAATTATATACGCATTTGCCCTTTAGTTCAACCATCCCACTCCTACACCAAAGACACACTGGCTAAACCACAAAAAGATATATATATAACTGTAAATAAGAACGAGGAGTATCTTTCTATTACCACTACCACTACTAAGTGGTCAGCTCCCAGATACATTAAGTGAAAGCAAAAAATGGTGAAGAAATATATGTGCTATGTTACCATTCATCTAAGAAAGGGTAAGTATATAATACAGAGAGGCATTTACTTATTTTTTTTTTAATGGAAGCATTCAAAAAGGTTTGTTTATAGTAAAAGGGGAAAAAGTATTAAGAAAATCATTTAAGTTGGACTTTCAACATACCATTTGCCTTTGGAACCACATAAATATTTTACATAAATGAAAAACAAGTAAGAAATTAGGGGTAAGAAAGCATTCCCGAAAATGTGAGAGCAAAGCAAAATTATAAAACTAATATGTACACAGCCACACAAAAATTACTTCGACTTAAGAAAATAGTCACTGACCGTAAAAATGGGGAAAAAAAATTTTTAGGAGTAGGAGAGGTACTGTAAGAGGTACTGTAAGCATAATGTGTAGAGTAAAACACATGAATAGTTATGTTGATGTTGTTTGGAATCAGGATTTTTGGCATGGGAGAAAGTAATAGTTACAAACATAAAAGATCCTTGGGTTAAGTAAAGACACTGTAGAAATATTAACAGAAAATATCAATGTAATCTCATGATGTATTAAAAAAAATGACCAATCGTAGCAATAAACACCCTATAACTCAGGCTGTGATATCTAAATATCAGAATTACCATTTCCCCAAAATAAAGGACCTAGAGTGTCTTCAAGAAAAAAAAGGCCATTCCAGATCTGAGGCAACAAAAGTACAAGATGAACCAGGGTCCCACTGGCAATGATTTGATTGAGCATAATAACTACAATAAATTAAACAAAATGCTTGAATCTACTAGTCTGTAATGATACTAAAACAAAAACAAAAAAACAAACTGAAACCTTACTAGTGACCTTTGAAGGTTATTAGCGATCAGCTCATAATTTTGAGAATTGGTTAACAAAGGAACAGATCAAGCACTTAACTGCCCTTCCTGTACAAACTACACGCTGCTTTTTTTTTTTTTTTAACATGCTTCTTGGTAACCAAATTGCTGATAAGACAAAGTACCTCCTTAAAGAGTTATGCCAGCAAACAAATACAGACAGACAGAACATAAACATTCTATAGTTTCTAATGAAGTAACAGGTAATGACTTACAGCTTTTATGACAAAAAAGAGAACCAGGTGAAGCATTCATTAAGTGCCACCTGAGAGAATATATCACCATCTATAAAGTATTCTCTACAAGGAGGGAGAAAGGAAGAAAAAAACCTGAATCTGATCAGGTCTCTCAATCACTAATTTACAAAAAATCTGGAATATGGAACATGTAAAATGTACCACTGTGTCCTATGGAAAATTCTACAAGCTGTATAATCTAGCATTTCAACAAAAAACTGCAAGGAAAGAGAGAGAGAGAAGAGATATCATAAGACAATGTATTGATCTTATCTGGATCCTGATTCACAAACTACTAAAAGAAAACTTCTGAAACGGGGGAGTGAATTGGCAACTGAACAAATATTTGGTGATATTAAAGAATCATTAATATTTTTACATGCAATAATGATATAGTGAGTACTTTAACAGGTCTTTATCTTTTGGAGATAGATTAACTGAAACATGGATAAAATGTCAGATTACTGGAGATTTTCTTCAAAGTAATCTGGGAAAGGAAACAGATGAGAAGATAGATGGAATAAGACTGGCCATGAATTGATAGCTGCTGAGACTGGGTAATGGGCTCATTACAACACTGGATTGACTTCTGTGAATCTTCCATGTCTGATGTCTTCCATGATAAAGGGGTGAGCAAGAGAGGGGGAGGAAGGGGAGATAGAGAAGGGAAGGGAAGGAGGAGAGGGAGGGAGAGAGAGAGAAGCTGGCTAAGCCTTGGAATCTTAGCACAAGTAATGAGATGAGGACTCTTCTGGGGTTCTTGGGCTTGACCCAAACTCCAGTTCCTTAAGTAAGGATCTTTCTTTCCCCTCCACCCCAGCCCCAGGGAGGGAGACATACCGCAAAGATGAGTGAAATGTCAGTGGTAAGGGCCTGCACTCGGTGGAAGGACGCAATAAGTGTCATGGGAAGGAAACCGTCAGCATCCATTTTTCGTCTCAGGAAGAAGTCTCGCTCTAAATTGTCCACGCTGAAGTAGTATTCACTAGGTGGAGGGGAAAAGTGTGATTGCTCCATCATGTGAGAATATGCCTTCTTTGTTCCAGGAACCTCACACAGCCTGACCAACCCTGTCCCTCTGTATTTACAACCTTAAAGGCTGGAAAGAGATGATGTTATCCTCCCATGGCTCCCTAACCTTGGGTCAAACTGTCACCCTCTGCCCTTCAGCCTCTTGGTACACCTGACAAGCTCCTTATCCTTTAAAACCCAGTCCCAATACTCTCGGTCACTTTCTCTTCTGCTCCTAAACTGCTAATCACACTCTACTGCAATGATCTCTTTCCTTGTATGGCTCCCCTCACCTGACTGAGAGACAGTCCATTAGAGAGGTTAGGAGTTAAGGTTTTGCAAGTCAGACAGAAACAGACTGAAATCTGTGCCTTGCCACTTACTAGTTGGGCAAGTTACTGGGCCTGTTTCCTTATCAATAAAAAAGGGATAAAACCCAGCTCATAAAAATTAAATACATAACTCCATAACTAAGTAAGAGAATGCCTATAAAGCTGAGCACTGAGCCTCATCAATGAGAACTCAGTGTCTATTAGCATTCTGACAATGTTGCCATTACAAATAGAGGCCCAATGGGAACAGAATCTAGACATTTTCTTTCCTTTTAAAAACACTAACTGATTAATTTTTAAAACAGAAGTGCAGTTCTCTCAAATTATCTTTTTTACCTCCAGCCAGAGGCAGCAACCACTGCGATCCCCAGAAGAGCCTGCACAGCCCTACTCTGTCCTCGGGCACCCCCAACCCCACCCGTGTCTCCAGAAGGAAGACGCCCGAACGCTCACATCTGGCGTTTGATGTAGTCTTTAAGCAACTCCTGGTCCACGCTGTAAAGCTCGGTGCTGCTGACATTGTCAAAATAGTAGGTGATGTTGTTCATGTACTTGGGTGTGCGAGGCCCCTCCGCACCATCAAACTTTCGGTAGCCAAACTGGTAGTCAAAATGGGCTATGGGGGGAACAAGCACCATGAGGGAGAGGAGATCCCCGCCCGCCGCCCCCGCTGAACTCCCTCGGACATCCCGGAGCCCAAAGGGGCCTCACGTACTTCGAGTGCCACCCCGTCCGCGTCCCCGTCCGCGACCACGCCCCCGTCCACGGCCACGGAAGGAAGCCCGCGCCCCACCAGCCCCATCACTCTTCACACTCGATGTCTCATCCTGGTCATGCCAGGCAGGCTCCGATTTGGTCTCTGGTTGCCAGGCTGGAGTGGGGGGGGCCACGGGCACGTAGGTGACAGGCTCAGACCCTATGGGGAGAGGGGGCATCAGGTCAGGCCTGAGGGTGAGCCCCAGGCCCAGGCCCTCCATACTGGGAGCACATACCTTTGATCTCCCCGCGGCTGGTGGGGGTGTGTCGTGGCTCTGGAGGACGAGCAGGGCGTGAGACCAGTTTCTCTCTGGGCACTTCCGGCTTCATGTCTATTTGCAACGGAACCCACTTGTGTTTGTTCCCTGGAGAACAGCGTGGGCACGAGAAAGGCTTGAAGGAGAGGCCTCTCCTGCCCATCTCTACCCCCAATCCTCTGTCCCTGGCAGGGCTTTCATTGCCCCCTGGTCACCTCGGGCAAATGCCTTTCCCTCACTGGACCTCATTTTCATCTCTACAATAAGAAGGCGGTGGGCTTCAGTGTGACGGACACTCTTGATTGACTCCCAACACTGATTTCTCCAGAGCACACGCTCTACAGCCAGACACATGGCAGCCTGGGATCAAGACCACACCTCCAGGCTCCCCGAGATACATGCCGAGGAGAGCTGAGTGGAAGCAGTCAAGTCCAGGGTGCGTCCCTAAAAAGCAGGGAGCTATTCTCCCTTTTCCCCATCCTGCTAAGTAGAGTGAGTCACCTGGAATGAGAAGAGCCAACACACAGCAAGACAAAGGAACCAAAGAGCTGCCATTCTAGGCCTGGCCCACTTCTACCAAGCTATCAAGTGAAAGAAACAATCTTCCATATTGGTTAAGCCACTGTTCCTCTAGATACGTATGACAGCAGCCAAACCTGTATCCTAGCCATTTCAGCCAGAGCAACGGGATCTCCTGTATTTAAGTGAAATCTAACACAAGGCAGCAATTCATCAAGAGACACGAAGAACACACTGTGGGAGGGACCCCCTATCTTCTGCACTGCTTGAGCCCCAGTGCGGAGGACAGGGCTTTCTAAATGCTGGTTACAGCAAAAGAAATGATGGACACACATAGCTGGAAGGAAGCTTGCCAGCCCAGCAGCCTACACCCATCAGACTCCCAAGCACTTTTGGGGGGCTCCTGAAATTGCTCCAGCAGCCCTTGAGTTCTCCCATTCCCTGATTCTGCCTGCTACCTCCTCTCAAGTCCTGCTCCAAGCCACTCACCTTTCTTCTTCTGTCCCCCTCGCTGGCAGTCCTCGTCCCCATTCTTCTCCTCCCCCGATTCATCCGATTTGGTTTTCGGGCTCTCCTTACTATCGCTCCCCTCTCCTTTCTCCTGTTCCTTCATGTCCTTTTTGGGTGGTAGCTTGCGGGCAGGCTGAGACTTGTGGGCCTGTGGCTGCAGCAGGAAGCAGAGAACAGGGAGGTGACGTGCATCTGAAAGCCACTCAGGATGGGAAGGAAGGGAGCTCCCTGTTATGGAGCACGTGATGCGGGTTGGGGTGGATGTATCCTATGGCCCTGTTTTCACGCCTGACATGCCTTTACTGGGAAGAGTGGTCAAACAGGCGACAGGCAGAGGACAACCTGCCTCTCCAAGTCCCTTAAGTCTAAATGAGAGAGACAACCCCTCAACATGGGCTGTGGCCTGCAAAGGCCAGCTGTTTACTCCCTACAACAGGACCATGTCGTTTGAATCACCTGTGGGATAGAGGAGACACTGGCCTCTGGTCTGTCCACACCAATCCTGTCTGTGAACAAAGCCCAGTGAGGAACCTTGCCGTCAGCCCAGAAAAAAAATGCTGGGGAGGAAATGACTGATCAGGGGTCCACCTTCTGCTGGGGCTTAGGAAAGCTATGTAAGCTTCCCCATAACCTGTGTTCTGGAGGTGGGCACTTGCCCTAATGACCATTCTGCTGCACTTACAGGCAATCCAAGTGGAGAACACAGGTTTCAGAACATGACACATGTGGCTTTCAATCCCTGCCTGGCCACCAAGGACTACTGATTAACCTCCCCTCCCGGCCTCAGTGGCCTCATCTGTAAAACGGGAATTACCAAAGGGCCTATCTAGCAGTCATTGAGGATTAAGTGAAATGATGGATAAACAGCACTTGGCAGTCTCTGTCACACAGCAAGGGCTCAAAGGATGATTCTTAGCTATTTCAATGTTGCCCATATTTTCCAACCACTCCTTTTAAAAAAACAGAAAATTAATACCCAAGGCTCTGAAAGCTTGAGGCCAAATGTGAACATGTAGATGGAGTTCAAACCTGCCCATCCCTCCCCAGAGACTCACCTGCACACTCTTATGGGCTATCTCTCCAGGTGTTGGCCAGTTGATTGCATCTCCAAAGTCACCAACCTGCAAGGCACATTCTGTGAGGGGGTTCCAGGGTAACCCTGCCTCCACCATTCAGGTCCTCATCCAAAATACAGCTCCACCAAGAGACCATAAGCCAAAACCAGTCTGTCCACGAGAATCATCCACAACAAAGACCCAGAAAAGGTGCCTCTGCTATTCAGAGAGAACCCAGAAATCCCCTGCAGCCCAGAAGCACTCACTACAACAGAAAAGAGGCTACCACCTCCATCCAGGAAGCCCACCCCAACCCCTGGGTTGCCAACTCATGCTTCTTACCTTGCCACCTTTGCGCTGTTTAGGAACTGCTGCCCTCACCACCTTGGCCGGGGCAGAATGTTCTGTGGAAGCAAGAAAGGAGAGGTGGTTATACAGCGCCCATCAGAGAGGGCCCCGACCAGCTCCTCACCCTCATCACTGCCCCACACCACCAAGCAACCTGCAGGTTCCCACAGACGGAAGACGTGGCGGACCGAAGGAGGACACATGCTCAAACTCCGTTTTCTGAAGAAATCATGGAAAGTGAGATCATGGAAGAAGCAGGCAGCCAAAACCCCAGGAATTCAACACTGGTCTCTCACAGCTCTTAACCTCTTGTGTAAGGGGGACTAAGGCCTGGAGACTTCACGTCCATAGCAGGATTTGCTCTATAGTTCAGGGCTCCTGAATCACAGCAGATCCCATAAAGGAATCTGAAAGACTCTTTGGCTCAAACATTCTAGAAGTCTTTGTGCGACTAGACTTAGGAAGGCAAGACAAAAACCCTAAGTGGGCAATCAAGAAGTCCAAGACCTCTTCTAAGGCCTGTGTATCAGAGCCAGCTCTGTCCTCACTGATCTGTGGTCGCCAACGGGAAGATGTGCCTGCCTTCCAAGTTTCCAGAGGAAAAGTGAGACCATCATCCCCCACATTTGACTCAATGGTTCCACCTTTAGGAATTTATCCTAATGATACAAACTAGACACGTGTTAGACTTATGTGCAAAGATGCTGAAAGAGCTATTCATAATTTCAAAAAAACTGAAAATAATGTCTAACAGTAGTGAAATAAGTAGGCTAAATAAAAGTTGAGCAACTTCCAGAGTGTTTTTAAAATGATAATGATCTCTACTGATATGAAAAGATAAACACAGTAAATGAGAAAAATTATAATCCCATTTTTGTAAAATAAATTGTAAAGGTATACATATAAATATACACAGTAGGAACTCTGGAAAGCCACACAACCAAATATTACCAGGACTTAAGTAGTATATTTATAGTGATTTAATTTTGTTTGGGATTCTCCAGTAGTTTCAACCAGGGTAGAGAGGAGCTTTCTATTTTTATTACTTTTAATTTTTATTTTTTGGCTGTACCGTGCATCACGCAGGGTCATAACTCCCTGACCAGGAATCGCACCTGCAGCTCCTGCAATAGAAGTGCAGAGTCTTAACCACTGGCCAGCCAGGAAAGTCCAGGGGCTTTTTAAAAAGGGGGGAAAAATTTTTAAGCAAGTGGCTCTAATAAGTCTGGTCCTTTCTACACCTACACTTGTTTTTTCCAAGTTGGTTCTGAAGACCAGGAGTTTCTGAACCCTTCCTTCCCAGAGACCCATAGGATAAGATACAACCTGGGCCTCTGCTCACCCATCCCTTTCTCACCACTGTTGGCCAGCCATGCCAGGACAAGAGCTGCCCCCAGTCCCTGAGCAGAGAAATTTGTCCAGCTGGTCTCAACAGGAATGTTCCACTTCTTGATCAGACGCTTGTTCCCTTAATGAGAAGAGAGTCCTTGCCTGATTCCTAACTGTGAGGCCACTGAATTATTGGCTTCCACCCCATACTGGAGCCACTGCCTCAAGACACTTCACATGCCAAAGAAGAGCCAGAGCTCTATAACCCAACCCACAGCATCCCCCATTCCCAGTGCTGGGCAGTGGAGAACCAGAAAATCTCTTTTGGTTCCAAGAGGGTGGAGCCTGTAGGCCCAGGGAACTCCTTACTCCACACTGATTCTCTTGCTAACTCCAGTTTGGCCCAGAGCAGCCTAATAACCACGCAGCTCCCTGACTAGGACCAGCAGAGGCAGCTGTTAGAAGATCAACTCCCTCAATTACACATGAGCTATGGCAGTAATCACTTCTCCAGGGACCCAACCTAAAGACCCCCAAAACACTCCCTGCACACTACCAGGACAAGAGCAGGCCAAAAGGCCGGCACCATCAACGTCATTATCATGAAGGTGGAATGGGAAATCAGATTCAGAGGGCAAAGTGCTCTTGAAGACTACCTGAAAAGGTTTAAGGCAAAGTTTTGTCCGGTCATTGTCTTATTTCCTCTAATAAAAACTCTTTCAAAACTGGGAAGAATCAGATCCTGTAACTACCCTGCCTAACATCTTGTTCAAGATCACAAATGGTAAAGTACTGCTAAAAGTTCAGGCTCTCCTTAATGGGAGTGCCCTGCTACCACTAAAGACCCCACTGATTCCCTACTCCCCCACCAATCCCAAGCTGACCAGGGGAATGTGACTTTCCTGGGTACACCCAGGAAAACCAATCAGCCAGCCCTTTGTAAAGTTTGCGGAAAAGGCCCCATCCCTAGTTAGCCTCCCTCTCTCCCAAGGACCCTCAGTACCCTGTTCCTGCTCTGCTCTCAGGTAGGGCCTCGGGCTGCCCCTGCTCTAAGGAAGAATAAAATTCCCCAGAGAGACAGAGAAGTACTTTAGGGAGAGAGAACCACTGCTACCTTTAAGCAAAATCCCTAGCTCTGTTAAAATCCTGCAGGGCCTAGGGAAACCCAGGAAGGCTCGGATGAGCTATTGTCAGGCCCTGGGGGCAGGCTGGAAAAAAAGACTAGGCTTTCTGGCCTCAATTACACATCCTTTTCTGGGTCCCCTCCTAACTATCCACCTTCACCAGCCGCATGCGCATGTGTACAAACGTGGGCACACACAGTACAGCCCCACAATATACAGGGCCTAGCATCTAAAATGCCTCCCAATGGAAACCAATCTTTTGTGCAAGAGGCCAGTCCTTATGTCCAGCATGACTGCCAGCCATCACTGACCCAAGCCCAGCTCGGGACACACTACACTCACCATCTCGCATGTGCCTAAGAAAACAGCTGTAGGACATGAGAGCAGCAAAAAAGGCCCGTGGTTCTGATTTCTTCCGTTCAGATAGGCAACTGAGGCTCCCAAAGGGTAGCGAGGGGCTTCCCTAGGGAAGAGCCGGGATGGGCACTCACAGCCTCAGCTCCCTCTGTCCAGTGCGCCTTCCAGCTCACCAGGGATCCCACGTGCCCACTGGTGGGAAATGGGTCAAAAAGCCTTCCCCGTGCCATCTCCTGGTGAAGAGTCACTGATGTCAGGAGAGGTCCCCAGGCAGAGGGTGTGGTGAGGTGGGCTGAGGTGAGCCCAGCATTCAAGGGGAGGAGGATGGCAGGCAGCGGCTCTGTGAGTGTCTCCCTACTCCAGCAAGGCAAGCAGGGGTTAGGCGGGATACGGAAGAGGCAAAAATGGAGTCTGCTAGGAGCCGGTACTGAATGTGATTCTGGGGGGGGGGGGGGGGTGTCAAGGGACTTTCTATAAACACACACTCATTCGTGTATTAAATGAAGCACACAGAATCTCTCTGTGCAGTCGAGGGGGGGTGGGGGAGGGAACAGGGAGACCAGGAGATTTTTTGTGAAGCTTTATCTGATCAGCAAACTCACTATTTTCACTTAAGACTGTGAGTGGTGAAGAGAAGGGGAGCTAAACCAATACTCTCCTCTCCCGGAGCCTGGCTCTTTTTCCACACACTGCGCCACCGCCCCCCAAGAGAGGGGCTGGCTCCAGGGCAGGTCTCCCCAGGAGAGAGGAAAGAAGGAAGGGGGGGATTTGCCTCAGTTCCCAGCGCAGCTGTGGTATAAATCCCTGCCACATCAGAGGAAGGAAGAGCAGAGGGAAGGCCTGAAGTTCCTTTCAGCTGAAGAAATTCAGCCACTCCGCCTTTTTCTCAGCACAGAAGAGGAAGAGAGCCTGGCCTCAAGGAGTCTCTGTCAGTCTACAAATAGGCTAAGCCCAAACACACCTGGTATAAACCCAAGTAAAAACACAAAGTATGGGTGACCCCTGAACAACACAAGAGTTAGGAGCACACAGCCCCAACAAGGTCAAAAATCCAACTGGACATCACACAGTACTGCTTTTACATTGAGAATGACCACATATTAATGGACCCACACAGTTCAAACTTGTATTGTTCAAAGGTCAAGGTCATTTTTAAAAAAATTACTTTTCATTTGTTTACTTTTGGATGCACTGGATCTTCACTGCTGTGTGTGGCGAGCAGGGACTACACTCCAGTTATGCTGAAGCAGCTTCTCATGTTGCAGAGTACAGGCTCTAGGGTGTGTGTGCTTCAGGAGTTTGGCTCTCGGGCCCTAGAACATGGACTCAATAGTTCTGGCTCACAGGCTCTGTTGCTCTGTGGGATCCTCCTGGATCAGGGATCAAACCCATGCCCCCTGCATTTGGCAGGTGGATTCTTACCCATTGCGCAACCAGGGAGGTCCCAACTGTATTTTCTACACTGCTATGTTTCAGAAAGATCCTAAAGCTGCTGACCCTTTTGTGGGGGGCGGGGTGAGGGGAGCTACCTAGAAGGGCCAGATGTAAGGTCTTAAGGAGCAAGGACTTGGTGAACTAGCAAGAAACCAGGGAAGGATTTTGGGGGAGAAGGTATGCAGATATGAGTCAAACTCATCAGGTTATAGAAAAAAGAACTGATAAGAGGGGGACTTCCCTGGGGTCCAGTGCCTAAAACTGTAAACTCTTGATCCTGGGTTCGATCCCTGGTCAGGGAACTAGATTCCTACTCTTCAAAGAAGACTGAAGACTCTGAGTGCCACAACTAAGATCCGGTACAGCTAAATAAATAAAGACTGGTAACAGGAAGGGAAAAGCTGGAAATGAAACTGAGGGATGAGTGTAGGTGAAAAGTGAGATGGGGCTGGGCTAGATGGGAGAAGGCTTGAAGGATGGGGCTGGCCAGAAGGAACTACTAGATTTCATGCCTTAGTGCCAAGAGAATAGGGGAAGGCCAAACATTTATTTTGGGGCTGGCATCATCCCCTGGAGATTAGCGAAGTATCTAAAAAGGCTGAATTTACCCTGAGTGTAAAGAACTTCTGCCTTGGAGAACAAGGTCATTTGTTAGGGGCTGCATTAGTGGCATTCGTACCCACCTGCTGACCTCTTCCTATGGCCATTAGGTCAACGTTTTGAAGAGACAACCAGATCCCAGGAGAATACCCTGGCTCTGTGCTCTCACTGTAATGTGTTAGCTGCCTGGTTACTTATCTATTCTCAACCCC